CTATACAGTTGCACTCTCTTCGTAGCCAACTCATGTTATCTACTGGACTATACAGTTCTTAGTAACAGGGAGGAGACCCTGCTCATACCGCGTGTGACCCACAACCAGCTCATGCTATACTAGGATTGTTGCTGAGAACCCTAACCCAGTTAGGATCAGTGAGGATCCTTAACAATAGTCCCGGACGGCCTGTCCGTTGTATGGATAGAAGATTCTATATTTACAAAAACGAATATCACAGCGCTGATATGGTTACCGCCACCGGAGGTAATAGCAAGCATACTTCAAAGACTGTCAATCGATGATACTTGGAAGAACAGTATCTTCGAACGACTTTTCAGGTCCCAAGTGGATAAGACAGAGACCGCAATCGGCGGTTCTACCGTTTCCCTTGTACCCGAAACGTCGCAGACCGGCGCCGCTGTTAACGTCGAAACTCTGGGACAGCAATTGAGGCTTGTGGCTAGGACCAGAGACAAAATCACAAACGGAATCGACGTCTCTTCGAATGATAGTGACGTCTGCGTGCTCGAACGGGAGAACGGGCTTGAGGTGAGGGAGGGAGGGTTTGCAGCCATGCTGATTCGTTATCGTGTTGTAGCAGTAGACAGTGGTTGAGATTCTAATGGAGGGAAGAGAATACACCATGGATGCTACATTGATGTGTTGAAGTTAACTGTGATCGACGAGGGGAGTTGGCTGCGCGATCAAAGATTGTATCATCTCCAGGTCGCCCTGGTTGGGCCAGTCGCGAACCATCTCCATGTCATCTAGATTCGACCAGTCGCGAACCATCTCCATATCATCTAGATTCGACCAGTCACGAACCATATCCATGTCATCTAGATTCAGCCATTGCCCACTCCTGTCCGCTGCGACCATAGTCGAATCTTGCATCTCGTTCGGATCGGGTGGCCGAAGCATAAAAGTCGATGCCGTATCATGGATAGGTATAGAGCCATCCTCCTGAATGAGGTCGATCTCAATTAAGTGAGGTGCAACGGATGGATGGGAGGCAGGGTCAACGTGGGATTGAGTTGTGGAACTCCCTGGAGTTTCCAACAGATGTTGAGCATAGTTCGTCGGTTGCGTAGGGCCGTCCGTAGCCGTCGCTATAGTGGCCAAATGGGTGTCATTGGACTCAGATTCTATACTTCGACTATTCATCGTGCTGTCGCAGACTTGGGGTGCACGACGACGCTTGCGCGATGGTCTCGTCTGATTCCGGGTCGGATTGTTCTCGGCTGTAACATTGTCCTCCAAGTGATATTGCCCTTGGTAACCCGCTGAGTCAGAACCCTCAGGATCTCGCGAGGCCATTGCATTGATCTGGTGGCCCCAGCGAGGTCGCTTGGGCGTCCGCTCAATATCATCCAAAATAGGCTGAACTTGATCCAGAGCGTTCGTTCCCGAATTCCAACCGAAGCCTCCGGCTCCATTTAGATCCATCGCACGACCTTTGCTAGAGGTTTCTCCTGACTCAATAGCGATCTGATTCTGTCGAGAAATAATTCCCGGAGCGGCCGATCGGTCACACCTCTCAATAAGAGGCCCGGCTGAGCAGTTCTGCTGATCATCGGGAATCGGCATCGATGCGCCAATCGATTCATCACCTAGAGTTCAAATCAGTCATGGAAGATTCACCAGATGACGTTGCGGACCCTGTATAAAAGCAGCAGCAGCTAAAATGTCATCCACCCCTACTCCCCCAATATGAGATATATCTGTCGCGTCTGTTGCCAGTGTAGAACCCGGTGAGTTTTCGCTGTGCTGTGAAGAAGCCGTAGAGTCAATCGTTTGCGACTGTACCACCTTGGAATGCCAGGCTCCCACAATGCATGCTTGCATTGCTATGAGGATCTGTCGTCCTCCATTAGAGCGTGCCTCGGTCTGGATACCCGCGTCGATTAGGCGCTCGGCGAGCGTTTGATGGTCCTTTTGAAATTTCTCCCTTGGTAATCCTAGCGAGAGGATGAAACTGCCCCCGTCAGCGCGATCGGCATTTATAGAGGGAGATATATACCTCTTTACATCGCTTGGTAGGTGGAAGACAGTCCCGATGTCGTGTAGATAGTCTGAGCAGAAAGTAAATATCTTACGTCCATACATCCATCTTTTTTTACAAGTGTCCAAGACATCCTTTTGCTTTTCGCTGTCGCTCCCTTCCGTCTCGATGTTGTGTATACGTTCAGCAATTTGTTTATATCTGGTTGCCTTGCCACCGCACTCCAATCCATGCCAGTAGAATGCGAGAGAACACAGAGAGTCGATAACCGCCACATACTGGACCAGTTCGGTGAGATACTCCTGCGCCTTGTGGAGAGACTGTAGATGCTGGACGGCAAACCTAACATCGGACCAGCCTGCAGCAACACAAAAGGAGGAGGGGTCTTTCTCCAACTCTCTGCACAGCTCTTTGACACTCTTTGGGAGTGTAACGCAATGGGACAATGATTCTATCACCTTACGGCGTCTATTCTTATTTTTAGGAAAGACAGCCGTTATCAGTTTCGCAGCTGCAGCTTTCGTGAAAGGGTGCGTCTTGCAGGCTTCGTCGAACCGCCCAACAAACTAAATCAACTTCAGGGACTTCATTCTTACATAGTAGCCTAGAGCTTACCTCTAAGTCGGTGAATAGGTCGTTGAGGTTCGCGTTTTGGAGTGCGAGGCGCAAGATACTACTTGGTTGGTCCCCCATTACTTTGTTGCTGAATGAGATGAGAAAGTCCTCAGGATGCGTATGCCCTAAATTCTGCTGCCGCCAAGACTGGACGCTATTCCCTTTTGCTCAGCCACTCTACCCGGGTTGAGTGGCTGAGCAAAAGGGAATAGCGTCCAGCATCCGCAGATGCAGCACGACCCCAAGCACAGTGCCTTTGCATATTAACCCGTGCAGGAGCCCCTGCCTCTTCAGTTGCCTCATTCCTGTGGTCTTCACCGGTTGCGGCATTTTTGCGTTGTCTGCTTTCACATTTGCTACTCTACGGCGCCTATGCAACCCCCCCTGGCTGCCTTCTTGCAGGACAACGTGACACCTCCGCCTTCACCCTGTCACGAGACCTGCAGGCGCCAACCCAGATGGCCCGTTGGCACCGTACAACAGAACACAACTATGAACCAACCTAGCCCTGACCAGAGAGATGAAGCATCATCCGACAGCGATGGATCGTCTGTCTTTAGCGAGGCCTCATCCAATGGGTGCGAGAGTTCCATCGACACGGCGGTCTCTGAGGATGAGGATTCTACCGAAGTTGAAAATGCTATCGATGTGAAGGTCGATACTCGAGGTTTTGAGCGAGATGGAGTGGTCCCTGGCGGTGAGGCTCCCCCGGGGTGGACATTCATGGCCACCTCCGCCCGTGTTTCAGTACGTTCATTCTTCCACACAACGGTCCCGACTAACTGACGCAGACGAGCTATCGAGGACTTAATCTACGAATTTTATATTCTTGTCCGACTCTCCATCCACGGGGATGGTGTCTTAGTGGATTTTGACGCGGACCTGGGGAGTATCCTAGTGAGTATCGTTCAGGTGCCTAGCATCACACCACTGAACGATGGGTCGTGGGAAATCCTTGTCCAGAAAGTCGACCTCCATGCCATACAGCTCCAACTCCACGAGATGCACATGAACTTTACTCTGGATTCGGAATATGACCCATTTGAACCCCTTGACAAGGATGTTAAGCACTGGGGCTTTGATAGGGCCAAACATCTTTACGCCCTTTGGTTCACGGAAAGGGCAATGAGGACGATCGAGCGTTCCTGGTTTGTCGCCGAGACGTCCCACCGTCATCTCCTGAAAGAAAGACTTTTGACTCGACCGAGTTGGATGGGTACATTGGGAGTTGGCCCATGTTTCTGGTGACGACATTTGCCTCTGACCAGGTAATAGGTTGAATGGTAAGGGAGTGGCTACCCAGCTTGCCGCTTCACTTTCCACATAAAGTCGGAAAACGCATTATTACGATACATGAATCTTTTACTTATATCACTGGATTTTCAGTAATTTCAGCAGCATTGGCAGCGTTGTTGAGGCGGGACAGATTAACAAGTTGTTACTCTCTCAATCCTTCAGCAAGAATTTGGGCACTTATCAATCATGGGCAAATCTAAGAAAGTTTCGGATTCAGACGCCCCTCCTGCCACCACAGACGAGATCCACGCTCTTTTTCAAGGAGGAGATTCCACCTGGGAGAGTGCTCTCAAGAGACACCTGGGTGGTATTTACAACAACTATACGATCAGAAATCTCGCCGACACTGTCTGCCAGGATTCTGGCGAAGTATCTAAAGAGATTGGCGAGATAGCAGCTCTTCTCGTAGGGGAGGGAAAGTATTGTCTCACTTATTACCTCGCTCCTGAAATACAACAGCGACATACGCGGCGACAGAACTTAATTTGTTCCAACTTCTTCACGGAGCGTGAAGAAGACCTTGGCCGTGACGATACCATTGACATGTACAAGGCATTCATCCCATGGGCGGGACCAAGGGATCTGGTGAACGTGGCAATGGTTCCGAGTGGCCTTACTGCGATGAGGGAAATATTGGCCGAGTCTCCTGACCACCGCCAAGATGTTCACGAACCTACCTCTCGCAACTTCTACGACTTATCCACATTTGGGGGATCTCTGGAACGGTCAGTCAAGGACAAAATCGAAGGCGACAATATGCGATGGTGGTACCGGCAGCCAATAAAGAAGCGCGTTGCAGTGGGTTTCGAGGGTATGATGATGAAAGAAGAGGACATGAAACCCTGGGATGTCGTGAATATTGACGACAAAAATTTATTAACGAGGCTTCAGCAGAAGGAAGACCAGCTTGAGAATGACTTCTGGAAACAACTTCATGCAGCCAGGAAGCCGGTGAAAGCTAAGAATGAGGGTGAGGATGCCGACGATGCTGCGACCCTAGTCGATTTCTGAATAGCCGGATCTATACGCAGCTCCGAGCTTGAAGCTGAACACGCTAGTCCGATTGCCTTCCGATTGCCACTTTGGAGCTTCCTCTTGATTTTAGTTCTCCCTGCTCCCTTGAAGGGTAATTGACTGCGGTGGCGTTAACACCACACGATAGCTTCACTTATGGCACCCCTGAAGCGTAGACCAGGATTTTGCATATTTTACCGACTTCCGGGTGCTCTCTCAGCCCCTGTCGCTTTAGGGGACAATCATGCACGAGTCTTCTTACGGCTGCTGTCCTTAACGTCGCCCGGTTTCTACGGGCCTCGTGACTTCGGTCTTTTACACATTGCCCTGCTCTAATTTGTTACCGCTGCTCCTCGCGTAGGTCGATGTGCGCACCTATGCCAACTCGTGCAGACTCCTTTCCGACTATTGATACGCCGCACGCCGTACGCCGTCCATTAGGACATCCTGGGCGCTGTTGGGCCACGATGGAGTAGTGAAACTCCTAGCCCGTAGCCTGTCAATCGAATAAAAATTTCCAAGCTCTGCACGAAGGGTAGAGCGCGCTCGGACTTCTATGTGGCCTGCTCGCTTCTGCCTCGACCCCCTCAACCCCTAACAGCCACCGTTGATATCGCTCTCTCTCTCTGCGGAAGCGGACTGGGCGCTTCAAGACGTTCCTGTCACATAGAACCCCTTTGCTGCACTTCTATTTATCTGGTCTCAGAGATATAATAACCAGTGGAATCTTATGGCTGTCCACCTTGGCCTTCTATCACTAGGCTACCAATCAACCCACTCATCCTGTGTCAGACTCCTAGCTGCTATAAATTTTACATAAGACGTCACATCGCAGATACTAAAACGATGGATGGGTCAGACACTTCTCTATTCGCAAGCCTTCCCTTCTATGTTGCGTGTGGTATTGGCGGTTGCGTGATTCTAGTTGGTCTAGCGTACGTCAGATTCCACTGATATTGGTGTTGACTAAAATGAAAAAGGGCTTCGGTATTTGTGAGCTGTGATTACCTATCTGGTGATCTTCCGCGCAGGAAGGAAATTCATCGTACCGTCCTTCGTTGGGCGAAGTTTGTGGGCGACTTTTAAACTCCACTCATCAGCCGCATTCGTTTCGCTGATTCCTCCTCTTATACGACTTCCCACTTTGTTATTGTGGAATACGATCAAGATGGCATCTTCCCTCGACTTAGCCGAACTAGTACAAGCTATTTTCGAACTGAAAGACCTCAATAATGAAGACCAACTCCACGCAATTCGGCAAGCTGTCACTGCCAACCTTGAAACGGCGAAAGAGATACAACGTGTGGCCATGACGCAGTTGACGGATGGCGAACGCAGTGACCACATAATGCAGCCAGTAATCACAAATCCAGATTACGAGAAAGCTCGCCAAACTTACAAAGAGATCTCTGGCTCGCTTGTTGGACTGCCTTGGGAGGTCTTTACTGCTGTCAATACAGAAGTCTTGTTGAGAGGATTGCTTGAGGCGCTGAATGCCAGAAATGAGTCCGAGTTGGTGAATCATGCCACACGGCTAGGACGAGTTGTTTTAACCGATCAGGAGATAATCCGAGGTAGAGGTGGCGAGTGAGACTTTGAGTTCGGTTTCCCTGAGGAGGAAAGAATGGGGAACTAGTTTTATTGATTGCACTGAGAAAATCTAGCTTGGAATGGACAAACTTCATGGGTCGGCAGTGTATTACATGACTAGGCTAACCTTCCCGATAGGGTTGGAAACCAATCAAGGACGCGATGAAGAGCTATTGAAGACCCGCTCTTCGACCTCCTAATGTCCGTTTTGCTTCTCGACTCCTGAATACATTGAAGATATGTGGTAGGATCACTTCTCGTCTACTCTTTCTCCTTAGTAAAGAGGTAGCTATTTTTGAATTCCGTGACTAGCGTCTCTGTTCGCGCAGTTTTTATATGTTTTATTATTCCAGATAATCTGTCGCTACTCGCCCGAATTCATGGACCCTCCTAGACTATAGGACAACGGTCCTTATGCCACTGTCGCCTCATTCTGAAACCTCCCGTAGCTAGCCAATGAATGCGGCTCCCGCTCTACCACTCTGGTCACCAGGGGTTCTACTGAGTACAGCATTGAAAATGACACCGAAGGTTCCTAACTATAGTCTCGGGTGCCACCAGCGGAACAAATAAGAGGGATGCTTTAGGAGACAGCAATATTACGCGAGGAGGATCCGAAACTATCGGAAGTGGGAGACCAATGAATCTGCCTCGAAAGAATAAATATAGTACCTAATCTATTCGGAAGCGATTTTCGGAGTTATACCCCAGAAAAGGGAACTCGAAAGAGTTTTCCAAGTGCCTCGAAGGGCAGAGCAAGCAAAACGGCTAGTCTCCGAAGACCATCCAATGGCGTGTCGAAACCGCCAAAGAGAGGGAATTTCCATGAAAGATTATCATTCCTTTCGCCGTCAATATAAGACGTACAGAAATCGCCGAGACCGCCCACACACTGGCGAGGGGCCCAGGAAATACTGAACATCGACGAAACGGGTGATCCAGTTGAACGTCACCTTCTCGGCCGCCGATCTCGATCTCTGACGAGCGGTCTCTCCCGATGGACCCGGCTCGAATCACCTGCCAGTCTCGACGCAAGGTAGGTTATATTTTGCCGAGCGGCTACGTCTTTTCTTCATCCTCCATTCACTCCTAGAGCACAGTTTTCCTCTTTTCTTCTAGAAAGACCCCGGACCGACCGACTTATTAAGTGTGGGAGGGTCAACCTTCAAAAGAGAATAAATACAGCGCCCAAGCTATTCGAAGGCTTTTTTCGAAGTCTTGCCCTCCCAAAAAGGGACTCGGAAGCGATTTCCAAGGTCCCCGGACTCGGCTTGACGCGAAATGAGAATACAGAAGCATGGCCACAACTCCCGAGATTGATGAACTTGAACTTAATGGGCAGATTCAGGTAAGAAAACAATTAAGCGGGCGCGCCCTGGCTAACTTAGAATTCAGTCTCCTCAAGATTCAGCCATTGGCGACGCTAGGTACCACCGCTTCGTCTCCGGGTCCAAATTAACCATGCTAATGAGATCTTCAGATGGTCTTCCAGTACGTTTTCGGTTCGCCCCGAAGCCCTTGGATGCTCGGAGTTACATGGCCGATTATATGGACGTGGTACGAGTCCTCGTCTTCTCAGACCCTTCAAGATTACTGAAATTACGCAGGCATCCCGTTCCCCATCGACGATAGGGCACGCGACGAACACGATTTACAAAATCACCTCTTTCAAGAAGTCCTTAAGAAGCTTTACTGTGCACCCGTCAACTTAAATGGCGGCAACGTTCATGAAATGTACACTCGGACGGGTATATGGGCTATCGACGTCGGGGACGAAGACGCGTCATGTTCGGTGATTGGTACCGACGAGAGTGTAATGCAGACAGAATGGGTCTCTCCAAACGTCGAATTCCAGATATGCGACGTCGAGGACGATGGCTATTGGACATGGAGGACGGCGTTCCGGTTTATCTTTTACCGTGGATTTGGAGGGGTTGTGAAAGACTTGCCAGCTTTGATCCATCGATGCCACGAGTAAGTTCCCGAGACCAGTATCCGAGACGCGACGGGCATTAACCGCCTCATAGGCATCTCGAACCCGGAGGCTGGCTGGAATTCCAACTACTAGCGCTGAGACACGATTCTCAACAACCTTCTCCGCAGCCATTTACCTTCATTCAGGAGTTACACCGACACTTATCCGAGGGGCTTTCCAAGCTAGGACGAAAGCTAGATATACATGACGACCTTCCCCAAATCCTTCGAGAGAATCATTTCCGAAATATTAAGCACATACAAGAGACCGTGCCTCTTGGACCATGGTCAAGGGACCCGAAATTAGTATGCGAGCTCCATGGAAGAAGGAACCATCGCTGATGAACTCGCAAGAAAGAGATAGGCCATATCTGGAAGGAAGCATTTAGTCGACAACTCCAGGCATTATCCCTCAAAGCTTTCATAAAGGGATTGGAATGGGACTATGGAGAGTATGAAGGCTTTCTCGCACACGTGCAAAATGAACTCGAGCAATGGAAGAGGTTGCATATGCGGACCACCCTGTACGTATATCTCTCCCTCACTGTAACTTTCTTTCTTCACTAACCACAGCTACAGTCATGTAATCTACGCCCAGAAGCCATCTAATTAGGAAGTCATGGTTTTAGCGTGCGATTAGTCTTAAGACAATCTCCTGTGCGAGTCGAGACACGAAAGGAAGCCAATCAGGAAGTGCGAAAGGCTGCCCCTAACTGCGTTAAGAGACAGCGAAAAGTCGAGAAATGACCATAGGAGGCTTTGCACCCTACCTATTTCTTATCTTCCTGCTCTTCGAGACGATCCTTCTTTCTAGAGGAGACCCGGCAGAGAAACAGCAACTAAACGGCAGAGCGAAAGGGGTCGCGTTATCTATTTTGATTGTTCACGGCCAAGATGCAGTTTAACTGTAACAATCCTTCTACTTCCAACAGTTAAACTAGATCATTCGTGTCACAGCTCTCCGTTGGTCTATTCTTCCAAAGGATGGAGGATACTCCGGCCAGCCGAGGGTACTTCCTCTCCACGGAAGAATTTGCCAGTATGACTCATCACCTGCGACCTTCGTGAGCTTGGTGTGCTGTTTATCTAGAAAGCCGAGAGATTTTTTCTAGTCTCAGGCCATCATCCGAGCCACTCGGGTATTTATGAACCCCAATTGCCGTCTCCCAAGGGCACTTATGAACGTCCCCTCGAACCGTGATAGTCGCTAGCCGCTAATGTAGCGAGAATTAACGAAGTAGTATGACGCTATGGGCTTCAATCATCCACAAGTTCGGCTTCTCAAACACTTAAGGGAACTGGGGACGAGACGACAGAGAAGATGAAAATATAATGGGTGGAGGGATGACCCGTTATTGTGACCTTAAGTAATGAATCTAGATTCTAAGGGAGTGGTTCCGGGGTGTAGGATAGGGATCGCAACCTACAGTTGGCTGTGAGATATCGTATTTAAAAAATGCGTTCAACTCTTTTTACGCTTCTTCTCTCACCTCTTCTCTCTAATTTTCTGGGTTTGTCTTTGTTACTTTTTAGGGTGTCATGGTGTGGATATCTCGGCTTTCTTACTGCCACGGGCTTCCACAGAATCCACAGGACATCACGGACAAAATCATTCTCGAGACCCTGTACATTTCGACGGCAGTGGCTGAAGACACTGAGACACTCAAGGAGACCTCAATTTAATTGGAAAATATCGGAACTCCGTCGAATACTCGAATCTACCCATTATGCAAAATGGTCATTGCACCTCGACCCGGACCGGCTTCTCACGAGCCGGGACTATTTTTTCGCCCTTGGTGTTCAAATCGCTTTACGAAAATGGCACATCTGTCGCGCCATGTCCCACAACGTCTGTGAAACTTTTCCCGGGTCCAAAATTTAATCTGTCTAATAAGGTACTAGATACGGGACAAAGGCCCTTCACTTGCGAGTTCTGTTCTAAATGCTTTGCGCGAAAGTGAGAGGCACGATCAACCCGAAAGTACAAATATTCTAATGGAATAATAGGGACGTTTGTGGCCGCCACCAACGATTGTGTAAGGCAGCTCTAGCGCCCTCAAAGCCGGAACGTCAACAACAGCAGCAGGAAGGTTTCCGCACAGAGCACCCTATACGCTTTGTAACTGAAACAACGCCAGTCGTTCCCCGGATAGAGACACAAAGCAGAAGTGATGCTACCGACCATTTCTCTTCAGAATCCGATAGTGGCCAGGAAGCCTCCAGCTTTCCGTTGAATGTGTATTCATCGCCACTTACCGATTCTTACCAGGGAAAAGACAAACAAGGAATCGATAAAGCCCTATTTCACAACTATTACCATCGTTTCGAGATTTCAATGCGATGCTGGCTCCACTGGTCAACTTTACTCACTCCTGCCCCGTTCGCCAACCTAGGTCTCAGCGACCAAGAAGATTCGCCCCCGAACCAAGTCGAGTCTCCACGTACTTTGATAGAGATCGCTCAGCGTTTGGACCATGAACTAGTACCCCATTACAAACAGAGTGCCTGGAAGACACTGAAGACTATAATTGCGGCTTTCGGAAGTCAGGGGATGGACTCGAAATCCCAAAGATGGGAGCCAAAGTATGGAGACGATAATGGCTGCCATGAAGAATTCTGGGCCCGTGCTAAGGAGACTATCGAAAATTGTGCCGATAATCTCTCCTTTCAGGTCATCCTTGCGACTATCATCCTGGGAATGGTCTGCCCACCGGCTTCGAGGTCTAGTATCAGTTCCGCCGCAGAGTTCCCTTTGGAAACATCCGTTTTATGTCAGAACGATCAAAGAATCAGCAATAGATTCTTGAAGCAGGGGATCTCTAATTTATTCCAGCTCGTACGAGAAGTGAGAAATGACCCAAGTGCTGGCTTTATTTCTACCGCCACGGGTCAGCAACTCCTCCAAACATTTTTCTACCTCGGACTGATTCTTGACACCTTCTCGTCCGCCATCGATAGACGCCCGCTTTTCATACCCGACGAAGATTGTATATCGCTCTCCCGAAGCGGAACTAACAGGGTATGGAAACTCACTTATCTACCAGTCAAATGGAATTCGAATGGTTACTTTTCAGACCTACTTCCTCGCCTGAGGGAGGAAAGGTTTTGGATCTCGCTGTTACTGGCGCGCAAGGTCACCCAGCTTCAAACGCTCTTCTCCCGACGAAGGCCGCCGCTCGAACTCACCGAGCTCATCTTGGAGGCCTTGAAGGTGTATCGATACGGAAAGCAAATTTACCACCACGAGGTTTCCCTTACTTCACTAAGCCCCCTTGAGCTCTCGTGGGAGGTGAATTTAACAATACGTTGGCATTTATCCTGTCTCCTCCTGGTCGACATGATCGAACGAATTGAACAAGTTAATGGCGAGATGGTAACGTCAAGGTTCCCTATCTCGAACATAAGGATGAGCAGCGCTTCCGCAATATCGGCCATTGCAAAAGACTCCTTACCGAACTCCCAAACAGGCGCATCATCATCTCTCCCCGCGTGCATAGGCGACGCTTTGCTGAATGAACCATGGACGCAAATTCTAGTGAGTGCAATGACGCACGCACTGAGGGTTTTCGAATCTCAGAGGAAAAAAGAAAACGTCACTTCGGAACTGTGTCCGGATGAAGTCAGTTGTCTTAATTGCATCAAGTTGCTCGGGGTCGGAAAAGCTATACCAGCAGGAGCAGGGGCATAGCCGCCTTTGCCCTAGATGCCCTGATGCCTATTGTCCTTCCCTAATAACGAGAGCAGGATGGGGGTGGATATGTGCCATACAATGACATTTATTATACCTGAGTCTAATAGAAACAATGTGTCATATCGAGTAGCTACTCTCACCAGCTTTATGGGTGGGTCCACAAATCCAGCGGAGGTTTGGGCTTCTTAGCAACAATCTTCGCACATGAAGCCGCTTTCACAGCCTGGACTGACCCAATGATGAAGTTTCTCAGATGCCTTTTAGTAGGTGTAAGAGTTTAAGAGTCTCATATCTCCCGAGGCCAGTAAATGAATGGAATAGCGACTTGAGAGAATATACCGCAAAGTTCATTTAGCTTCTTACGTATGTCTTGGTTGGTTTCTGCGAGGGAGTTTATCTGTTTCATGCCTTCGCTTGTTGCATCGCAATGAGCTGAGCTTTTTACAGTTCCTGTTATATAAGGGGTGTGTCGGCCACAGGAATTCGTCCCTCCCTAGTTGCAAATCGTAATAATTGTAAATACTACGGACATAACCTAGCTACGATGGCAGCTCGAGACCTCATCTGGTTCATCGCAGTGTTGTACGTCCTTACGCGTAACAATGTTGACCATACAGTTAACCTTTCTAGTATCCTCAAATACAATCGCCTCGTTATTCAAGGCATCTCATATATGAGGTACAAGCCTATTCCAATTCCTCACAACCCGATTCTTACACCGACCGATGTGACTACTATAATTGCGACGCTCGGCAAAAACCCTGAGGCCCTTTCAGAGGGAATTCAGTGTCACATACAAGCCGGAAGCAAGTACATCTCGATCTGCACTCCTCCTGATACATTTGGTGAAGTTAAAGCCCTATCGAGTGATATTGAGAAGAGGCACGACGACGTCGCAATTCTGGTGTCCAAAGCTAGCTCCGCCAATAAGCGAGAACAACTTGTATTGGCCATTACGAATGTTCCTCAGGACCGAAAGAAAGAACATAAAATTATAGTATTCGCTGACGACGATATCGCCTTTCCTAAGAACACTGTCCGATGGATGCTTGCAGCTTTCGAGGAGAGTAAGGTTGGCGGAGTAGGGACTTGTCAACGAGCGAGACGCATCAAATCTGGGCAACTTTTAGAGCAGATCGTCAATTGGATCTTCGCTGACTATATTGAACGTCGAACTTTCGAAAATTCGGCGACTTTGTGGATAGATGGTTCGATCTCATGCCTATCAGGTCGAATGGCTGGTTTTCGATCGGAGATAGTCGAAGACCCTCGATTCCAAAGCGGATTCGTATCTGAGACGTGGAACGGCCACAAGCTTAACGCAGACGACGATAACTATTGGACACGGTATCTGCTCGAGAATGGCTGGAACATTAAAATTCAGCGCCATGAGGAGTGCCAGGTCGAGACAACATTCGGGACGAGTGTCCGGGAACTCTGGAGATTTGTGCGATGGCAGAGAAGCAATCCAAGGAGCAACTCGAAAAGTTTACGAAACTTTGAAAATTGGCGGTAAGAGAGAAATCCAATACGTTCAGACCATACTAATTAATGATAAGAAAGTATTACTGGGGTACTTACTCCCTATATATCTCCGGCTTTGTGAACTATGGCCTTCCTCCCGATGTCATACTTTGGTGGCTTTGCCCGCGGCAGGGACGATGGACCATGTGGTTCTTTCTTTGGTGGTTGTTTGCCAAAATGGCGAAGAGAATGCCTCTGTTTCGCAAAAATTGGCGGGATGTTGTCTTTCTGCCAGTTGCTATTATCTGGGGCTGGTGCCATGACTTTATTAAGCTGTATGCACTAATGACTCTGAGCCAGGTGAGTCCCATTACAGTGTAATAGACATGGCCGCTTACTTTGGGTAGACTGGTTGGGAAATTTAAATGAGAAACATATATGTATCTGACATCTTCCAAGTCCCCAGCAGTCTCTAGACCTTTTTATAGTGAGATAGCTTTAGGTGCTCGATCTGGTTAGACAAGACTGACAGTCACTAGGATAGTGTTATCTCTAGGTGAACACGTGTGGCCACCACTACCCCAACCCTGCCTCAAGACGACGAAAGAGAGAATCGAAAACGAGGTTATCGAACGCCGCAAGTAGTTCCAAAAAGTCCTTGCACGGCGGAAGGTGGTTAGCTGCTCAAATTCGATAAAGGATGCTTCCTTCCATTACACGCAGCTCTAGGTGCTTCTCCCTTTTACATCTGCCCGTCGAGACTGGTGAAGTGTCACAATATCCCTTCGGAGATTGCGAGGTATTGGTATTTGGAAAGGATTTCCGACGGTTCTGTTCCCCTGACTTCAAAAGCAATCGCCATGAAAATATGATTGTTTGCTGCAAGCCGAGAGTGCTCCGGTCGCAAAATATGTTACTAGGTATTGTGCCTCCCAATCAGAGTAAGCGATGGAACACGAAAGTTGTGGACCTGTCAGGTTGATTGTGTTCTGTCCCCCTGGCTATTCAGAGAGACTCTGCCTATTTATATATACATTGGCCTGTAACCACAAGAGCAATCCGAAAACCTCCTATTCCGTCGCCATCCTATCACAGATCTGCAGGAACAACGAGTTGACGCAGTTTGCGCGGTTGGTGAAGCGCCTAGCGTCACAGGTGGTTTGCCCCAGTGGTGCTCTCGCGACTCTGTCAACAATATCCTTATACGACTGGCGTTGACAGCAATCCTAAAGCATAAAATAGCCGGTACAGGGATCAATTCTACCATGGGGAAGGTGTGAGGAAATCAACTAGCGCCAACCCTAGGGCCTGAAGCTGGGCTTTAGCTGCCAGGATTCAAATAGGTGCTGCATGGATCCAGGTGGTGTGGCCAAGGAGGCCTGGATGGGAAACTCTAACACCAGACCTGCCTAAGTATAATCTACTCCATGGGCCCAATGGTCCCCGTAGATTGCTGCCTCACTCGCCATCACTGTCCGTGCACACAACTTCGATAGAGCTGCCTTCCGCCCCGAGGAAGATAGGCCAGATATCCTCAGCTCTCAGAGCTCGTCGACACATTGGGCAACCTCTTTTCCATTGATCAGTCGGGCAGTCCAAGTCGCTCTCGTTGACCCCTCCCAACCATGTCGCCAGGCATTCCGCGCAGTAGCTGTGACCACACCTTGTCACAACGTTTTTGAAAGTATCTGCGCAGATATCACAATGTAGATGCTTCTTAATCCTCGCTAGATCCTTGCTGGCGATTTCCAGATCTTCAGCCAGGTGCCCGTTACGTCGGCGGAGTGATTTAATCTCGCGGTTGCACTTGCGTAGTTTGGCGCCTTTCGCCCGGAGCCTATCTTGTGCCATTTTGGCAGATTCACCGTAGGATAAGAGCTCCCGTTGACGCCGAAGGGTGATCTGGTCGAGCTCGGCTTGTTTGGCCTTCAGTGCCGCTTTTAGTTCTTGTATTCTTGTCGTCAGTGTGCCACACTTATGCTTTATCGCGACAGCGGAATCGAGGATCCCATTGTACTCATTGACGATATCATCCTCATTGTCGTCTAGAAAATGAGTCGCATTGAAGTCGAATTGCCTTTCGGACACTTTTGCGATATCCTTCCCGGACGGTGACGCTACCACAGATCCGCCCTCTTCTTCGTCCGAACAATTTTCGGGGGTCTGGAGTAACAACGGGGCCGGTGGGTGGGCGTGCCTTTGGGAAGAGGGCTTTCGAGAAATTAGAATCCGAAAATCCGTAAGTGCTTGGTGCACTTACGGCATCATAACGAGAGGCGGCGTCACGATTACGCCTGCTGGGGAATAGGTCGGAAAGCGATGGAAGATCGTCATCGGAATCATCTTTCAAGTCGATGACCAGAGTCTGATTTAAGCTTTGATTCATCCTGAAGGTCTGTCACCAGACCTGGATCGATACTTTCGAGCAGACTGAAACTAAATTATCCAGTGCCTTTCTCAAAGATAAATGTGCGATTATGAGAGACAGATTTTCACAGAGGGTTTGAGATTATGAGAAAGGGAATAAGAAAGAGAGGGAGGGGAGTGGGGAGAGGGAGAGAGGAGGAAGGAGAATGAAGGGGTTGGAGCTTCTTATATTACCGACCACCATCCAGCTCATGCGCCCACGTCACGGAATCGATGCCAGCTCTCCAAAGGTCCGACCAATATCTCTATCATATATCAGCCAATTGTTCTACAGCTATTCTTGCCGACGCGCATTTCCAATCGAGTACAGTCCGCTGCCGCCGGCGAGGCAGAATCTCCTTCAGAGATCATGGAGTGCCCTCACACGTCGGTTGCTCAGCCACGAGAGTACGTTTTGGTCTTGTGGTTAAAAGCGCGTGGAAGAATCAGCCCACTGCTTAATTGTGGTCATGGTGGCAAACTAGTCGCCAAACTGGATTCCACCTCATTGGAAGCTGACGCCGTAGCTGGTCCCATTAGTGGGCTTGGGGCAGAGAGCGAGACAGCGTGAGGCCGGCTAGATAACGGCAATGGTTTAACTTCACGGAATTTTGGCAACGTTGAAGGGGTATCCATGCTTCAAACATTATCTGCGGCGCTCCAAGAGTGACTACGGGGGGAGAAGGCAGTCGTTTCAGACGCCGTTGGATTTTTCAACAGCACAAGAGCAATGCGCCATTTGTGGGGGCGGAAGACTAAGGGAATGCATTGATTTGTGGGAACTAAGCACACCACAGCCAGTGCTCGAGATAGTCGTTCAACCGGATTCACCGACTCCGCCTCCTTTGCGGGAGGAGCAAAATTGGCAAGGAGCCCTGTAAAAGTCGGTTGTTTGAGCGTGAAGGGCATCTTTCCATCTGAACACCTGTTCACGAAAGGATCAAAAGGGCTTCGACAGAATCCTCGGTGTAACCCCTGTGTATGACCTGAGAAGATTTCCGGAACTGCGGTATGAACAAGGTGGCATGATGATTCCAAGAAGCTGATGAACAGATCTGGCTTCAGAGATATTTGGAAATCAAGGGCCGATAGAACGACCGAGGACGATTTTTTGGATATAGAGAGGAGATGTCGAGGAGGAAACTCGCCCGGAGGTCAGGGCACGTCAAGACTATGGAGTATCACGTCATCCGCAGGACGCGTGCTGAAGCCCACAGAGCTATCGAGACGTCAAGGCACTGTGACTGGACAAGACCCCTTCCTAACTTTGACAGGAGAAGAAGCCCCTTCGCGAAACAGCAGGGGCAGTTTTTGCGACGAAGGCTTCAGCCTACTCGACGCCATGGAAGGCCGGCTGGAGATCATGGGCAAGGGAATGGAAGAATATATAAACTCGACGTCGACTCAGTGGCCGCAACCTTCGACATGCGAGCTCGGAAATTTGAATACACAGAGAGTTAACCACATGGATGAAATGATGAGGCGAATACGTCTCAATGCGTAACTGAATCAAGGAATGAGAATAGGCGTTTCGAGGGACCTGGTGTAGTTTACTCTAATTAGATAGGTATGGAGTAGTACGACTGGTGTTGCTTGTGCGATTCACCTTTGCGCTGGTAACGGCGGGAAGAGGTACACTTCTCCAATAAACTTTCGAGTAAACTCTCGACCCTTTTGAGTTGTTCCTCTAAGCCTTGAATTTTGGCAAAGATATTCGACATCGTGGAAAGACCGTATTTTGAAACGTTCATGGTGCTGAGAGTAAGGTAAAACAGGGTTAAAAATTTAATGAGATGCCTCGTTGCCTTGTTAGAGTAACGTGCACGGACTGCAATGGACTCTTCCAGTACACCACTCTAAACCGCAACCCCTTCGCAAGCACACTTACCTCCGTTGAACGCTTCCCTTCCCCCTACCTCCTTCGCCTCGGGTCGTAACTATCCTCTCCTTTTCGAAAGAGCTGTATTTTATACCTTTAACTCACCGTTAAGCAGCCCTCGGCTACCCGCAAATTAAGGTCAAACAGCCGTTCTAGCTATGACATGAGTACACATTTCTCACGATCTCCTACGGGACAAGCAATCTGCTTCAGTGCTCGAGTAGCAGAAATGCCTCGCGAGATCACCTGCAGAATGATGAGACAGCAGGCGGACCGAGATACAGCACTTTGATGGCACTCCTTGTTTACTGCTCGAACAGCGGAACAAAGGCCACTGACGCCAATGGAATTGGCGGCAAACTCGTCGCTAAGTCAGATACCGTCCAAGACGCGTTTCTCACGCCATGGAACCTGATCGACGACCTTTCCTGAACTCCTTCAGGTCACGCTAACGAGACATGGCAAGGCAGACACGGCAACAGAGCATCCAACCAAGGACGTTGACGACATTGGGCCTAGGTATAGGGGCATTGAGCTGAGTGGGGGTCGTAGATGAGTATAAAATCCTGTCACTGTGCTGGCTTTCACGTTCTCATCCTACCTTCACTAGTTACTCCTAGCTATGGCCATCACTCGCCTCACGCATCGCATTCAAGCTCGACAGCTCCGCTCGGGCTTCTGCCTCGCTGTAACGCCAAATGCCATATCATCACCGCCGCATCGCGCTTCCAAGTCTCGCCAACATCCAAAACCAGTGAAGGAACGAAAGGGAGCTGACAGGCGATCTACACACTCCCAACAGGTCGATCAGCTGAGAGGAAGTTGTGTTGACGACTTTCAGAGCCTCCTTCATAATACCCCGGCGCTGGACGAGGAACAAAGGATCGCTTGTGACGCCAGCGGAACAGGTTCGTTGATCATTTCCGACATGAAGGTTAGATTCACTAACAAGAAGCAGGCCATCGTCTGCATCCAAGCTGTCCAGTATCCCATTGTGATACATTAAATCTGCTGGACGAGACGTCCCTGGTGTTATCCTTACCAACGTGTGACCAGCCTCTTCCCGACGTGGAGATTGGCCGCCCAGCTGTGGTACCCCGAGAAGAGGGAGTGGCAAACGACCCTATCAGCCTGCAGGAATTATTCCTATTTAGTCTCGAGGATGCAGGACTCCCTCACGACGGATTCTGGGACATTACCGCCGCCTATGACATTAATTACTGCGTTCACCACGATGAAACCGAGTACCTCTTGGGCACTGCGAATAGGTGGATCTCTCCTGATGACCTTGATGTTCCGAACGCCGAGTCTTTACTGGAGGAGGAGCTACAGAAGTTCGAGCTACAGAAGGCTGAGGGCAGTCTGCCGAGCTTTGATCCACATTTACCAAGAAATCAAGCAGGATGCTCAGACACACTCTCTTCACACATATATCGCGTTGTCCACAAGCATGAGCATGATGGGAGAGTCTGGTACTTAGTAGAGTGGCGGGCCTGTTGGACCCCTGAAAGCAAAATTGGTGACATGAGTTGGATTCCTGAATCGCTGGCAGCCAACCAAAAGAGTCAGCACTGGCGGCGAAGCGCGAGGCTCAAAGAGAACTTTGAAAGCAGGAAGAAAACTTACCAAAGGATGGCGTCGGTCGTGAATCTCGATTGTTGATGTGACAGGAGATTCGTATATTAGTGTCTTTAGACTGCTTTGTCAACCTGGTGCCTCCTTCGCGATGTAGAAATGTCTATGGGTAATAAAAGGGTTTGACTCTCGTTGATATCAGAGTTTCACCGTGAGTTTCAGGATAATGGGATATCCTGTCATTCTGTATCATCTCCCAGCTGCTTCTAGTATACGCAACAACTCAATTTTCATCCACAATGTTCTCTCTATATAACTCCTCATGGACTGATTAACTTCCCACTCTCACGTTCGCTATTTCTCGCATGTTTAGTCCCGCTACTAACAAATGCGTCTTCTGGAAGTGCGATATCCCATCCATTTCGTTGCAACAGCTCCCCGGTAGGACTCCTTCCTGTTCAGCTACTGCCAGTAGTGCACGTAATAGATTTTGCAGTTCCAATTTCTCTCTGACTTTCAGCCGATCGCGAGAAACGCGACGGCGAACGATGTCATTAAGTCGATCACTCAATGATAGCCACTGTCTCAAAAACTCTCGAGAAATGCTGAGATCGCCGGATATCGCTTTCAGCTGCAATGTAAAGAGACGGAAGATTTCGGCATAATTCTCTTCCAACTGAGCTTCAAGCTCATAGAGAAAACACTGGAGACTGGCGAGAGCACTCCCCGCAGAGAATGTGTTAATCCCAATAAGTATACCTCCTTCGAGGGTAATAGTAGCGTGAATAACACCAGCCTGCATGAAGAGCGCAGTGCTAGAGTCGATCAAATTTAATAATGGGCCTTCGAACTGTCCACAGAGAGACACGAATGACCCTAGCTCTGAGACATGTTGCAGAAGAAGCTTTCGGTTATAATCGGAGAGAGGCCACATTGTGATCAATTTCCGACTCTTGCCAAGAACTGCAATAAGAGCGTCTCTAGTCTGATCGATGTGCGGGTGGACGACAGCGTATCTAGGAGTCAGGTTACATAAGTGGGGGGTGTCGGTGCTGTAAGGTTTATGGTCCGGGTGAAGAATACTAGGTATAATCATTCGGCAGTCTGGTGGTAGTTCCACGGGTGCATTCATCAAGAAAGCTGGATTTTGGGGATTAGGTTCGATGAGCTGAAAGACTGCTGCGCCCTTACTTGAGGGATTGAAATGTGCACCGCGAAAGGTCTCGGATTGTGCTATAACACCGTAAGCTAATGCTCTTGACCGAATCCGTAACAATCACAAACCTACCTAATCTACGGCAGAGACATCAGTGCTCCCTTACGGCTGCTTAAATACGCCTACAAGTCTCCCGTAAATACAGAGAGTCTCCGGAAAGTACAGAATAATAGTTATAGCTAAGCGGAACATAGTATTCGAGACGAAGAGGAAATTCCGGTTGATTACAGAAAGGATTTTATAAGAAGGAAAAGACGCCTTGATAGTAGTTATTTTCTACATATTAATTAGAAATAATCTACTCGAAGAGAGCGTAGCTCGATGCAGGAGATGAAGGGGGCCTTCGATTCCTAGAGAAAGAAGTTCAGCGGTGCAGGCCTAGTTATTCGCGGTGAGAAGATTTAGAATAGTGTCATGTCCATTGATGGTTAAAATATAGAGACCTTCATTCGCAGTGGGTGATACTTCCCTGGTTGGCTTAGAGGTAATGATGGAGGGAATTGCCGTATATCGAAAAGACAGTTTCCGTTAGTTCTTCGTGCCAAGGCACTCTACTTGTAAGGCCTCCTAGCTATACTGCATTTATTCCACATTGTCTAATCTCTCGGAGAAAATTTTTCGATGCCTCAAGGGCAATTGCCGTATCTATTCCTTGCGAATTTACGTAATAACTATCAAGGAAAAATGCGATACTAATAATTTACTGTCTAACCGAAGCCACTGACTTCATAGATCATTGGACCAAGGTGGTATAGAATCCGCTTAGAATTATTCGAGTAGGCCGGTGAGGCCTCTCCCGTAGCCGAGGCGGCGAAGTTAGGTCGTAGGTTAAAGTAGCTCTATGTAGTTTGGCTAAGATGCTATACTAGCGCCCGAATTCCGAGTCTTCCGGGACTGAAAGCGCGGCTTGAGATGAGGTCCACCCTCTGATGAGGTTTCCCGAGGCTGCTCTTGGCAGCGGGGCCAGCCTTACCTGCGGGTGCTTCTCTAGATCACCGTAAATACGATTGGACGAAAGCTAATGCTGACTGCATAACACTGGGATTATTCTCTTCGCTTTCGACGTTCCTAGTTATGGATTGGGTGAACATCCGGCTCCTTCTGTAGGTTGGTCGGCCTAGCCACCTACTGATTGGCTGCGGATCCCACCCACAGCGACAGAAAAAGCTAAGTAACCACACAAATTTTTATCACTGCTTTACATGCGGCGAGGACTAGTCACGTAACATGCTAACTAGCTGGAATTAGCATACGTATCAAGGTTACGCCGTCTGATCCCGGATCGTTCCCCGCTGGGAACGGGTCATGAGTCGACTATCGCCTCGGCCGCGCGTGAAGGCAGCTAAACTGGATTGACCTTAACAAAACTGGATAAAACTCCGTGGCGTGTGGGTTTTCTCAGAGCATGCCCAGGTTGATGACTTTGTCGACCATGTAATAGCATACTTGTTACCGGCAGCTTACAATTATCCCAGCTCTGAGTCCGCGACCAAGCCATATGCTGCTTGCTAATAGAAGGCCGTCTCACTCGAGGCCATTCCTTCAGCCCCCAGTGGAGCTCTGGGAAACCGAAACGTCAAATCTCGAATCGCCACTGTGCATTCGAAATGCGGGCTAGGAGGTCTATTTACCGCCGTCGATCGTGGAAGTCCGTTCACATACTTTGTGATTGGCCACCGAAGGCAGGGATGTTCTAGTACGCTTTAATCCGACCTCAGTCCTTGAACTGCGGGCTAGTCTCGAACTACAGTGTCTGTCAAAGTTCTTCTTTCTCCCGATCCGAGGACGTTACCACCTCGCTTATTGTTGACATCAGCTTTTCTACTGTAATCAGGACAAGATGCCGGCCCAGTCTGTGAAAGAAAGCGCTACAGTATGTACGCAAAGGTTGGGTGTCAGCAGCAACGGTCTAGTCTTGGCCAAGAAACAACTGAAGCGACTTCTGTCGTAGTAATGCAGTTTTTCGGACTGAGAACGCGCCGGGTGTCACGGTTCATCCTAGCTACACTGTCACTTGATTCGATTCGATTCCATCGTCACTTAAGGAATGCCAATTTTGATCGACCTGTCGAGGTGGGGCGGATGAAAACCGCGTCATATTTGCCGGCTGTGAGCAAAGTCATTCGCGGTGAGAAGTTGCCTGACGTTGTCCTCAGAGCCAGAATTTTCTTCCTCCTTTCAATCTCAGCTTCTACCCATCCTGACAACTGTTTCCACCCCAATCCATCTCCTAGGGTTCCAAGCTACCTCTCCTTCATCATCTCAATCTCTATCCAGATCACCATAAACAAAATCTCTACGCTGTGCCACGCTGTGCCGAAAAGTGGCCTTCGTAACGCCGTGGTTATGTCCTAAAGTGGTGTCAAAAGCATCTAGTCAATCATGTCTGTTCTACCCTGGATCTCTTTCGCTGGAATATCATCCGCGATCTCAAATCTCAAGTCTGTATGCCCCTCCCGCTCAACAGATCTTCCCTAGTCGCTACAGACACTGTTCCCAAGAATGGCGTTCGAAAGACAGATTACAAACTCAGCCTAACGTGTTCTCGCACCGTCAGACACCTCGAGACTGAGGCAGAGGGAGACGATAGGGTCAGAAAGAGTTCTCTGAGGCTGCATCCCTTCCTATTGATATCTCAACAATGAGACCATCGCGACAGTTGTGAGAAAATCCTTATGGCTGCGAGCGGAGATGAGTCTGCCGACATCCTCCATCTCAGTGAGGCGATTAGCTCATGTGACCAATATGCAAGATGTATGGTTTCCGTAGACTCAGAGCGCTGGAAACCATACATCTTGCATACCCGATATTCTGCCGATTGGGCAGCGGACGAGCAGGTCATGTGACCAATATGCTAGATGTATGGTTTCCAGCGCTCGAGTCTACGGAAACCATACATCTAGCATCCTGGTCACATGCGTCTTGCTCCTCTGGACCGATTGGAGGAATACCCAGCCACAGTGCTAGTTACCTGGATTTGTCCACGTCGGCGAGCATCGCATTTCGGACAGAAGTATATCGTATGTTGCCTCGATGAAGACCTAGTTAGACTTCACTGTCACCCCCCATTGTCCCACCTAGCTGACCTTTCTACAGTTAGCATTTCACCGGGGCCAGTCCAGGCTGGATGGCACGGAATCTAGGTCGTTTGTGGTTCAGCTTATTTTCGACAAAGTGTCCTGGCTGTCCATGCTCAGTTTCCTGCCCCTTCTAATTTTTCCTTGCCGTTATTTCCATGATTTCCACTCTGTCATCACTCTTCGTGCTGTATTAACCACTCACCTAAATGAATCTGTAAAAGCTCCTAAAACAACGTCGTAATACCTAAGCAAGCCTAAGTTTAAAGAGCTAGTAGCCGTGCTTAGATACTCTGCCCATATGTTCAAAGGGGAGAGATGATTTTGCGATTGATTTTCCCTAAATGACGGGGTTAGTTCCGCAACGACCGGGGAACGAGATTCTATTTTTAAGAGGTGCATTAGGCACAAGACTTATATTTAGATCCTCATCATTTAAAGCATCTTCTTTGCCCAGGTAGATGTCCTAATCAATTTGCAGTCCTAAGAAATTTGAAGTCTCAATCTACATCTCAGTCACAATAGATCCCCCACTCTGGTCTCTTAACAATCTCAGAAATGAAGGTAGCAGAAATTCTTGCGCTAGCAGCCCCTATATTCGCCATTGCAGCACCCCAGGATGGATATGATAGTCCAATCGACTCAGTCCTTGTTCCCACCTTCGGCATCGTCCGTGGCATCCCTAGCTCTTCACAGCCCGGTAGCTGTCAGGGTGCTAACGGCATCAATATTCCATGTCTATGTCCACCGGACATGGATGCATTCATTCAGCGTCTCGAGCAATTCACTTCAGCTGGGAAAGCTTTCGATATCCCCGTAAAATTTTCGAGGGATGTGAACGATATGTCGGTTGCAACACAGCTCGACCGGGTCAATGCCTGTATCGTCACTCTACAGAATTTTGACGACACTATCAAGGGTGCTGGATGCCCTGCAGCGTCTGCGCCTAACTTTACTACCATGCAAACAATTCTATTACAACAATTACAGGGGATAGATGAAAACTAGGAGATGGTGTAAAGTGGTGGTACAATACTATCCCTCTAGTTACCTTCGGCGCAAGGTAGAGGATGAATTTCAGGATGAAGAAGAATCGGCGATTGACCTAGTCTAAGATATAGAGATGTGAATAGGCGCGACCAATTTTAGAGATGAGATCTAGAGAATTGAATAGACTGATAGGAGAATAAAAATGGTCCTAGCAAAATTCCCTCTTGAGAATGCCTTAGCTATCTAATAAAGGGTGTCTTGTAACCTTATAGACTAATTACGCAGCCTATCCTACTAGGAGAAGTAAGCTAAATCACGCTTATACTAAGTGATTTCTAAGGATCTATAGTTTCAATCCCCTATGATCTTAAGGTTAGAGCATATATATTAGCTACCATCTTTTGAGGAGGATGCTATTGTAACAAGACAAAGTGGCTGTGCTGGACTGGGCTGAAGGGCTAGCAGGGGAGTGAAGTTGTCCAGTCACATGTCAAACCAAAATATGCTGGAAGGGGGGGGTGCGAGACAGTTTACAGTGTTGGCAGAGTGCCATTGTTTACAGTTTAGACAGAGTATTCTACGTTTTTCGACGCCGTCTACCTATTCCTGAGTGTTTCATCGGCCCTTTCATACTTCTCAATGCCGTCGCCGTGCTAGGCACTCGCTGCCCTAGTTGCTGCCTCTCTGGGGTGGTGTTGGTGGTGTTGTTGCCCTGTCAGAAACGCCTTCTAGATTCCTGACCTGCCGGAATGGCCTCTGTGCGTTGTTGCACATGCATGCCGAACCCTGTAGTGCTCTATTACACTATAGTACGGCTTAAGCTTATAGATAGAACGTGAATACTAACATTATTAGATGGCATAGGTTAGGGACTAATAAGTTAGACTTTATGATAGGTATTTTTATAAGAAACTACAGTATAGATTTAGTGTCTAGAGAAGACATCGAAGCGTCTCAATTTTTCTCTAATTTAAAGCTATCAATAATTCAAGAATCTATATTGCTATTAATGTCCAATAATATCCAATTATACTTAACCGAAAAGTGTACGAAGTATAACTATAATGAGTGGCACTGAAGTGTTAGAAGAGGCGTTTACGAACGGACTTAAACCAGCGAGCCCTGGAGTCAGGCTAGTGAGAGTGGTCGACATTGCTGACAGTGTAGGAGATGCCCCTGTTGCAAGATTTGAAACGGGAGCGCTGGAAATCATCGAGCCCGGCGGGGAAGGATCCAGTGTGGCCGTTGGAACTGTTTGAAAAATGGAGGACTCTGAGTTCGGCATCGTCGAAAGAGGAACAGAGGGCAAAACCCTGCCCGTTGGGAAAACATTTCCTATGTCTCCGTCATCCCCGAGCGTAATATTTATGTTGAGGGAGCTGGAATTTCCGTCGATATGAATTTCAATATCCGACTGAGGCAGCTGTGCGGCAGTTGTATTGCTTGGCCGTACAGCTCGTGAGGCTAAGACACTGTCCCTTCCGCGGCGCCGTCCCGTGGGGAGTCTCATATTACGATAAAAAGCGATTATAATGGTTACGACTTAGTACAGATAATACTTGAATGACTAATTTTCTGACGTGTTTACTGTGATTAAACGTGAACGAAAATTTAGAATACTATTGCTTTTATACTAAGTTTCATATAAGCAATTCTAAAATAGTGTAAACCTAGCTCCAATTTTAGCGAATTTACACTTAAATTTAGGATGTCTTATTTCTATTTTTAGATCCCTAAGTTCTATATATAGAGGTATTTACACCTATAAGAGGCTCTATCTTATATCTTAACACTATTACTGTCTTATGCTCTACGAATAAGTAGAAACTATGAGAATTATATTTACCTTTCGGCAATAGTGAGATTACGAGCTAAAATTTGAAGGAGAAAAGTAAATTTATTAGTAGAAGATGGAAGTGCCAAAAGCCGCCCAAATGATGTTGGTAATTACGTATTCCCCACTTCCCCGTTTGGACGACGGACCAAATGAAGATAATGAAGTTGCATTGGCCAGCAAGAGTTCTCTACCAAATTAATAGGAAGGATGACGAAGCCAGTGACGCAAATGGCCCATGCTAGGGTTTGACTTAACGATAACGATAGAGAGAGGTAGCTTGGGTATCTCGGTTGAATGAACCTAGCCTTGCTGAGAGACAACATTGTTTTAATAAGAGGCTAGCAGTTACGGCTTAGCATGACAGAGAAAGTTGGACCTTTGCCAATAAGCAATAAACAGCCGGCGAGGGGGAATAGAGTATCTATAATCAAACCCGTCGACGTCGCACCCGAAGTGAAATGAATGGTTCTTTCTCTCCCGCAATGTCATCAGCCCGACTTCAGTTTTATATAAAATGCTTTCCCTTGGATACAGTATAACTAGGGCGCACACTCAGCTACCTTTGTGTAGCCACAATATCTCTATTATTCTTCTTCCTTATTCCTCTTCATTGTTGGCTTCCACTGAAAAGTGTGTCGAGGTGGGAGGAGCTGGAAATGTTATTCCACGCACGTTGTTTGTCGTCGAATGTCTTCAGCTGGTTATGATTTGTGTTCGACAGGACGGGTGCAGGAGATGGTTCAGACGTCAAGGTAGCGGTGCCGGAAACAACCTGTCCGCACAAGCGACAATGAATGACGTTAGGATGGATGACGGATGATCCGACGTACTGCACTGTCGCTGCGGGAACGATATAAGCGGAAAATGGTATCTGTAGCGTATTTGTGTGTGCTTGGTAGGCTTGGACGACCGGAACAGGCTGGATTGGGGTTTGAATGAAATAGCTGCTCGAGCCTGACGGTGTAGCGGGAAGTGACAAGCTATTAGGCCAATATCCTTCCAGAGAGGCAGTGAAGTCGAATGTCGAACCACGTTGCTGCTCGAGGTGCGAGTCTTCCATCTCGTTCTTTTGGACGTAATGGGAAGTTGATAGTTTAAAGATTTGAAATGACCGATATCAATAGTCCTTACAGATCAAAAGTAGCTGGAGGGGAGCAGAAACCTCCTTATCTTTCTTTGGAATGTAGAACCATAAATATTCGAAAAGTAGCCATGATTAAACCCTGCTACAGTACCAGCACACTTGGAAATTTTTCCGATTAGGTAGGAGTATTGCCTGAACCCATTTCAATGTTCAGTTCTTAAGCTAGATAAGGTAAGGCCGGGTGGCGCGGCAAGTCGGTGGAATTGCCGGTCGGCAATGAACTCAAACTAGCCTAAACTAGCTTAGCTTTTAGTAGCAGTGGAGATCTAGCGAATCATATCACGACGACCTCTCATGCGGCCTCTTTGGTCGCATATTCTTCTTACTCTAGTTCGGACCAAAGACGCGTTAACTACCTGTAGATCGACGATGGCAACATGTAACCTGTAGGCGAGAATACTTGGCCCGCGGTAGGTAGTGCTTGCCTCAGCGAATTACCGATGATTACCAGTCACCCACTTCCTTGAGAGTACCAACAAACTCCTGGAACTCCCAACAAAGAGCGGGCTTCGGGGAGGGCTGGCTGCAGCTAGATAACGATCCTGGAGCTTCGCCAATGGGGAGCTATCGTTCTCTCCCACCAGGTATCCTTGATCCATCCATGTAGTCTGCACCTGACTTTTACACAATGCGAGGGGATTGACGCTCCCGGCGCAGACTAGTTTGGAGACGCGATAAGGACTGGGGATCCTGCTGACCTAGGCTAACCCGACTAAGATCTCGTAGGCGAGTTGAGCGCTAATATCCTCCAGTAAGAAGCGCTCGGGGGCCTGGAACACTTCCTGGTCGTGGTGATCGAAAGTTACCTGCCTCCACCCGGTACATGGGAATAGTATGCGTGCAAGATGGTGGTTATTGTCTCATCAGCGATATTCCTAGGTGTAAACCAGTGTTGGTTGTATGCATTCGATTTATCTCCATTTAGGCCTTGTCTGTTAATACCCCGTTTCTGCGATTTTCGCTTCCAGAGGGGCAATCACCGTCACACTTCGGTCGCCGCGATATGCGCCCATTACGATTCCCACGCCGCTTCTTTCCTCACTGAATTCCCAGTGTCGAGTTAGGCAGATGAGTATCTGACTTCGAACCTTGCCTCAGAACGTCGCACAAAAAACAAGGCCAAAACCACTGAGAGTTTTAATTAGAGGAATGCTATGGCATTATGCCATACATTCCCATCGTACAGTACATGGCGAATCTTCAGACGTTCCTCAATTATGCCTATGATTGTAATTGCTGCCCCTCCCCTCGTGACGCTAGATCTACGCTATCAGCGTCTGATCAACAGTTCACAAAAAGTAGATCCCTACTAGCGTTAAAGTGCCTAGTCAAGAAGACATAGTCCCCCTGCGAGGATAAGGAAATGGCAAGTAGTTCCAGTGGTCTCAGCGATGCCGCGGACTCTACTTTTGGGCTCCACCTACCCTTAATAAGTCTTAGCCATAAATGAAGGCGAAAGCAGAGTACAGGCCCCCGGCAAAGTCCGAGTGATAAATATTGTTTTGTTGCCTTAATTTCATCATTACAGTACTGTAATACCGCGCACGAAAGTCTATTCCCAAAGGCTTAAGAGTGGAACCGTGGAGAGACATATCCTAGACCAACAAAGTGGTCCTATTAATTAAGTTGGTCAGCGGGGCTTTTTCAGGTTTAAACCCACCCGCTTCTTCATTGTCTTCCTCCGAATACTTTCGATACCTGGAGCCTTGCGGATCGGATCCATCTGAGGATGTAGTTACAACCCAGTTACTATTCCACCAATGTCGACTATTCCACCCGAAGATGGCCTTTTTAACGATATTGGTGGCCGGACGTCACGACAAAGTCCGGACGGTGGTAAAGGACCCTCCGAAAAGGAAATCTTGTCAAGAGAATGGCGCAGTCTACCCGGAATACACTCGTTGGGATAGTGGTGTGGTTTTTTAAACAAATTTTTCCTCCCCACTATTCAATAGGACTACTTTTGCTGATTTTTTTTTTCAGAAGCTTATGAGGGCGTAAATCGGGGCCTTAGTGGACCATCTAACATCGATTTATGATGTAGGTGGATATTAGTTCCAGGTTATGGCCAGCGTGGAGCTACAATCCGACATCAATATACTTCAAATGCAGAGCCCTACTGATGTGGTCTTCAAAATATCCCTATATCGAATCGACTTATTATTACAATGCTTGATATTCCTCTTAACGTCGAGGACTGGTCGCCGTGGTCCTACGAAGACGCGTTCAAGGGTTATCAAAAAATCGTCATTGGCAAGCCACCTCCCGTAGTCCCAACTACTTATAAGTTGCCCTTTGGTAATGTCCAACGGCAATGGGTACGACGCCAAGGGGATGTGTTACGGGTTAAATCAAAGGTGCTACACTCGAAAGAGCTTGCGGACGTGGAAGCATCGTTCCAAAAGGCGGTTCCAATGTCACCTACTCGTATGGAACCTTTAAACGAATCAGATCTTATCGCGGCTTTGGAAAGAGCTCTATCTAGTCATTGTGCCTCAGATAAGGAATATCTGGAGTACGCGGCATACAGTGCACATCACCCACAACGTCGGTTGGCACTGGGATTGCCTGAACATCCTCTCATTATCAACGAACGATTATCAAGAACCCGCCACCACATACGAGGCATCCACTCTAGTCTCGTCTATTTTAGTCTCGGTCAGTCTTTCGACTTCATCCACAAAGGTGAAGTCGATCTTCAATCTGCTACCTACCTTTGGCATGGTCATGCGATCGTCTGGGTAGTCGTGTCGCCGAGGCATTCTACAAAATTGGAGTCGCGCATGGTAGAACATCTCGGTGTACAGCATAAGTGCAGTCAATTTGTACGTCACGAACAAATCATCGTCCTTCCATCTACTCTGCGGTCCTGGGGTATTGATTTTAGTATTTTTATGCAGCTCCCCGGGGATGCTGTGAGGACTGACTACCAGACGTATCGCTATCTGTGGAAAACGGGCCCTAATTTGTTGGAGACTGTGAGTTGCTGCGAGGCAGACTGGGGCCTTCCACCACCGATATACGTGTACTGCGCGAAAGGAGACGCCAAATGCGGCACGTGCTCCCGTGTCACCGCTGCCGCCATGGAGATTACCGAACCCCGACCATTAGAGATATGCGAATCCTCAGACGAAGATGAGATAAATGCTGGAGCTGGGGAATCCGATCAACAAAGTTATCGCATCTTCGAGGACGCTATGCTTAACACTGAGAAATGTCAGCAGGAAGCAGCCATGCCCGTAGACGGCCACGGTCTACTGAACAGAGAGATAAAGGGAACTTCCGATAATACCCAAGGGGATCCTAACGGCATAGGCGTCCCGCATATAAGCCCTCTCGAAAACCCCGGTGCCCCATTTTCGCCGCCCCTGGCCAGTTCGAACTCGACGGCTCTCAGCAGTATTCATCCAAGTCTTCCAAAACCGCATAGCCACGTGGATGATCCTGATGATTTATATTCGAGCTTGTTTCTTTCATCTCCCGACAATTCCTCTAATGCCAGCGGCAGCCTTGGAAAAAGTCGGAGTATTTCACCTGGGAGTGACCACTACATTTCGACAGCTCATCTCTCCGCGCGGCGACTCCCTGCGCCCCCTCCGCCTAGGACGGTCACTACTTCGTCGCTCAACTCGCCGGAGGATATATCGGAGGGCGATATAGGGGACAGCAGTTCTGAGCTTGAATCCAATGGTCCCGGTGAAGACAGACATCTAGATAGGGGGGAGCACAATGAGGGTTCGCTAGCTGGAGGCATCTCCATTCCTCAACAAGGTTCACCACCAACTCCCTCCGGGTTTCTCCCAGAAGGCAGCATCTTAGCCCCTTCGATTCTAGGGGGCTCACTTGATCAATCATTGGCGCTGAGATCGTCCTCCGCAGTCGATGTTATCTCTATCACAAGCAGTCCGGTGCCGGCAGAGGTCGATGAAACAGAAGGCTACTCCAGAACGGCCCTTAGTCCTGGAAAGGCAGCACGCCTTCGAAGCATCAATTCTGATACGCCGGGTATGCAAATTGTCCAGGACATTGAAGACTTGATTGAGGTTGGCGTCCAGAACTGGAAGGGCATTGGGTGGAGAACGGTTCGACCCGAAGACACCGAAAAGATTTTGACGAAATTTCGACCCGACGAATGGCTGAACGACGACACAATCATGGAAATACTCTACCGCTTAACCAGCAAACGCGACGATGTGCACGTCGTTCAAAGTCACGACTTTAGCGCCGCGTACGAGAAGGGCGATACCAAAAGAGTACGCAGGTGGAAGTCACCCTCGATCGTCTTGATTCCTGTGTACCAACCATCACACTGGTTTCTTGTCAGTCTGAACTTTGAACATCGTAGAATTACTATGCACGAGAGGGAGGAGAGAGATTACCCAGAAATTAAGTTCTTTGTCTCGTCGCTGGTTGACAAAGTGGAAGAATGGACGGTAGAGCATCAATGTGTAAGTCGGTTCCATGTCTGTAAGACTTTAGGCACCTGGCACGTTCTAACATAATCTAGACTCTCAAGAACGACGGCAATAATTGTGGCATAATCTTACTTAAAGAAGCTGAAGCTGTTCTCAACCCAATCATGGAAGACTTCCAGGACTTTAACCTCCTAAGAAAACGATATTTACTTGTTATCCTCGATGATATTATGGAAGGGCATCGCGAGGCTCCCGTCGACGAACCGAGTAACACCGCCGTAAATGGCACTAATTCTCCCATATCAAATGCCGCGACTCAGAAGTCCCCTGTCGTGCAGCCCGGTCAACGCAAGAAATCCGCCAAAAAGGGTAAACCTATTCAACACAAGAAATCCGCCAAAAAGGTGAACCTGGATTGCCTTGCCTCCGCGCTCGGGGGCAAAGAAGTGCTGCAAGACTTTCAAGACATGGTCATCATATTGCGCGACATGCCCAGAAAAGCTGGCTCTGACATTGACATGGCACTGCGTATGCACGATGATGCTAGGGGCTATCAGACGTCTCGCTCAGAACTCAGAGATTCCTCAGACGACCTATTGCAGAACTCCAAGTGGAACGTCGACATTGCACTCCAGCTCTACAATCACGAGAATCCGTCTACGACATCTTCGGCCCCGGAAGAATGTCCTGGAGACACTCCATCGATTGGTGGTGACAATGTCCAGACTGCCCTGCGCCTGTTCAATCGAGGGCGAGGCTATCAGATGTTGGGTGCGCTTCAAAAAGATATTGCAGCACTTCATATCTCCCGGCTCTTCCGTATTCTCACGGACGAGTTTCGCGAAGGCGCCAACGAACGTAAAAACGCCAAGCGTCGCAAATATAATCGGAAACCACCACCTCCTGGGGAGCCAGGGAAGGGTGCTGACTCTTACGCTTACAAGAAGCTTCTTCATGCCTCTGCTTCTCGAGATACTTTACGGACTACGGAAGATTTAAAAAGCGCGAACAGTCGTGGCTCACGTCTTCTACAGTACGAAGCCGTCTGTGGCCGCAACCACCCTCTGTGGATGCTCCTGCCTGCCCGAAGCGTTCAATGTTCCTTGCACCTTTCGTGTACGGTCAAGCATTCTGAGTAAGTCTCTGTCTCCTCATTTCCGCGCTTTTCAAGATACTAATCATGGTGGAGATATCGCAAGCTCGACGAAGAGCAAACACAGGTATTGGTGGATCACGTGAAAACACAGCACCCACGGTTGTGGGAATCTTTGCCAAAGCTCGAACAGGAGACCGCGCGTATTTTTCGCGGCGAGCCAATCGAGCTCCAGTTCCTGCAAGCACTAGAAGAGGTTCTCGCTGCATCTCCACGGAGCACATCTCCCTCACCTTTTTGAAAATTGTCAATTACTTCACAGCCTTCGGTTCTGAAATAGTTGTGGTTTATCGATATCACATTGACTACAATTAATACATTGGCGTCTTTAAGGCGGCTTAACACGGGAGGGTCGGCGGTTTGGGTCTCCATAGAAGAACGCCAGAAGCGATTTACAGGCCAAGACCAAAATTCATGTTATAGAATCTCTGTGTGCGGCGTGCTCAAGCTAAACAAGTCGTGATTACTAAGCAAATATAAACTGGTTGGGCCGGACGGGAATATTCGTACATCAGCATGGGGTTGATATGGTAGCGGGTACTTAAGGTGGTACCATCGCTTCACAAAAAGTGATTTGTTTCTTTCTATTAGTATTGTTTCTCTTGGAGAATTGAGGTCACTATGAAAGCAACAGCGCCCAGATCATCACACGGGACTCTCGACACAAAGACCAATTAAAAGTACGAACGCAGACCCGTTATATTAGCAGGTTAGGTGTTCGGCTACATCCATACCAAATTAGTCTATCATGCGAAAAGACGTTTGCCGATGCTTCGCTGTTCGGAGACAATATCGAACACCGTCAATTGATTTAGGAATTTGTGAATGCAAAGAATCTGTTGACAGGGTCGCGAGAGCACCACTGGGGCAAATAACCTAAGACGCTAGGCGCTTCATCAACTGCGCAAACTGCCTCAACCTCGTTGTTCCTGCAGATCTGTGACAGGATGGCGGCGGAATAGGAGGTTTCAGGAATGCTCTTGTGGTTATAGGCCAATGTATATATAAACAGGCAGAGTCTCTCTGAATAGCCAGGGGAATAGAACACAATTAAGTAGATCAATCCACTCTCATTTTGTTTACAACAGAATCAATACAATCCTAACTCAGTTATGCGCAGAAACACCTCGACTCTAAAAGAACGTCTTTCTTAACTTTAGCGAACTAATTTCGAGTGCGACCTTCTCCGTGTTTCTGTTCACCGTGGTCTTGAACCCAAAATACCAGTCCACAAGCTGTTTTAAATGCGTCTCAACCGATGACAATCGACTTTGGAGGTTGGATTGTTGATGCAGTCTGAGTTGGTTAGTTGAGGGCTATCCCTCAGTAAAGTAGAAACGTACGTACTGATTTTGGAGCTTTGCGCACATGGTATCAAGCTCGTTAACACGTTGCTCGAGCTTAGCGTACAAGAAATTTAACTCGTTTAGTTGATTTATCACGCCCGTGTCCGGGATGAGCTCCTGTGAAACTGATTGTTGAAGTTCGGCGGCAAAATTTATGGATTCAGATTCGAAAGTTGAACACTCGAATGGGTTAAAGGATAGGGAACTTGGATCGGTACAATCGAGATCTAGGAAGGATAAATTATTTCCGGAGTCGCTGGATTCAGAGGGCGCCAGTTCAGGCAATTGGGTGTCGATGATGAGAGGCTCGTCGGCGAACTGATATGGAGAAGACATTTTACGAGTTATTGATGCTTGGTATATCACGACCGATCGTATCTCAACTTATGTACCTCATCGAATATACCTTCGTCAGAAGTATAACGCTGTCGACATACGGCTGTCGGGCTCTATGAGCCCGATTGTGTTCCCTTTTACGAATACAGCCTCTATTCTGGCTCTCCACCGACGGATATAGTATCTTAGAGAACCCGTATGAAAGAGCCCCCTATTCGAACCTATTTGTAGCGCCCCAGCCACGCCGGACTTGAAATAGATCCGAGCATATTTCTGTTTCTATTTTCAGAAGATATGGTTATCGGGAGGTAAGTCTACTAGTATAAAGAGAACGCATACCTTCATAGTAACTAGTTGACTCCGCCAAAGCTACCTGAAATTTTTCAACACTTTACACCCACTTTTTGATTATTCGGAATGACGGAATCTCAACCTATATTATCAGTAAGGTTCCTATCTCTCGCACTACCACTCAGAAGCACTAAACATCAACAACAGGGAATACAGACTGCCCAGTCTTGCGTCACATGCGTCGAACAGAATCTTATCACGTTATTCTCGGCTGTCGACGGCTGTCGCGGTTCTCTGCGCCTCGTGCACGAGGACCTAGTAGCCTCCGATAATTCCGCCCGGTTTCATGCAGAGAAATGCCGCCATCTTTATCAAGTGAATCTTACTCTCTTTCAAGAAAGGGATGAGATGAATAAGGAAATCGATCGTCTTCGCGGGAATCTGGCCGCCGCGCGTAGAGATGTCAATCAGCTCAATGAAATCAACGACGTTTTGCAAAACAAGATATTCGAGCTCGAAAGAGTACATGACGACCACAACCAGGTGAGTACTTAATTTCCTTACTATGGGCATCAACTCAAGAGCCAAATAGGAAGCCAAGAATCTCAAAGCCAAGATAGCATTCCTGGAAGCAGAGAGGGAGGAGACACGTTGGCCCAGCCCTATTCGCGTCAAATTTCCAATCTATGAAAGTCCGTCTCCGCTTAGTCCAGAGTCCTCTTTAGATCTTAACGCAGAATATACTGAGCTAGTGGACATAATGTTGGAAGGCAGCGAGGCTCAGGCAGGACTATCACAAGGTAATTAGATATTCAGCCCTACACAACCTCGTTACTAGATCGATGGGTGTTATTACTCCTTCGATGACTTTGGGAAAGGCGTAAAACAATAGCCACCACTAGGCTACGATAGTTTTATACTTATTTAGGAGAAGGCCGATGCCCCTCTCTCCTTGGTGATTTTTCTACTATGTTTTATACGTATTTAGGTAGATATAGATGGAACCCGCTTAAGTCTTTATGAGAAAACTAAGTACGTGTGATCGTCTCATCACTTCATATAAAGAAGCATACCGTCGAAGTCTATGTAGGAAGCAGAATCCGTAGAGTTAATGAAACACTCTGCTTACTCAATTCGAGAGTTGTTAACATAATAATATTAGCATTTCTAAATATAGTATCTAAGGGGATATTAAATTTGCTTGTGTAGGACCTACATATTCTTTTAATAATAATTTTAATGCGTCAGCAAATGCTTATAATAAACCATAAATCGACGAACAGTCGAACCCTTCATGATTCCTACGTTCAAGAGGATGAGATGAACGAGGACTTATTACTGGCGCATTATTCTAGGTGTACTTATTAGTGTATAATTAATTAGAGTTTTCAATTTTCTAGACATTTAGGAGACTTTATAGGTCTTATACTAAAGGCCTTCTCGGTTTCGGGAGAAGATCGATGGGCTTACTTATAATAGTTAGAGATGGTGTGCTCTATCTAGGTAGGAAGGTCTATCTTAATCTTTCGAAATTCAGGATAATTACACTTCCGGCCGTCTATAACCTCGCACTATAGTTAAAGTAGTGGGGATCGACAAAATCTAATATGGGTCCGGCCTTACGAGATTATCTATTATAGCCGACTGCTTTTAAATATTCAGCTCATTCTTAGCTTTTCCAATATATAAAACATTCTAGTAGCAGCTAAGTAAGACCTCTAAGTTTTGGTCCTGTTGCACACATTCATTCTGCATCCGTTTTTCACAATGGATGATCTCCAGATAAAAACCACGTCTTCAAAACCATCCTTAGTAGATGTCAACCACTCAACTCTGAGTGCGGCTGATGATGTCGATGAAGACTGGAAAAGGCTTTCCGATCCTGCGGAGCGACGTCGTGCTCAGAATCGGATGGCTCAGGTGCGCTCCTTCATCGACCCTGCGTTACTTATGCTTACAATGACAACAGCGAAGATATCGCAAGAAGCTTAAAAAGAGGTTGGAAGACTTGGAACGCGACCTCGCAGTTTCTACCAACAGTGAAATGTTCGATTCGGGATCCGTGGTAGTAGCGGAAAATATACCCTGCGATAAAGAAGCTCAATCCGTGAACACCAACTGCAGGGTGTCCAGCACCAGCCAAGAGACTCCGCATGCTGAATCTGTTGAAGTTAGTCATCTAATCACCCTCACATCTTCCGAGAAAAAAAAACCTTCTTAACCTCTAATAAGGACAAAACACATCACTTTACTATTTGTCCTAGTAATATCGACGATTTAATAGGGTTCGTCTCGCCAAACTCGCCGCCTGTCTCGGCCCCAAGCGCACCTTTTACGACTTACGGCAACGACTTTGAGATAGACGACTTTATCATTAGTCCGTGGAGCATGGCATATGCCTCCTTAGCTGGCCTAGAGATACCCCGGCCGTCCAGGAACCTAAAGGTCAATCTATATGGACAGTCTTGTTTTCCCTCCCTCTGTGTGCGCTGTCGCAGAGGGTGAGTCACCACCGGCATACTGCGGATCACAGCCCGTTTGGATGTCGTCCACTATGAAATCAGCCGCCAGAGTAATATTACGACAAAGAGAGCTGCAAGCATAGGTTTTTGGATTCGTGGGATGGTTAAAGAGTATAATGTATCTTTTCCTTGCAGCAGGAGAATCCTTCGTGGAAGTGGCTGGATGCTGTCGGGTACACTTCCGCCAAAGAACGGATATTCTAGGAAGATTCATGGGCGCATACTAAGTCTATAGCTAGAGGAAAAATAAATGGGTAGAATACAAAGTCAACCCTTCGATACAACCAATGTGAAAACTTGCATATAATGTCTCTTCCGATTAACTCGGTGTTTAAGAGCTGGAGTTTCGGAAGCTCATTGAGATTTTACAAGTTTAAGTCTGTAACCTCTTAAGATTTTATTAGGTGATAACCTAGATTCTCATAGGTGAGAACTTCGAGGCTAACTCGTAATTCCCAGAAAAGAGATGACAATCTTTTTATGAAGATGATTCCCGTATCACTGGATTAAGCCTTTCAATACTAAACCTCGACAAGGTGTTATAGTACCTTGTGTGCTTAAACTTATGAAACTGTAAAGAGTACATAGTTTATTCCGATAGCTGCCTATATTTAATTCTTTCTATAAGGACATTGTGGCAGATTCTCTAAGCGCAAAGTCGTAAGATTATTCTCGCCTTCGCTGTCTAGGCCCACGCGAGTATTGTGGCAAGTGACATTAATCCTGTAGCCGCCCATGTCATCCCTAAAAATACTGGCCCTCTCTGCGCGGCAATCCCAATTGCCTTTCCATACTTATTAATTATGTCTACCCCTCTAACGACTACGATAGTCGAAATGATGGAGGCGAGGCCAGTTGCAAGAAGCGCCGGCTAGTGAAGAGAAGCGTTAGAGTATTGTAATTAACAGGGCGGTGATGATAACTTACGATATCGATCGCGAGGTTTATAAGAGCAGATAGTCGTCGGTCATAGACTACTTTCCAAGCAGCAGCCGGTACTCCAATACATGTGAATATAATACTTAGCCAATAAAGAATACTCACAACGATACTAGGGGTCCTAAGAGCACGCTCCCAAAGGGTAATAGTGGAAGGCCAATGAAGATCTTTTAGGGTTATGTCACCCGGAAGATAATGTTCCATAGTCTCCGTTAGGTTAAAGTTGAATACTGTCGTGTGATTAGAGCAGCCTATAACGCTCGAGCTTGGCGGAGATTGGGTCCTATTTGGAGTATAAGTGCCTGTGCAATAGCCCATTAGATATATGGCGAAGAAGTCGGGGAGGTTTAGGGCATGAGCAATGTCAGAGGTGACATCATTGAAAAGATCATTAATGCCCCCCTGAACGTCGTTTCCGAGCCCACTAAGAAAGCCACCATCGCCGTTAGTAGTATTGAAGAGACTCGTGCGGCCAATGCGAGATATATTTAACTAGTAGTTTATTAGATATCAGCTACCCTTCAGTGGAAATGGCTCATACCGTCATTAAATCGGCATTCGGGAGAAAAGACTTTTGGGAACCCGCGAAGACGCATAAAAAAGTAATGATTAAGGAAGTAAGCGTACAAGCAAACCCGACAACTGACAATAGTCGCATCGTTGGTGAATTGGTAAGGACATAGATATATAGATTATGTAACCTAATGCAGCCGTGAATTTAGAGTTTCAAAAATAGGTGATTACACAATAAAAGCCCTCTTTAAATGTTAAGTACTAACAGAATACCGCTCAGCGATGTAAATAAAGCTTTGCCTATAAATCCGCATATCTTAAAATATACTCTATTATCCTATATTTAGTACACCCGTATACTATTTAGGACTTAATATGGTCCGTACAGAGAAAGTTGCTCGGGCCACTGTCTATTCTAGGTCGTCCAAAGTCCGTTCTTTGGTATATAAGTGCGCCCACATTCTTCCGCTACAACATGTACGGCAATTTTCATTCACGGCTTGGCTGGCTAAGTGCTATGGCTGGAGAGTTAGGCGGTATGAATGGGTTTAAATCAACAATATTTATTCTTCTCCCTATTATTCAGTTGTCATTATCTAACCCTTTAAGGGCCCCTACCCTTTTTCGTCGTGAGTGTCAAGGCGGAGCACTCACAGTACTGGAAGGCTCGACGTGCGATGCCAGCCAGGCGAATGCCTATGCATGCTCGAATAATTGTTTTGATATAGTAAGTCGAAGCCAGTTAACGGAGAAAATCGACTAACTATTTGCAGCTCCAATGTAGTCAAGAGTCTTCTGATCCGAATACTTGGCTGACTACTACCATTACTCCAGATACCCCATATACCTGGTCTTTGGTGGTTGCGCACTGCGGTTATCCTTATTGTAAGAAGGTAAACGATCAATATTTATGTGACGGGCCAGTTCCTGGGGAAGAGAGCTAAATATTAGGCGTTCGGTATAGTGGAAGTTCTTTATTTTTTCTTTTTTTAGAGACGTATGTGTTAAAGCTTCTTCCTATATAACTTGAAGATAGTTAGGCTGCTCAGTTATAGCTTATATAGGGGGTGTAAGGGGTGAGGAAGTGTGTGGTAAGTATCGATTATTAGGCCACCAACGTGGCTGCTAGAGAGAAGGCGCACAGGGCGGCTGCACGGTGCAACGGACATCACGACTATTTGATTAGGACAGCATTGTCATGGATGACGTCGCGTTCTGGAATGGTTCTCCTTATATGGGCCAAATGTCTATATAAACAAGAACGCACTGAAAGGAACGAATGACCGTGTTAAGGATCCCTACTGATCCTAACTGGGTTAGGGTTCTCAGTAACAATCCTGGAATAGCGTGAGCTGGTTAAGGAAGACACAAGGTATGAGCAGGGTTCTCTGTTACTAAGAACTGTATCGTCCAGTAGATAACATGAGTTGGCTACGAAGAGAGTGTAGCTCTCTAGGGTAATGAGGGTGTATATATAATGCTCATGCTCTGTGCGCTCTATGCGCTCTGTGCGCTCTGTGCCGACAGAGCCAGCAGGGCCAGCAGGGCCTAACAGGGCATATTACGTGACTCAGCCTTGTTCTTCCGTGGATCCTTCCATATGCCCAATGAGTGTAATGAGTCGCGTCCGCGTAACTCGTGACCGGTCTCCTCTAAGACTATGTCTAACAGACCGATATCTCTAAGAATGAATTAATACTATTCACTAACTAAATAGTTCTTAGCCCCATAGTAAGAATGTAGGTATAGTGCGATAACTAAGTAGAGTCTATTAAGTCACATCGATATTGTACTGTAATAGAGCGGGTAATAAAATTAGACCTTTTAGATGCTAAGGGAGAATAATCTTTCACGAAATACGCATTTAAGCACGAAAACAAGCTTTAGGGGCGACCGCGGACCCTGCAGAGGACATATGTCCTTAGCGCCGGCTGCAGCCGCACCTAATGGCAACGGTGAATCGAACTATAAACAACTCAACAATTTCCGTCGTGAAAATTCGTGGAGTAGGCTTTATTTATCCTACTTAGGCGTACGTCGATCCTTACATCACTCTTTCAAAACCCCTCCCTCTCCCCGAACTTAAATGCACAACTCTATAACTTAACTAGATTCGCCTCCTTCCTCTCTTAGCCTTAGAGGTCTGACATCTCGAGCTTAAATGAAGTACTCTATTTAAAGGGGAGGGTTAACATTATAGTCTTAGTTTCTTTTCTAGCCCCTTATAATAAAAGTTAAGATAAACTTCACTACGCCGTCCTTAATAAAAACAGCACCGCGGCGAAAATACTGTAATTAGACAATGGCTATATAATTATCGACTATAACCGGGTGCGATATTTACGAGCTCCGTCCGACATCCTTCTTCTCTTTCCAGAATGGAATTTGCTGTCTACCGGTCTCTTTCTTTTACGGTGATCTTGGGTTCCAAAATACGCATTTAAGCCTTGTGCTTCTATAATATTGTTAATCGTTGACGGTAAGCCACTAATATAAGTTTCGGCGGACGTATCTCCCATTCGCAGGATAATGCTGATTTGCTCGGCAGTCTCCAGTGTAACTTTCCGACAAAAATTTCCATACCCATCAAGGGATCTCGAGTCGGACCAATCAACTGGGAGGGGTTCCCCGTTAATATAGAACTGGGCACGACAGGAGGTAAGTTGAGAGAGTAATATTTTAAATTCTGCGTCTTTTCCTAGTATTGAGCACAGAATATAGCCGGTTCCAATATACTTACCGTTGTCTCGCATCGGTAAATCGACGAGTTCGAAGTAAAATAATGAGGCAACCGCACACCAAGCAACTCGATCAATCGATTCCGATAGCGAAGTATCGTGCTCGACATCGGACTTAAGCTTAAGCATGTGATTAACATCGTCAAGGCCATAATCCTGGTCGACCTCATGGTCTAGTCGATGGTATCTCGGATGATGAGCAAACACTTGTCGGACCTGCTGATCTCTCGACTTCTCCCAGACCAAATCTCGTATTCTAAAAGCAGCCCGGGCTGGAGGGGCGGCGACTTCACATAACTGGTCGTATTCGACCTTCGGAACCTTCCCGGTCCCCAGAGACAGGATCAGATCGGTTGGCGTCGACGGGTATAGCATGGCTGCTTCTGAGAAAGCCGTGGCGACCGGATCGTTTGAGAGAAGACCTATATCTTGGAATGTGCCTACCTTAGGAATATGCTTGGTAGGGAAGAATCTAATGGACCTTGTTAGATCTAAATGAAAGATCCCGTCCTGAATACTTACACCGGCGCGGCAGACGCAGCTCTCGCACTAGTTAAGTCAGTCCTGAAATCAGAAATAGGCTTTGGAAAAGTGATCGCCTTACATCTCCCAGAGCGGGACGTTTGCCCCTGCCTCTTCTTTCACAATCGAGGTTCCTAAAACCATGATAAGACGACAGCAGATACTATATATAACATGCGCTTACCGTGATTCTCATTAGGGCGCATATAATTAGCAAAAATCCGGCAGGACGGCTTCTTTAGCACTGTCGCAACAAGCACGCATATTTTCGCCCCCAGCTGGGTGGCATAGGAGCAGTCAAGCATCCTTGTCTCTTGCCCTAGAAGATTCTGCAAGATCGATTCGAGGTTTTCAGGCTTGTAGAGTCCATCCCGAGCATAAAGCCGGAATAACTTTGCTACCCAGGATATGAAAGGGATGCCGAGAGTATTTTCTTGCTTGAAAGAAGATTTAGCCAGTTTCAGAAACGACTGGATGCACTTGTCCAGAGGCCAGCCCTTGTGGTACATAGCTAATGCCGTGATGCTTCCTGCCAACCTGTTAGCTTGGATGATCTAATTGAGCCACGGAGTGCATTTACCTGAACTGACGCCAGCGACTAGCTTGAAATATTTCTGAATGGGTATTGGGAGACCGGTCCGCTCCTGAATCCTCTTCATCAATGTCAACGGGATAATGGCCCGCGTTCCACCACCGTCGAGACACAAAATACTCACTCCACGTGTAGGGGCTTTTACTGTGACAATGACTTCCATTGTCCATTCTTCCCCACAGAGGAAGCAGCAATTAACCCGATAGGTCCACGGTTCACTTGGTGTCACTTTCCCAAAAATTTGGACACAGGTCTCACACACCAAATGGCCACAGGGGAAACGATATTGTGGAGTTCGACTGGTACAGCAAAAGCAAGTGACCTCACTATAAATTTGGCTCCATCTGTCCTTATGCCGTTGGATATTTGTCAAATGGATGAGCGCACTAGAGGAGTCGGGGGACGAAGTCAACCTCTCAAAATATTCAAGCAGGTGAGTCTGAATCTCCTTCAGAACCCCCGTACGCAAAATTACCTTGGATGATGACTCGAAAGATATGACACGTTCGCCAAGTGCATCGTTAACGGCCTCATAGTACATTTCTCGGAAGATGTGTCGTGGGTCGAATACTTACTAGAGGTCAGCCCTCTCTGCTCGATATGTTCACCGCTAGGGACTTACCGTGACAATCTGGGGGATAGCTGTCTAAAAGGAAACTCGAAGCAATTACCGGAGCGGCAAAACTGATTACATCTTCCGGTGTTGCACAGTGCCCGAAGAGATTTGCAAGGTGTTTCTTCAGGTCTAAGGCGGCTGGATTCCGCAAACGAGAGGCTTGAATGAAATTGAATGGTTCGGTCGCGGATTCGGAAAAGTGCTTGCAGGCTGCCTCGATAAAAGCCACTAAGTGAGTCATGGAGTACAGCGTGTGCGATTCAACTCTGTGTTTCCGCGCCCTATTTGACGCCCTCAACAGCCGCCCTTTCAATCGATTCCAGTTAGGGGAGGGTCCAAAAGTACGGGGTGGGTGGATGGCAACAACGTCAAGGTCGGATATGAGATCAAATAGGTTGTCTGCGCTCTGCTCTTTCAACAACCAGAGAAACGCCTTTTTCGCTTCTTGTTCTCTCTGGGCTGTCGTTGGCATCTTGTCGGTGACAATCATGACGGTGGGCTTCGTCAGAGGCGGTGCTGTTGAAACGGTTTTGCTACGAAGCCACCCAGCAAGATGACGTGCGATGGTGGGAAAGCCTCCTAAATCTGAAGCAAAGAAGCAGATAACATCTGTGAACGGCAAGAGTAGACGGCTAAGCAGTGCCTGTTCGAGCCCGTCTGGAGAATATGACTCGGAATTACGCAGAGGCCATCTATTTATCTCCTGACAGCCGTGGCCTGTCGTGTGATATCGAAAGCCTCTGGTGTTGAGAGAAGCGTCAGCGACCAGCAATGGTCTGGTGGACTGCTCGGAGCTGGACGCCATATGCAGATCTACATCCCCGGCATACTGTTTACTTTTGAAAATCTTTCTGCGTCTGATCCCAAACGCCTTCTCAAGGGCAATAGACTTCGTCCGGGCCCCAATAAACACATATAGACTCGGTTCCACCTCGTCGGGATCAGCCACGCTACGAAGGAGTGATCGCAGTCTATTAGACTCGAGCAGAGCGGTTTCGAAGCCCTGCTTGCTAATGCTGAGCCATTGGCTGTGATTGGAAAGTTTCATGATGATGGTCGTTCTAGGTAAATTATTTGGGCTTATAGTACCTCGTATGGGGACTGCGCCATCTAAGTATCGCCTTCTACAGCGCAGGCAGAATTGGTTCAACTTAAAAATAGATCTAGCTAAGTATTAATAGATTTCATCACCCTATTTCAAGGCACTCCTAGGAAGGTTAAATTTATACACAGTCCCCTACAGCGTCAATACTTCTTTTAAAACCCCCAGCCTCCGTTACTATGATCGATCAACTATTATGACCTTTTATCTACCTCAATACAGAGAACCATTACACCTATTAACATTAAATAGTCGCAGCCCAAGCATCAGCTATAAGCTCTAACTGTCGTTTAGATCGTTGCCTATTTCTTCTCTACATTTACGCCTGACCAAGGTTAACGCAATGTTTAGTAACGATCATAGAATCTCTGACCTTCTTAGAGCGATAGTTGGTGGACAAGGCAACCCCAGTCAGCGAGAGCTAAGACCGAGATGCATTCGTTGTGGTAAAGCACGTTCTACACGGCATCACCGAAGTGGTGCGTCGACAAAGATATGTTCAAGACCAGGGTGTGATTCGTCCGTTAAGGGTATTCTTCCGACCAAAGAGACCCAGGAGAAATATATCGTCCTTGAGGTCCATCACTACTTCCATGAGGACACAGAATCGGCCATCAATCCAGCGCAGCCTCGACTTGCAGAGGTGTCTGGCGAAAGTGCCGCGGAAAAGCGAGCAGAGATGCCAAACAACTGGTCGCGTCGCGTCACTCGAGCAATGACCAGACAGTGCGAGGCAAACGTCGATGAACAACCCCCGTCATATCGAACCTTCAATAAACCTACCTTAATTCTTTAAGCTTCTATTTCTTCCTCTATAACTGTCGTTCGAACCAAAGATTGCGAGTCACTATCCAGAATGAATATTCAACCCTGACGGTGTGGCCCCTTTCTGGCGGTATATGTTGGATAGTAATAATGGGTCGATCTATGTTTACGTAAAATGATGCCATGGACAAGGACGAGGTATAAAGTTGAATTTCGCAAAGAGGGTGCCACAGTTTGGAGCGACAGATATTATGGAATAAATACAGCGGCCTCCTATAAGCGATGGGTTACGACGTGGAGTTTAAAAGAGAAGAACCGGGAACCCCGTACTAATGGCCTTGTCGATAGTCTTGTTTAAGCTATCTTAGCGTCATCAAGATATATCTATTACAATGGCTGGCCGTAAATCTCTTACTAAGGATCACCACCGATCCTAACTGGGTTAGGGTTCTCAGCAACAATCCTAAATAGCGTGAGCTGGTCGCGGACAACGCAAGGTATAAGCAGTGCTATGTAACTAAGAACTGTATAGTTCAGGAGATAACATAAGTTAGCTACAAAGAGAGTGCAACAATCTAGGGGAGTGAGGGTGTATATATAATGCCTATACTCTGTGCGCTCTGGTCGCTCTACTCGCTCTGTTGTAGAGCCGACAGAGCTAACAGGGCTGATAGGGCGTCTCATGTGATTCAGCCTTGTTCCGTTATGGAACCTTCCACATATCCAATGAGTGTAATGAGCCGCGCCCAGGCGACTCGTAATCGGTCGCTCTCAAGGCTATGTCTAACATCTCTATTCTACACCACCGATAGAGGCTTCCTAGAACGTAAGTTATAAGAAATTAGTCTTATCTATTACGAAATGGCCTTTAAGGGGCCTATGGGGCTAGAAAAGAAAGGTATAGAGAAGGAAGTGATCTGTAGTGCTCTAGTCAAGGAGAGGAGAGCATAACAGAGCATTAGGGAAGTGATCTATAGTGCTCTGACTAAGAAAAGCAGAGCACAATAGAGCACCACGAATTCCCTATGTCTATATACACGAGGTAGTTCCTATAGTTCTCGTCATAGTCACCTTCGTTCACAAAAAATCGAGTTCCTCGGTTTTATACCCTTTACGTATAGTCCATCCACTATACACTTAGTCTCGATCTTAGCTACTTAGCCCCACTCCTATTTCACTAAGTAAACACGGTTTACTATCGCGGTGACACCTCACGAGGTAAAGCCATTCGTAATAGAAAGCTATAAGAGTTTCCTCTAACTCTTCTTCTTTCTTAAGCGTTGAGTCGTTTTCAATAGGACTACGTAATATAGAATAAAGTATTTAGCTACTTTAGCTCTTAGTTATCTACTGCGTAGCGTAGATTCTAACGGTCTATAAGAGTAATCTCACTTAAAATTTTAATAATCTAGAGATCGTAATCGAGGGTAGATAAAGTATTAAGAACTATAAGATTAGAAGAAATACTGTATCTAGGCCCGGTAGTTTTAGTCTCGAGAAGTAACTTTCGGAGCCTTTCCATTTTAATAGAAGAACCCATACATTAATAGGACTAAAAATGAGAAATTAGAACTAAATTTAGAATTTACTTTTTAGACGGCCTTAGAGCGTGCTAAAATTAGATTTATAGGTGGTAAATCCTCGGACAGAAGGGGCTTTTAAGTAAGCACTACCTTCGACGTTATTATATATTAAGGCTCGGTTGTCGACGTTGGAAGATAAATTTCTCTCCGTGTTTTACCATTCATGAGAAAATGGTCCGATTTTCACAATTGACAAAGCACGAAATCGCATTCCAGTCGTACCTATGGGGTCGGATGAATACGGCTGGGAGAGTTAGATTGTATGAAGACTATCCAAAGTTTCGAGAACTCTTTGCAAGCTTACCAGACGATCACTTTTTTCTCTTTGAGAATATCAACCCTGCGTTATGGCCGGAGCTTGTTAGGCATAATTATGGTAGCCTAAATCGCAGCGATAAAGAAGCGCACTTACTTACAGAAATTCTTCAAACCTTGTCACCTAAAGACGCAATGAAAGCATTTCGATTAATGCAGCAAACTCCTACACGCCTCGCAATCATGGAGCGACTAACTCCCGAATTCAGAGATATTATTACAAAAGCGCTTACTGAGGCTGAAATTAAGAGATTGAAGAAAGCTCAGAATAATTCAAAGGAGGAATACTTTATTGCTACGAAAGAATTCATCGAGACTTTACCTTCTTCAGCACGAAAATGTTTTAGTAAAGAGTGCGTCACAATGCATTGCGACGGATCCGGAAGTTTCGATGACTACAACCCTTTCTTGATCGCACGCTGTTTCAAGCACTCATTCCACCTTGCTTGCAACACGAGTCACGATTGTGTGTGAAATCGGCTTATTCCCATGCAGTTTCGAGGGATCATCTGGAAAACTGAAATATTTTCCCACGATACAATACAAAACCTAGTCGTTCATTCTTAACTTGGCTATTGTACGTGTTAGACACAGACTTGGAGGGGGCTAGCTAGGCGCATGCTGCCGTGGCACTACTCAGGACGTCATTGGCCATATGGAAGGATCCACAGGAGAACAAGGTTGAGTCACGTAATATGCTCTATTAGCTCTGCTGGCTCTGCTAGCCTTGTTGACAGAGCGCACAGGGCGCACAGGGCGTTAGCATTATATATACACCTCGTTATCCTTAGATAGATTACACTCCCTTCGTAGCCAATTCATGTTATCTACTAAACCAGACTGTTCCTGGTAATATCCCCACTCATATCTTACACTCCTCTTACTTAGTTCATAGTATTAAGGATCTATTACTGAGAAACCTAACCTTATTAGGCGACGAGGAAGTAGCTCTAACATTACGCTATTACTATTCTACTCTCTTAATGTCGTCTTTTCTTAGGGTTATCTTGCCGGCAACTCTACGTTTCCTACCGCCCTATCCTTTCTAACCTCTCCGCAAGAAGTATTCAATAAGTGGAATGGTGTTTAGGCGTTGAGGCCTCATTCTACCAGTTAAAGCCTAGGATCGAATAAATTTATATACTCTCTTTAATATATATATCCTCACTATAGATTACGTATGTGATATTAGTATCGGTCTTATGTTACGGATCGCTTTGCCACGTGAGGTGTCACCGCGATACAGTAGTAAACTAAGTTTACTATACTTATTGATATAGGAGTGGGGCCTTATATAGTAGAGACTGAAATTAAGAGCATAGTGAATGAGACTATACGCAATACATATAGTATTAAAGAACCTCGATATTATTGAGAACTAGGTTAACTATAAAGAGAACTATAGGAACTATTACGTATATATAGACGTAGGGAATTCGTATGCTCTATCGCGCTCTGGCTAAGCTAACGGAGCCAACGGAGCACGACCTACTCTGTCCTACTCTGTCTAGCCTTGAGATCCCAATATAGCCAGTCACATAGGCACCCCCCTTTACCTCGCTATCCCTTCCTTGTTTAGTCTCACCTGGCCTAACTGAGGCCGTGTCGTAATAGGTTTCGAGAATGACTATATAATCGTTCATGAGATAATCGAAACTAACCCATCGGCAGCGTTATATGGAATCACTTCTGCTATATAATTATATGTCCCCCGAGAGCCCTTCGAAATTTATTTTGTCTTCTAGTTAAGGCACATCTAAAAGGCCAAAGTGTTATATAATACGTTAGGCCTATCCTAACGAGCTTAAAAGGTATCTCATCTATAGACAACTTACTAATAATCACAAAGGGTTCGCGGCCTATCCAGAGGTGGTTGTGACTCTATCTCTACTTTCTTCTTGTTTATAGAGATCCTGTAACTTATAGTTATACCACAGTAGAGATACTAACATTGCCGTTAATAACGGGATGTTAATAATAAGCGCCACCCTCGCGGTGACAGACAAATATCCATTGTGAGCAGAGTAAATATTGATAATGATGTTGAGGAAGCCCATTAATGAGCTGGCTATTTCCGGCCTTTAATTTCTCAATTAGCAAGACCTTAGAGGTGTATCTAAAGGTTTACTCACACGAATATCGTACGGATCAGCCATACGTAGTTCAACCGCCATGTCCGCCAGAGATATATAATGCCTCCACCTCCGACGAGGCTGCAGACTATGGCAAGGGGCAGTAGTGGAATGTTTTTTATCGGCTCTGCCACCAAGCGCCCAGTAATATTTTGCTCGAGATGGTTCCCTAAAGAAGTAAATGTCCCAGGGAGGACTATGTAGCTGGTGTGAATCAACCAAGACGAAGTGAAGGCGATAAGGCTATATCGCCTCGAGATACTCTCAGCTTCAAGGATCATAGCTTTGTAACTGGCCGGCATTTTCGTAGGAGTTTAGGCACTCTGAGAGGACGTAGATCGTTGTGGCAACTTAAAGTGGCCGCCAAAACATCAGCGCTTTAATCTAGAGATATTTGTATAGTAACCAATTGTGGATAGTGGCCCCGCTCTACTAAATTTGACGTAGTAACCTAAATGATTCTATATTTATTGAAATCTAGCCACCGCTCCACCATCCTTTAGTCTCTACTTTTCCTCTACATCTCTTTAAGTTCGTTTAGGGTCTAGGAGGCAGTTAGGACGCAATAAATTTACATCTAATTGTCCACTACACAGTTGATCTGGTCATTTCTCTTTCGCTTCATGGACAGCATAAGCCGGTTATATATCACCGATATTAAACTACGGAACATACTGAGGTAAGTATTTATTCGTTTCAACTCTATATGCCGCAGGATCGCTTATACGTAGGAAGTGTCGGATAATTAAGTCACACGCAAGCATGACTCATGCATTTAACTCCAGTCGGGGAGACCACCCCTCAGTCCTGTTTTCCGATATACCAACGGTGGACTCATTACTTCGACAGGTTGATCAACTTCAGGAAGCAGTTGACGGCGATATCCTAGAGAGACTTGAAGAGGAAAATGCTTTATTAGAACAATGTATTAAATGCGGAAGACAAAAATTGGTCTCTCTTGCTAGCATCCTTCGAGAGGCCTTTGAAAGCTATGTGGTTTTGAATGCATATCTTGAGAATCTACAAAAGGAAGAGCGTGCAATTAGCGAGGAATGGGCGTCTCTTCTTCAATGCGATACTGTCGAAACAGCGGGTGCGGAAGAGAGGATCAGGAAATCAATCTAAAGCATGCTGGATGTGTTCACCTCTCGAGTGGTTGCAGACATTGCAAAGGAAAAATATAATCCAAGAACATGCTTGTGACCCTGAGTGAGGCATAAGCACAGTCATCGAGTCAGCTCTAACGTATTCGTGTTCCCCTAACTGCCACGATGGTTTCGGGAAGTGGTTACAGTATCTCATATATAAGGTAAAGGATAGACTGCGGTGCCTTTCGATATTGTGAACGCTTCAGCCGTAGTAGTAATCTTGTTCGAAAACTAAGTAAACTTTTCTAGCTTATTGGCTAGCTCTAGGCGATTAGACTCATCTATCTTGTAAGACTTAAAAGTTGCTAGGGTTACATAATAGTTAATGTACACGGAACCAGCATTCACACAGGTAGGCGCTCGGCGGCGCATGCTCCCTACTTCCGCGACCCTCATGAGTTGTAAATGCTATATATATATCCGACATCTCGAATAACGATTCTAGGATTTCATCACTGCATCTCTTTTGCCCTTACGAGTTCAACGCTTTCAAACACGGACCGCATCGACTTTAATCATGCAGCGGCTTCCTCGCCTCCTAAATCTTTCCGAAAACACCGGTCATCGGATATTGAAATACCGCTACTTGTTGTTGGTTGCATTGAGCTCAGCGATCGGTACTGTTCCAAACAACAGGCACAGTGAAGACGACCTGACAATTTCATAGATAGCAGAATCTTTCTCTTCTGTGGCAAAGCCCTAGCCGCAGGAGGTCCAGCTTCCCTCCTGTTGACAGAAGCACTTTCATGTATCATGCTATATTGCGCCCTGGATCCTCTCATGGAGATGATGGTCTACCAGCCATCGGGTTCTTTCATTTGTTTCGCATATCATTACATCGATCCAGCGTGGGCTTTTACTGTCGGGTGGATCTACGTCTTCCACTGTTTCACGATAATTCCTTTTGACATCATCGCGGCCGCCAAAATGATGAAAGCCTTCCTCCCGTCCATCAATATTGCAGTGTGGCTTAGCACCTTTATCGTTGCACTCTCTGCAACGTCCCTCTCTGGAACTACATATTTTATGCAGATTTCTGCTCTATTAACACTCGCTAAGCTTATTATGATTACAGGCCTAGGGTTCGTTGTAATGTTATTTGTTGCGGTGGAGATTAAGCGCTAATTCTGACACAGGCTTCTTACGGTATCTCTAGCTAGCAAAAAGGGTCTACCACCAGAGTACAAACCCTTCGAATATTGGAAAAGACCGGGTGCGTTTAACGGTGGTCTATTTGGTGCTGCTGGGACGTTGTTCTTTTCCGGTACCAGTCCCAGCGGACTCGATATACTCAGCCTTGGTGCCCAAGAATCAAATTCGACGCCTGATACAGTCCGGTTAGGCTCGCGAGCCCTATTTTGGACTCTAACAACCCTACGCATCTTCAATGCAGTCGCTGCCGGGATTGAAGCCCCATTTACAGACCTCCGACTTCTCGACAGCCATTCCGACTACGGCGTGAGTGCATCTCCTATTGCAATTTCGATCGCAACTTACAATGCGCCTTCTATCGCATTTGCGTTGTTACGATTTTACAGCGTGTCAGCACAACTTTCGACAATACTTTCGGCTGTCTTTGGGGTATCCAGGGCTTCGTTGGCACTGGCTAATGTACAGCAAGCTCCGCGTCTATTTGCCTTACGAGATAGCAAGGGGCGCCCCCTAGTCTCTCTCTTAATTGTCGCTTTCTCGGCGTTACTTGGATATATAACACTCTCGGGACTTTCAGAGCTACTTTTGATCTATGCCGTCGATTCTGGTGGGGTCCCGATCCTATTCGTCCACCTAACTATATTTGTCGCGCACATCAGATTCCGGAGGGGGCTTCGAAAGCAGGGCCGGAGTGTGTCGGGTATCGATGACAGATACTCCACGGGCCTACTAGGGTCGTATTTTGGCATTATCTTCAGCTTTACAGTGATATTTTGCCAACTGTGGACCGGGCTCGGGTCGACAGGGTATTCAGAGACACTATCGGTGGAAATAATTAGTATCTCTTTTACGTCCTACCTCTATATTCCGGTCATACTAAGCCTTTATGCCACTTATAAAGTGTGGCACCGAACGCGGTGGAGGAGGAGTACCGAAATGGACTTCGCGCTCCTATAATGGAACAGAGTCGAAAATTATTATCGGTCGAAACGAAAATGACGAAAATAGGAAAATTATATTGCGAGCGATTAGCCTACTATCCCGGAGGAGTTAATGTTAGATAGAAGAACGATTTTAGAGAACTTCACGCATTTTCGGAATAGAACATGTAATAACGACCGTTTGCCAGCAACACTACTTAAAAATCTATCCCGGCTGAATAGAAACCTAATTCTTATATTCCTCCTAGAGGTACAAAATTAGTTAGTAGTGAACTGGGGCGAGGCTACTAGCCATGGGCATCAACTCGTACGGCGGTGGGTATGGTCTCTTCTTGACGCGCACGCTCAACTGGGGAAGTCCTCTCTGTTGGTAACTTCGTTGCTTATATTTTCTATGAAAGATAGTCCCTCAGAACTATATAAGAAGAACCATAGTCTAGGGTCGGCGCCCCAGCCAATCATAACGCTATCCACCACTTCCAACTTCTCCCATTACAGTAGCGATATAGGAAATAAGGGAAATGTGTGCAAGCGTTAAAAATATCGGGGATAGATTTTTAACTGTTATTTCGCAGTAGATATCTCTTTAGGCCGCTAGCTTAGCTAGACTCACGTGAATAATTTCCAATTTTAGTATGTTATGTGCGTGACTTAGTTGAGAATGTCTAATAAATCTGGCGCTTAAATTTTAAACTTATAATACAGTACTCTCTACTAAATAGACATAGTGTAGATTAAGTTAATTCTTTAACACCTTTAAAAAGATGGAACTTTTAGCTGCTGCTTTTATCATTTGGCTCTCTTGGGTGCTAGCAGTCTTCGCCCGACAACCTCCCTCAGATCCAAACATACATATTCTGTTTGATGATTTCTTCCAAAGTTACTGGAAAGATAGTAACTGGAAAGGAGCGAGTAGTTGGACAGGCGACAGTGCTTCCAATCTCATGGTTAATTACCTTACGACTTTGGAGCACAACGACCATCGCCATAAAGTCGACGATATCTTTATTAAGATCGTCTCCCGTTCGCTAAATCAATGGACACTTCTCCAATACCTTACACAAGGCTATGATGATTTCGGGTGGACTGTTTTTTGCCTCCTTGAGATGCTCCGGTACTCTTACCAGTATGAAGAGAGGTATCCGGATTCAATCGTTATCGATCGCCTTCCTATCCTACGAAAGCGGTTTGCATTTCGTGCTGCCTTCCTTCACGACGCAATGAAAGATTCTTGGAGCACAGAACTCTGTGGAGGGGGTGCGGAATGGAAAGTCCGGGCGCGAAGACTCTCTCTATGGCCTTCACTTGACTTCAGCGGAATATATAAGAACAGCATTACCAATCATCTTTATAACTCTAACAACGCCCAAATATATAATGCATCTTCCGGCCAGCCTCGACCTTATGAGATAAACGAACTCAGCCTCCACTATTTGCGATTGATGTTAAAGCTGATTCGGCCAGTCTTGGGTTGGCCGCGAGCCCAATTCCAATACTTTAATTTTACCGATACGGATCTCATATACAGAACCATCGAGGGAATTAAATGGATGGAGCAAGCACACCTTCTTACGAACGAGTCCCTATATATAGATGGACAGCGACTTCGATTTACACAAGACACTCCAAACGAACGTCCCAAATTGTCCTGCGATGCGAGTGTAAAGACTCTCTATACTTACAACCAGGTTGCTGGTATACGCGCTCTACGCTACTTATCCTTAGCTACTAGTGACTCAAAACCTATCAGTCAGGGTCACCAAGCGATACAAAACTTGATCAGCTCAACCTATAATGGTAGATTAGGATCGAACGGCATCCTTGAGGATATCTGCGACCGGTTTGGCAATTGTACCCAAGACATGCAAATTTTTAAGGGTCTACCCTTTCTCGATATTAAAAACTACTGCGAGCCAATTGAATGGGCGAATAAAGAGGTCCAAGCCTCGCATCGCAAACATTGCTCAAGTTACCGCGGATGGATTAATGGAAATGCGGCTGCCGCATACGCGACAGTTGATCAATCAGGAAAGTTTGGGGGTTACTGGGGGTTAAATTCTACAGAGAGCAATGAAATGACGCAGAAGCAGTCTATCGAGACGCAAGTGGCTGGGCTTTCCGTTTTACTAACCTCGTCGTGGTTCAATAAAAAGTTTAGCTAAGGTACAGTATATGGTCAGAGATATCTTTTATATGAACGGTCGAAAGAATTTTAAATCGAATCTCTTATAGTCCATCGGGTTTTCCACACCAAGATATTAATCCTCTCGCAACGCTCTATTAGACCGTGAAAAATATACTAATTATCTATAGGTGCACTAGGAAATGCGTTTAAAATCTTTTCGTATCATCATAGTATCTTTTTTAATCCGGCTGTTCGAATAAAGATAGCGTAGATCCGTTATGATAACGGCTATAAACATCCCTATATACCCGTGAGTTAAGCTATTAACTATCCCCTACGAAGATCTGAGTATATTTTTTCGATGTGAGAAAGTTTATACAGTAGTTCTGAATTACATCGGACGTAGGTAGTACTAATCTAAGCGCCGTCTTCCGTTAAGATTGGTCTCTCCTACTGAATATACCGTAATGTTAGAGGTGATCGGAGATAGGGTCTAAGGTTATATAACGATATCATAATATACTAAAAAGGTAGATTCGCTGATATCACTCTAATATACGTGAATAATTGCGGCATACCTTCGACAATCGTAGGATGAGTTAATAACGCGAGTCTAATTAGCCAAAGGACAGAGCTTGTCCGTGTCTGTACATTACTGTATACAGCTACTAATCCTCCATAGGCATTCGCGGGGAGATCGAAACCAACCCATCAGAAGCACTAGGGAAGACCATTTTTTCTTAATCAAGACTATATCTACTTTAGAAGAAGTGACTTATGTAATATCCTATGATTATATGGGGTGGGCTGACATCAAATGAAGCGGTGGGAATAACGATAAATGAGGGTTTGTAAGAGCTCCACGCAATCCCTGCGCTCGACGGTCAGCCGATCTGTCAGCCACTTGTACTCAAGCAGAAAGTAGTACAGAAATGATTACGGTGGGGGATCCTCATCGAAGAAGTACGACTAGGAAAAAAAATGAGAAACCGCCTAGTCGTATAAAGGTATAGTAATCTACAAAGCAACCCCGTATTTCATCAGGTCTTAACGGAACCTACTTCCTGTCTTGATAAATGCGCTCAGCACAAGCCATAACGATGTCGGCCACACAGTCAGAAGAGACTGTCTCAGAACTAGGCAAGAAAATAGCAGAGCTCGCCAAAGCCTTCGATAACCGCTGCACCATGGAGTCTCTTGAAGGAACGCAGGGATCTTCAAGCGAAACTGGCTCTTACCATATGAGCCCGCGAGAGACATTGATTCTCCTACTGAATAACATGCTCGACAAAGTCCAAGGCCCTACTCGCACTCTGATTGAAATGGTAAACACGGCGCGAGTCAGGCTTTCCGTTATGCGCATTATCATAAACTTCAATCTTATCGCCAACATACCGGATAGTGGCTCCATATCCTTCAACAAGCTCGCCTCTATCGTGGGAGCTAATCGGCTCGAGCTGGAGCGTGTCCTTCGCTTCGCGTTCAGCCAAAGAATCTTCCAGGAAAAGATTCCGGGTTCGGGGGAAGTGTCGCACACGGAACTGTCGAAAGCAATATCAGCTCTAACTCCATGGATTAAGCTCGTGCTGTCTCCGGTGACTATACTACCGGACTTATCCCTACCGGAGGCACTAGAATCGAAGAACAGCAGCAAGGCAGCCGCAGAGTTGGCATTCAAGAAAAATTTTTGGCGAGTCCTTAAGTCAAACTCTAAATTCGGCGAATTTCAAGACGGATTAAGATCTCTATCAATCGCTCAAAAGGCTTGCTTAGATCCTGTTGGCGATCTATTTCGCTGGGAGGAACAAGCTAAAGCTTTGATTATTGACCTCGGGGGAGGAGACGGCTATTCCGCGATCGAAGGTGCCAGAAAAAATCCCCATCTTCACTTCATCGTGCAAGATCTTGAAGAGAATCGAATCCGGGCGGAGCAGAATATTCCTCAGGATCTGAAAAATAGGGTGATTTTCCAAGCCCACGACTTCTTCACTCCACAGCGCCAAATTATTCGGCATCCTGTGACCATTTTCATGAAATCGATACTTCACAACTGGTCAAACGATCGTTGTGTGAAAATTCTGAGGCAGTTACTGCCCCTACTAACTCAAGAAGGAAGCCGACTTCTTGTGCAGGAGTACCTCTTGTCGGATTGTGCCCACGTTCGAGCCATGGATGTGACAATGCTGACGTTATTGAACTCAGGGGAAAGGACCATCTTCGATTTTGAGGCATTATTTCACGAGGTGGACAAAAGAATGCGAATCGTCAAGGTTTGGGATAGTGAAGAGTGGGGTACGAGGATATTGGAGGTAACTGTCGACTCTTAAGCACCGTAAGAGTGTCTTAACCAGGAAAACTCAACGTCGGTCACGACAATATTTACGCGATGAGGTGTATTTAATTCCTTTATATATCCTTAGTCCGGAATTCAGCAAATCCCCTAAGCTGGAAAGCCAAGTCACCATTGTTGAACTCGCCTAATTAGGCAATATCGGAAGTATTTAAGGCCTCTTCTATCATAGATAGAACTTCTCTTCCTTTAAATTAATTAAGTTGTGGCCACTTACATTGGCTAAACACACCTAACACTACACCATATGGCGTCAGCACGTTCAAGCTCTTCATTGAAAAACAGATAAATTGTTGACAGGGTCGCGAGAGCACCACTGGGGCAAACCACCTAAGACGCTAGGCGCTTCACCAACTGCGCAAACTGCCTCAACTCGTTGTTCCTGCAGACCTGTGATAGGATGGCGACGGAATAGGAGGTTTCAGGAATGCTCTTATTGTTACAGGCCAATGTATATGTAAATAGGCAGAGTCTCTCTGAACAGGCAGGGGGACAGAACACAATCAATCGGATAGGTCCACAACTTAACCTTCGTACAACATAAATAATGCCACGCCGTGCTAGGTGTTCGACCGGAAGGCGATGACCTTCAGGGGAAGCAACCCAAGACATCCATGTCTAAACACGGACAAGGGAATGGGGGACTATCGACACGGCTATAGTGGTAAGTCTGACCCGGGAGGAGACCTTGGACTTCATTTGGCCATTCCATTCCTACATTTGCAGGTATCTGCCAGAAACATTCGCTGAAGAAGACATCTCGGTCTCCAGACGGCTGGGGAAAGGCATGAATATCCGTGTTGACATCGAAGGGCTGGTGTTCATGGGGCTGGCAGAATTCGGTCTCCATTAGTTGCCCTCGGGTCCCAGATGAGGCTGGCGTTGCGAAAAGTTCTGGCTGCTCGCACGCGTAGCCGGGAATGTTCGAGGGAAAATTCAACGGCTGGTTCCATAGGAGAGGCTGATATTGCTCATTATCAACCGCTAGATGGCCGTCCCTCGCTCTGTCCGTTGTAGCCAGCAGCTCCTGTATTGACACTGCCTTGTCGGACTCAGGGTTGATCAAACCAAGCGCGCTCAATATGGCAAACGTAGTAATAGGTCTGTCGGGTTCGTCCACTAGACCGAGATGATGATAGTTGCTGTACATAGACGCTTCATAGAGGCGATGTATAGCTTCGGTCATAACCTCGAATGCGTGTATATACCTGACAGTCGGTCGGTGAGATGTTTTTAGATGAAGGCTTAGACAACGGTTACCATTGTGGAGGGCCATGACCCTGATCTCCTTGATTCGAGCAGCAACTGTCGCTATCCTTGCAGGGAGTGCATCCTTTTCCACCATAACACTTTGATTGTGAGCACCTGAGAACAACCTTCGACAGGAAAATTCGTACTTTTATCTTTTTGAATTTGCAGCGATCGCAAGCTCGCTGCTTTCGTGCCGCCTTGACGGCATCACTGTTTTGAGGCTCTATCTTCTGATGATCACGCATACTGCTAAAGCATTGTATATTGACCTTGTGCTCCATCTTGAGCTGTGGTAGCAGGATGTAGAAAAGGAAAGGATTTTTAAGTAATTTCAAGGGCCCATGTTTACGGTTCAACTTAATGAGTCAGCAATAATATTTGCTCCTACCCTGGTTATGGTGGAAATCCTATTTACCGCGTACGGTAAGGTGAAGAATATAATTATCGAGATACTTAAGCAAGGAGTATTCTCGTGCTGATAGGATAAAGTAGAGGATCGCTTCTCTTTTAGAAATAGCCGGCTTTAAAAATAGTTGGCTTCCTGGAACTCTGAGTCGATGCGCTTCTGTTCTTCGCGAAACTCTTCTTCAATATACTTCTGTTCCTTGCGAAACTCCAAAACTGCATTCTTCAATCGTTCCGCTGCGCTACGAACGTCCTCGACCATCTTCACGGATTTCAGTTCAATCTGATAGTTTTTCGCAACCTCCGCCCTCAGCCTCCTATTTTCCGCTTCAAGAGCTCGTATTTGTAGCAGCGTGTGAGTGCTTGTGTCTGGTTTAGAATTTTGCGGACCAGGCCGTGCTGTCGACCTCGGTGGAGGAAAGTGTAGGCCATTGCGCTTGATATCATGAGGTCCAGATGGAGGAGGCTTAGGAAGGTCTTTTGCCGGTATCACGGGAGCTTCCACAGTATCCATGACTGAAAACGCCCCGTTTTCGTGCTTAACTGCTCAGGAAAGAGAAAAATGGACCAACGTGAGTGTAAAACCCCTAAGAGATAGCCGCGTCGTCACTCTCTATTACGGTCAGGGATGGCTTGGCGGCGAGCTATCTAATAAGTATATTGCCTATATATAGGCGCAGTGCGACATCGACTTCGAAGCTAGAGAGCTTTAAAGGAATAGTCTACGACCTCGTGCTATGTACATATAGACTTCTAGCATCTTGGCGTCTTAGCATCCGTAATAATTATATGTAGGGATAGGAAGACGTTCCACTAAAGTAACGAGCGTCGAAGGGCTATGAAGGTAGTCCTAAATTAAACTAGTAGGAAGCTAAGTCATTATTATTTATAGAGTGGAAGTAAGATTATTAGACTAATCTAGTACAACCTATTAAACCGCCCTCACTAGACCTATGAAATATGCTCCCATGTTACGAGATGATCTATAAGTGGTCAAGGAAGGCCATGGAAGGGAGGTAAGCCGAGAGGGAATGAAGTATGTTAAGGCTAACAAGCTTATCAATATGTTAACCTGTTCAACACGGCACGGATCCCCTACGTCGATATATGTAGAACAGTTTTCATAGTTATCTTCGTAGTCAACCTCGGTACCATAAAATCGAGTTCCTCGGTTTTATACTCTTTGCGGATAGCCCATCCACTATACACTTAGTCTTAGTCTTAGCTACTTAGTCCCACTCATATATCACTAAGCTAGCCCAGTTTACTACTGTGGTGATACCTCACGTGATAAGGCGGTTCGTAACATCCCACACCTAACATCACAGTGATATGGAGGATTTAATGACTAGAGTCCCAATAGTCGAAAATACCCGGAAACCACCTTTCGGGTATCTGCAGACAATTTCAATTTAACTGTAATGTGTTTCATCGAGGATGCCAACGCCATGGAGAGCAATACTATGGAACGTGAATACCAAAGGCGAGCACGCAAGTGCCGAATTTCGAAGTACCCGGTAAGAGCGAAGACGAGGCGACTTGAATTGAGGGTGTAAGGTTACTAGGGCACAGAGTATTGCCAACGTTGAAGTCTAGCATAGGTTAGTAGGTTTAGCACTCGATTCGAGGACATTAGCTTACCGTACACCAGTATACGTCAACCAAGTCAGTAATGAAACAGAGTAAGAATCGTTATAGAGTTCACCGGTTTCATTATGAACAGAGAAGATACTTATTATACATGCTTTCCATGACCCTGACAGTGACTCATAGACTATTAGGAGCATAGTTTTCCATGAGGCTGAAATTAGGCGCTTCCCGATAGCCACTAATTATATACTCGTTATCTCTATGTGTAAGGAGGTCTTAGTAAAATCCGTCTTATTACTGTTGTATAACTCACCTTTGCCATCCTTCTAGAGACTCATCAGCTAAATCTTCTCACTCGTGAAGCTACTTACGAAGGTTACCCCAATGTATTAGTTCACCTCCCTCGGTACGGAGCTGATATTGACCAAACTAACTAGCTTAGGTTCTTATCCGAGTTGAAGCAATAGGAGAATATGCTTATTAGCATAGGGAGGAATCAAGACCGTCCTCGCTTATATATACATTAGGAAATGTGGATTATTAGTCAGTTGCTCACGCATCACCGCTAGGCATAAAATGGAATAAATTTTGGAAATAGTTTTTACGTGTAGAAACGCTATCGCTAACCAAACCCTTCCGCTATGGCCCTTACTTTAACTTATCAGCATATAAGCCGGAGATTTCTTTCTCAGACTTTCTAAAATTTAAACCGACTTACTAGCACATAAACTAGATCTTTCTTCTTAATTTCTATTCATTACCTTTTAATAATAGCGGCAGACAACCCAGCACGATGGACCACAAAGGACAAATTACGGGCAAAACGGAAAAGTTGGAGAGAACCCGATTTTATCGACTTAAAAAGGGCTTATTTAAACGAGGATCCAATCTTCACCAAAAATGCCAAGCTGAGGTTTATATCTTGGTCCGAAAGAATGGTCGATCGTATATTTTCAGCAGCGCTAAGGCAGAGAGGTCGCCCTTTTCCGAACATACATTAGTTCGTCACAACGGGATATCGCTGATATGACATCATCTTACATTTCGCAGGAACAGAGCTATCCTCCACCGCAGTGGCTATTTCCAGACGATATCTAAGCCAATCATCTCTAAAATTAGCAACTTTTCGTTTGTGTGGAAAAGCGAGCCAAATGCTAGAGTTGATAGTGACGACTGGTGGAGAAAGTTTCTCGTTACCTAGGGATAAAACACAGCATAAAGTATAACTAAGGATCCTTACCTATAAGTTAATCTTGATCGTCCAACAGTAGAACGTTCTTTTCCGCTCGTTATCAGCCATGGATACCAGCCCTAGACATTCGTCGACTCCGTACAACGAATCCCCAATCTCGCAAGAGCCGACGCAGATTGCTGTAGGTGGAATAATTGAAGCACCGGCGCACACCACAAACTATCCCGATCAAAGTTGGAGTAAGGGGTCCGGAAATAGTAAACCACAGTTTAACTCCTTAATACAATACCAGCTCGCTGACATTGTAGGAAAACGACTTAACCGTCCCCTTCAACGAGCAGAAGATGCCCATCGCACTTTCGCCCAAGTCCTCGACATCCAACCACAAGAGTCAACATTGACAACTAACGTCGGCGTTGGAGCAAACAGTGCATTGAACGGACGCTTGGACCCATTCTCATCAGTAACACCACGACGGCCTCAGAGTGTGTCACATGTACCCTCAAATTCTCCCTCGAGAGCGGTTCCTCCTAAGCTGGATTCATCGAGCGACCGAAAAGCGGCAGGTGTGCCCCCTACTTCCTCCATTTCTACCAACCTATCCATTCCTGGGAATCTTTGGGCTGTCCAAGCTACCCCGATGCCGCCAGTGGCACCTTTCGAAGGGGGTATGCCGCTACCATTCGATAGGCATCAATCGGCAAGCGGCTTTCACTGTCCGCACTGCGGGCACTTCGTACAAGCCTGGTATGCAACTGAACGAGATCAACATCCAAAGCCTATCTACAATACCAACCAGATTGTCTCCGGAAGATATACCTCTCAACTCCCAGGGCGTTGGGCCCCGTATGGATATTCCTCAGTGAGAGGCAGATAAGCGCCGATGTTAAATGTAGGACGGTGTTATGGTTCAGCTAACTGTTTATGTGGTTATCTAAGTTGCAGTGGTTCCATACGGGTAGAGATGGGCTTATAGTAGTTAGCTGATAATGAGGATCAATTAAGGCTTTAATTTCAGAGCCCTGCCTATTTATTTCGCCATTCTAGCTGCTAGAGTGAAAGATATTCTAGATCCTTAAGAGAGAAGCATTGTTCCCAGTACGAAAACTTATACTAGTGAAGGATGTCGGTCGCCTCAGACTAAAACTAAAGATCGAAAACTAAGGATCCACGAGTTGCTGCAGCACCACTGCTGTCAAAAGATGTGGAGTACCCTTAAGAGGTGCTGGCACTAGCAGCACGAAGATGTAAACTAGGAATGGACCCTTGTAGTAGAGAGCAGCTTAGTCCAGTGGGACAGCGAACCTAAAGTATCCTTACATGTCGCTTACTGACGTGAGTAGGGGTTTAATTCAACGAAGTGTAGAAGACTGGTACAAAGATATCGTAATGTGAAAGCCAGATCTGACCACGGCGGTCACACACACATAATTTATTACGCCTGGCAGCGGAACCGAAAGGGCAGCTAATGCTATTCTACTAATACTGTATATATTTCTCAAAATATGCCTTCGTCTCCTTGAAGCCCATATAGAGTGAATCTTTTCTGCGCTTTACAGGCCCACTCGCTTGCTACGTCTTTGCGGAGTCTCGTGCGTTAACAAAGCAGCGGTACTCTCACTCAGACAACCACGCCAACAGTCTGAATGAGCGATCGCCTCTGGCTTAAGAAAAAGGACTAGCTAGAGCTAGCTAGATACGGTGGAATTTGAGATGGAGCCTATCTCCCTTCGGTCCGACGACAAATCCGTCATCAAGCCTCATATCTCCATGCTCGTAAAGCGTGCTCGAGAAATTTGTATAGATTGCTGCGATGGCGTGCTTGATGCCTATTCACCCTGTTAGTGTTCATCCCCGTCCACCCGCTTTCACATATCTCACAGTAAACAGCAAAATGCATGCCGACACACATCCTCTCACCATCGCCGAACGACCACATCCAGCGTTTCATCTCCGCGAGGTGATCTGGACTAGATTCGAGCCACCGTTCGGGGCTCCAGTTCTCGGGTTGAGAAAAGATACGTCCGTTACGTTGTAGTGCATATGGATAGAATTGAATATGCGACCCCGGGGGAATGTTGTCGAAGCCCGAGAAGGAACAGGTCGACGTCGTCACACGGGGCCGAGCACGTGGCACGACCGTCCAGACCCTGAGGGTCTCCAGCACGATTGCGTCAAGATATCGACAAGTCTCGACTTCGGTAGGCTCTGGCTGTCTGGAATGGACCTCGCCTCCAGGAGCGTATTGGAAGGACGGAGGGAGACTCTTCAATTCTTGACGTAACTTATCTTGTACCTTCGGGTTGCGGGATAGCTCGAATAGAGCGTACGTAAGAGTATTCCCGGTTGTCTCGTGAGCACCTAAGTTATGGTTATACATCTCGCTGGCGATATCGAACCGAAAGGGATAATCTTGTGGTTGTCGTTGCCCCGGCGCGCGAAGATTCGTGTTTCCCGGATATTTTCGTCGTAACGCGGTACGGAGCGCCGCGACAATAACCGGGTAATCCGTATCAACACTATTGCCGCCGTTGGATTCCCAGTCGGCCAGCAACCTCTCTGCTTTGTCGCAGAGGTCTAGGTTCCATTCTTCGAGGTCCACGAGCGCTTCGTTTACTGACTTCGGCAGCAAGGTGATACCGAGGCGGGCGAAGAAGGGAAATAAGCCAGGGAACTCGGTAAATATGGAGAAATACCGCCGGCCCCTAAAATATCGATCGAAGTACCACCTTCTCTGGGGGACCTGTTGAATGAAGGTCGTTCCTAGCGAGCCGCCAAATTGGTACCTTGTAAAGGCGTCCATGGCGTACGCGCGATCGAGTTCACAAAGCTCAATGGATACATTTCTTAGCGAGCTCTCTTCTATGCAAGGGAGTAGGTGACCGTAAATAAGTTCTCTAATTAAATCTCGTAGGTGGCTGGAGGTGTGGATTTGCGACTTATTGTAGACATTTTGAATCATTCGTTTTCGGTCGGCATGTTGTCTCCTATCTGTCGTCGTAAACATGTTCGGAGTCCTACCTTACAGTCAGTGGTTGGGGGGGATTGGCGACGAGACCGGCCGTACTCGTGAGAAGTGAATTGTCGCACAAATAGGCTGGCGATAGGGAGTCTATCGGTATAGATTTGTTTGACTGTCTCTCTGGACGCCACGCTAATCTCATTAGGCCCTAGTTGAATGACCGGGCCGTGCTTTTGATGAAGGCGTAGAATACGTTCATTCTCCGAAACTCGCGGCGACCAACGAACGTAATAAATCCACAGGGACGAAAGGCGCGCGGACCAATGACCTGCTGGGATGCTGGATAAGGGTGACAAGAATACGGCGTAAATAATTCTAGTACCGATTCCGGCAAGAATAACAAATAAAAGGACCTCTTCCCAGAGGGGAAATAGGATACCTTTCGCCATCTCGGATAGGATATCTGATGGAGGGCGAAGGAGGAGATTTTCTGAAGCTATATAGTTATTAGGTTTTGGAGCACTAGATGTGTAGAAGGCCTTTGACTTACTCCATAACCTCTGAAAGTGACAAATCCCGAGCCGGATTATTAACTGAGTAAGCGGCTTTCTATCGAATCTATAGGGTCCACCAATATCGCCGACATTTTATCTAGTCTCAAGTGGAGATCTCCTTCACGAATGTCCGCGTATGGTGCTACAGTATGTATCTGCAAATCTAATTCAACATTTTCACATTCAGCACCACTATTAAACGTAATTGTCAGAACCTCGTGAAAGTCCGTAAGAAATGTCTAGACTGGGCCGAGAAACATGGTCCAAAGTTCAACCCGACGAAGGTTGAACTCATCCACTTTACTGGGCAAAGAAGCGGAGGAAGTGATCAATCTTACTCCATCAATCCAGAAGGTATAGTATCACAATAACACTACCCAAAACAACGCTAGTACTGGAAGTCTATTGAAATCGAAGTCTCTCCCCAAAACCTCAGCTAGAGATCATCGAAAGAAGAGTACTCACCCTGCTCCCGAGCGCTCCGACGGACAACATAGTCAACGTGAGAGAGCATCTGTGCAGTTAGCGTGAGATATTTACCCTAAGGTAATACGCCCAGCTCTTTGCTATAAACCTAGCTACAGCATAGTTACCAATATAGAAGGGGTCAAAAATCAAGTGCCGAAGAGATAGACTGAACGCAATTCAAGGCCGATTCCTACGGGTGGTGGCAGGGACCGACAAGGCCAGGGGCGACAGAAGCACTTGAAATAGTGTAGAGACCCCATGCGAACCACGAGATCTCCACATCGAAAAGATTGCTCTCCAGGGAGTAGCTCGACAAAGCCACCGAGGCTCCACAGAGCGAATAGCGTCATTTCAACGGAGACTCCGGAGAAGGACACAAGGGAAAAGAAGGCGCAAAACACGCTAGCCTACAGCACACTATATTGTCATCGGGTAATGAAAGAGCATGGAGGACGGAAACGGGAGCTGCGATCAGCCCTGCGATCACCACTAGCCAGCCTTGAGTGTTAGATGGCCATCAACTTAGCCATTGCCAGGGCGACCAACACCGCCATTTATGTCGCACCGTGACATCGCTTGAGATCGCATCTCCGCGAGATCTTCAGGGACTATTCCTTCGCACAGACCAAGTGTCTAAGTAAACAGGAAGAAATCGCGGAAATAGCGGAAGGACGGACAGCAAGAGACCTTCGACGGAATGCAATCAACCATCCGGACACAGTTCCGCGTTTCACAAAGCAAATCACACAGGGCGTCAAAGTCCCAAAACAATCACCAACTAGGAGACGAGAAGAATCACTCGAACAAGCAAGCTGCCGCGAGTGGAATCGTCTCAAGCGGTCGCTCGAAGCCTACTACGCGATCCAATGGAGGAAACCGCCGGATTACCAGCAAGAAAGGAAGGGCCATCGCCGGCCATTAGCCCTGTCCGATGAAAGAGGCTCTCTCCCGAGAGAGGGATCGAACGAAAGTCTTTGGTTCTACTCCAATAAGGCCATGGACGGGACAGATTGGCTTACAGGGCTTCCTATCTAAGATGAGAGCTCCAGGGTACGAAAGCCCTTTGTGTGGCTGTGGAGAGAACACTGACACAGTGGAGCATCTCTCGCTCAAATGCCCCGTGGTGGGATCGGGAAAGGAGAGAAGTGCTAGCGGAGCCTGGTGCCTGGCAGAAAAGAGCGGAAGAACGATTCTGAGCCCCAAGGATGGTATGTACGGTACCGAGTCGAAACAGGAAGTAGCACAATGTATATAAATCCCATCATTGCCGTAGTGAGATTGGGTGTCTTTGTCAAAGAACCTGTTTCCTAACCACCATGGCGGAGACCACTTCCCAAACTGACACATATTTACTACAACGTGGGATTCAGGGGTCTTGCCGACTCACTGCCCAGCACTACTTACTTACTCAAAGAGCCGGCGGCTTGCTCCACCCAGCCATTGCCAACGAGATCAGATCGAAAAAAGACCTGGCCATTGCTGATGCTGGCTGTGGTAACGGAATATGGGCTATTGAGATCGCAGAGAAGCACCCATTAGCAGAGGTAATCGGAATTGATGTGTCAGATGCGCAGTTTCCCGCGCCATGGACCTGCCCAGACAACTGCTGCTTTCACAAACTCGATCTCATGCAGCCTGTTGACGAGGCATATATTAGTTGCTTTGATTTGATCAATGTGCGGTTGCTTGCAGGGCCTCTGAATGGGAGCGACTTCACCCCGATAATTGACAACCTATTTCGGATGCTAAAACCGAATGGATGGATCCAGTGGCAGGACATTTCATCCCCGGGCATTCGTGCCTATGACTCCTCAGAGAGTTCTGATATCATGCCTCATTGGAGGCAACCAGCCGCGATCTCAACTCAATTCTCGGCGTTTGTCAGGTCAACGGAATGGCTTGGGCAATTGCCGACCTTTATGAAACAGCGTGGATTCATAGACATCGAGATATATGAATGCCTTCCGAAAACAACTATTTTGAGGCACGAAACCGATGATATTGGATTAGTTTTAATCGAGCTGTCAAAGGCCCGTCCAAGGGTGGAGCCAGATACAGCCGCCAAGTTCAAAGATGCTGTTGCCGAACTGCTCCAGGAGATCTCGGAGGGACGATTGTTCACTGTGGTGCTCCAAACCACTATCGGGAGAAAACCGCGTGGTGCTCTTACGAGAACGGAAGCCGTTAGGAACACTTGTTCGGAATGAATGGGGTTCGAGGAGGAGAAGGTGGCATACAATAAAAGGTTGCTGCCGTGGTCTTTTATAAGCGGAGCATAAATGCTTTGATTATAAGGGTGCATCCTCATCGTTATCGTGTTTGATCTAAGAAATTAAGTAAGTTAGTACCATAATGTAATGGCAATGAAGATATGTCCCGCGACTTCTGCTTCTCAAGATAATATTTCGCGGAAGGGCGGCGTTAACTGGGAGACTGAGAGCGGCCTAGACGTAAACGACTTGGACAACGTCTCGAATTCGGAATCTCTTCAGTGGGATGCAGGCAGAGTTATTTTAAGTGATGATTATAGTGGGCAGCAAATAATAGTGAGCTATTCCCGTGAGGCGCGGAGCGGCAGTAGCTCGCTATGATACTGGGACGACTCAATGGCAGTGGCATTCCGAATTCAGCAGGAAAGCAATTTAATATAACTACCCATGATTGAGTCAGCCTAGTCAAGGTCTGCTAAATTTAGCAGCGTTACTACAGTGCGGCAGCAAGATGTATAAAAAGGAGGGGTTGGAACGAAATCTAAATAAACGAGAATACAACAAAATGGAAATAGTACAATACTACGCAGCATCCTGGGGCCTACTCCTCCTGGCTCTAATCATCCTAGGAAAATTTCCTCCCACATTTCTCCCCGGTTCTTTCCTTAAACACCTTGCTTTTCGACAAGTCCGATATGTCGCCTCTACGAACACGACGTGGTTCGATATAATCTTCATGGCAATATACTTCATCGGAAATGTTATCTTGTTATGCATTCAAACCAACAGTTGGACTGATTTTGCGAACAGGACGGGCACTCTTTCGCTTATCAACGCGGTGCCCCTGTCCTTGGGTGAGAGGATCAGTATCCTGCCCATGGGGACAGGACTGGGCATCGATAAGTATGCGCTTTTCCATCGCTACGTTGGGTTAATAGTCTTCTTGGAGACCCTTGCTCATGCTGTTGCCGTTGCCATTGCGCAAAAGCCCGATTTTATCACACAATCAACTATCACAGGCCTTCTGGTAAGTTTGCAGTCCCGCATTACTCTACGCCGTTGTACCTCCGCTGACCCTCCGCCGGGAAGGGGAGCATCTTCTTTATCATCATGATGCTATCATGCCTGGTTCTTTTCATTGGACGCTTTTACAATGTCTTTGCCTCGACCCACCCTATTCTAGCTCTGGGAACCTATATTTCCATATACCTACACATAGTGGGGAGACACTGGAAGTCGAATGGGGTTTATATCGTCATTGGCTTTGCGATCTTTGGACTAAATCACGCTGCGAGGTTTGCTTGCATAGCCTATCGAAATTTCGACCTCGACTATCGGAATCTTCGTCTTACGAGTCTGGTGGTTGTTCAGAATATGACCTATAATGACACGGAAAGGGAGATGCAGATATCTATGCCAGACGCTATGTATCTCCACATTCGGCCGACCAGACCATGGAGATTTCGAGGCGGCCAATTTGTCTACCTACGGTTCGTTGACCTTGACTATAGCTCCATCCTCCAAAATCATCCGTTTTACATCTCCTGGTGGTATAAGAATAGTGAGGGGGATGATATTGGAGTCTGTATTGCGGAGAAACGGCGGGGACTCACTGAAAAGCTCTCTACCATCGACGATAAGGCGAAGAAGAAAGTCCTTATCGAAGGCCCGTATGGCAAAAGACTCAGGCTGGACAAGTATGAGACCATTCTACTTTTTGCTACTGGCATCGGCATCACTGGGTTGATATCTATGGTTGCGGAGCTGTTCAAGAGTCCCGAACGATCCCCGGTGAACCTGCGCCGGATAGCACTTTTTTGGGAGCTGGATTATATCCGTAAGTTTATTCGGAGTGCCGCTTAACTGCCATAACTGAAGCCCTTGTGAAATAGGACACATCTCCTGGGCGTCCGATTTTGTGGAAGAATTGCTACGTCGAGATATCGATAAGGTGCGATTCAGCAATTTCGGTCGCTATAATTAGTTCTGACGGAGTGCGCAGAAAATTAAAGTCCGGGTCTTCATACGAGGAAAGGACAGTTCGAAGATTGGTGAACCTAGAGGAGTGATCCGGGGGGAGATGCCGGTTGAGGATCTAATATCGGCGGCAATGAAGAGTAACAGAGGGAAGGCATTGATCTGCCGTGAGTAAAAGACATGAATATAGATCATTTACTAACTGCTCTGCTTTTAGTGTGTACGACGAAGAAAGTCAGCACACGGATAAGAAAGCTTGCTGGCCAATACACTAAGAACATACGGGTCGAAGAGCTAGAATTTCGACCACCATCGCTACTAGACGAGTGATGAAATAGCCAAGGTGTTGTCCGGCAAGAGAGCGTTAGCTCAAAACTTAATAGTATAGCCCAGGTTAAATAGTCATGAAATCTATACATAAGGCTTCCGGGGCACATAATTTTAATGTTGATGAATAGTACTACTTGATTCCGTGCAGCCTTCTCCTTTATGTGATCGTGCGATGGCCCCCCAATCTCGATACCATATCGCAGCCGTGCGAAATCACCGGTCGTGGAAGCACAAATCATTGCAGAATAATGACGTGGCCCAGTTAGGTGGTAAGGAATTTCGTACAAGGAAAGAAGGGTACGAGCAGCGAAATAGCGAGCAGCTCATTATAGGAGACGGTCGAGAGGGACAGAACGTTGCACACAACATCCGGCTGCGCGAGGTTGAAGCTATACTCGGTTTTCAGTCGAAACAGCTATTGAAGCTGGCGGTTTGCCAAAACCACAGCCTAGAGCCTGTGGAGGAGGAAGAAAAGATCGCTCAGGAGCAGATCTGGAAGGAAATGCTACGTCCAACAGAAGAAATCCTAAACACTATACACAATCAAATACAGCAGATCTGATTTGCCTTAATTATACCGCACAACGAGAGAAAGGCGGAAAATCTGTCAATGGCTGTTGAAGAACTCTCCGACCGAGCTGGGTATCGCTGATTGAAGAATATTCAAGGTCTTCGACCCGCAAATATCGTGAATACCAGAACTTAGATCTCGTTTTAGAAGCTAGTTACACAGGGAGGTACATGTACTGTACAACGAGAATCGAATCGGACTTTGTGAATCTATGATGGATAGTAAACTTGGATTACTTTGTCTATTCTATTCCTTACAGCGGGCCTCTAATAGCTCTCATTAAGTACCATTTAAGATGTATTGAAGTATTTCCAAAGCCTCATTTTTATCCTTCTCTTCCGTCGGTTTGGGAGAATTGGGTTTCTTCTTTCGTTTCCTCCGCCTCAAGAAGCCCTCATCGACGTCAATATCCTGCAACAAATGGAACACAACTGTGAAGGTACCATCAGCGTTGATAATATCCCATGCATCTTCCGGTACCATAGCTTTGCCTCCGGTATCGTGAGGAATAAGGCCTTGTCGTTTACATCGTCTTAAAACGTCTTCGAGTTTTGAGCGGCTTAGGTCAACTTCTGTAGGGCCACCACGGTCTCTATCTACTTTGAAGCGAATTCTGACGGTTTTCTCGTTCCTGGCGTTGGGGATGGATTCAAAATCTAAAGGCTTAGATTCAGCCTCGATTGCCGGTTCTCCCTTCCTGATCTTAGCCCGCGGGATTTGAGAGTGCTTTAATCGCGTCCTTGGTTTTTGAATACGGTTAATATCTCGACGTAGTCTCTGCGTATCTGACGGCTTCGAGCCTAACAATGAAACTTGCGTCTTGAGAGTAACTTCCTCCTGAAGTGCCTCACAAGTTTGCCGGGCTGAATTCAGGAGCATCTGCCTCTCTTCTACTTCCCGTAAGAGCGCATTTACCTGAGATTTAAGGTTCTCGCGCTCCATTAACGCCTGGTCCTTATCCGAGTTCGCTTTCTCGAGGACTGTGCTCCACTCCTTCTTCTCACTCTGAAATCCCTCTCTCTCATCTCGTAGCTTCTGTTCTTGGGCTTGTTGAGCCTCATGTGCGCCCTGTTTAAGGGTCCAGAAAGACGTTCCAAGCGCATTAATGCCGTGCTTAAGGAGTTGCCACTCTTTTGCAACGTTATCTTTCACCTCTGTTGCCTGTTGCATGGTTTGATGAAGAACTAGAGTCCTCTGTGTCGCATTGGAATGTAAGTTGCTCTCCCAACTCCCATCGCCAGCCCTCGCTAACTGAAGATTGAGCTCTTCCTTCTTAAGAGATAGAGATGCGTTTTCAAGATCGTCATATTTTATTTGACCGATTTGATCTTGATTTTCATTAAGCACCCGTCGCATCCGTTCCATTTCTTGTCCTAAGTAGCACAGTTCGGTTGTCAATGTTTGAATAAGGCCAATGATATCCTCCTTCGCCCGGTCATCTTTCTCTTCGCTCATTGTCTGTTGTTCAAGGCTCTCTCGAGCCGTTTTTACATCGGATAACGCCTTCTGGAGCCGATTGCGAAGTTCGGCATTCTCTCCCTGAACGGTGTCGAAGCGCAGTTTCATTTGTTGGGCCGTAATGTTTCCTAGGGCGGTGTGTGTCTCTGAGAGACGTACTTCGAGCGCGCTAATCTTATTTTGGTTGGTTGTGGATTGCACGACGAGGCTTTGGTTCTCTCGACACCTTTGATTGAGCTCTCTTTGGAGATCCGAATTTTTCCGTTCTAGTTCAACTATCCTCTCTCGGCACTCGATTTGCGTTTGCTGCAACTGACCCCTTAGCGATTGGTTTGCGGACTTATAATCCTGAAGTTGACGATGTGCCGAGTCTAAGTTCTCCAAGGTCTTTCTTTCAGCTGCCTTTCCCTCCTCCCTCACGTCGGCCCGTAACTTATTCACTTCCAGCTGCAACATCCTGACTTTGTCTTGCAAGAATTCATTTTGCCTCTCTTCTTTGGTTTCACTTGATTGACTGTACGGGAGTAAGTTCGAGTCGATAGACATTTCGAAGGAGACGTCGTTGTCTTCATGTGGCTGCTCTTCAGAGGTGTCAAAGCGGACTGGTGGTATTTGCATCGTTTCGCAAAAGATCAGATCACTAAAGAAAGCCTTATAGACAGCGACTCGGACAAATAGAGAAGAGATTCCTTCCCCACAGGTATTATCATCCTCAGTCCAGAAGAGAGGCAAAAATGTATGATCGTGGTCATACTCATAGGCTAGCTCCCAATGCCGCCCACACCTCCTCTCGAGTCCCTCCCCGTTGCGCTTAACAAAAAGCGTCGGCGTAGAGAGTGAGTGGGTGTTTTTCTTCGCAGTGTTGAGAATCCTAATGATTCTCCCCTTGTTCTGCTCAAATTGCGACTGAGTAAAAGTATAAATGGGGGGTTTGCGAGCCTGCAGCAAGAATGCTGACGTAGCTTTCTCGTCCGGGTCAGTGGCTAGGAGCTTTTGAATCTCGTCGTTTTCAAAGCCTAAATCAGAGGCGAGTCTAGCAAGAGATGTCCAAAGGTACGGATCAGGCCGCTTGGGTTCCGGTGTGGGCCGGCCCCGTTCCTTCAATGGAGTTTCGGGGATGAATAAGGTGAAGTCTCTTCCTGCAAATAAGAATAGTTGAAAAATCCCCCAGTGTAGTTGCTGCGTCAGGCTACCTTTATAGTGTCGCATCGACCAATCTGACTCTTGCACACAAACAGCGCCACTCCGCTGATTTGAATCCTTGAAAGAGTTAATCATAGCCATCCTTAGTGTTTGGTTAGGAGAAACGGGAAATAGTCGCTTAAGTATTTTCGCCAAAGGACTTAAGAACTTTTTATCCTCTCCGAGCCCATAGAGTGAAGGTATCAGTGTTGAGACCTTGAGTATATTCTCCCATATACGATTTCGTCGCGGTACGTCCGTCACGAACGAGAAAAGACTACCATCGTCCATCAAGGGCTTGACAAATTCATGATCTTTCTCACACCGGCCGGGCACCCGTAGTTGTAAGTTTTCGACCGTGAATTTATCGGTCATTTGCATCATTTCCTCATCGCCATCTAATATATCGGACCAGATGGTTACAATATGCTGGAAGTAGTGAGTAAATTCCTAGTTCAAGGTCAACATAATATCCCTGGGGGGGGAACATTTCCCTCACCTCGTCGCATTTCATGGTGATAACCTCATGACACATCGATAGCGTGAAGCCAAACCTCTGACCGGGTATTGTTAAGACCTCGTTGAGCGCCGCTGGGAGCATGCTATGTTTCAGGAATTGTTTCAGGTTCCTCTGCCTGTTTGGTGAAAGTCGAGCGCGCCATCGTCCCTCTGCGAATACGTTTCCTTCTTTGTGATACTGGTGGATATTGTAATATATTTCTAAATCACTGTACACCCGTTGATTCGTGTATTGCTCGCTCAATACGTTTCTCAAGTCGGCGCTGGCGTCTGAGCAACTAGGTTAGTGAAGAGAATATGCTTTGCATGAGTTACTAACCTTCAAGGTAAAGATCCACAGCCCAGTGTTTCTTCCCTGGAGGAAGAATTTTCTGCTTTGCCGCTTCCACACGCGAACGACCTTCGAGACAAAAAAGTGGACAGTGAGCGGGAAATTTCACCACCGGCGGGATTCCGTCGGGATTCTCTAGAAGTTGGTGGTCGGTAACCTTAGAGGTTCGCAGTATCTCTTTGAGTTTTTCATCCGAAATAATTGCGACAATACGGTTCTCTGGCTCCAAAGGGTAGCAACCTGCTGTACGGAATATTTCTCGAAGTCTTGCCACGTTCGCCGAGGAGTCCGCTGAAGGTAGCTTTTCAAACTCTAAATCGTCCAATTCAACGCGTACGGTCCCACGAAAGCTTGCACTTCTTTCTTCACATAGCTGTAATTGCCGTTGGTCAATTAAGTTTTGCAACATATCCTTTACCGGGAAGTAAGAAAGCTAATAACAAGATTAAAATAGAAGCCTCGGATGACAGTTCGGAAGTTGTTTACATTAGTCGGAATAGTCATGAATCAAAACAGCTAGTCTAGGTTAACCGCGCGATACAGTGGCATGGGCGAGAATTAGATATATCAATATAGCCAAGGCGCTCCTGCCCCATAAGCTCCTACGATGAAAGCTACGGTGTACAGCAACTGCCGCCGATTTGCCCCCAAGGCCCACCAAACTCAGTCTCCATTTTTAATATTGGTATATATAGACCGTTAGCTGCTATTCTTATATGCCGCGTTATATGCAGCTTCTGTGTTGAAGAATCAGTGGGACGCAATCATTAAGTCCCTTTAGCAGAGTTTCATTTCAAATATGAGTTCAAAGCATGAAGAATGGCGGCGCACACAGCTCCCATTCGGCGGGGTCTTTAAGGCACAGTTCAACATTGACGATACTTTGTCGAACGAGGAAGCGGACTTGAATAAGGCTACCAGCGACATTAAACCTAGCCAACACGAAATCTATCGCCCAAGCAGCTCTGATGGAATACAAAGACTCCGGGAGAACCCCATACGAGTCCAGGAAGGGAGCCCATGGCACATCTATAAGAAAAGATACGACCTGACATTGGGCGAGAATGTCCTCGTCAGCCAATTAAGGACAACGGAGCCGAACTTGAACAGAAGGCTTTACGCGATCAGAAGTTTTGATGCGCCAGACGCCCGAAGAAAAGTCCAGATTCTACAAAAGGTCAGACATGAGAGCTTCATTAACATTTCCCACGTCTTCCTAGAAGGGCCGACGTGCTACACTATTTCAGAGCTCGATGAGATATCCCTCTTCGAATTTTGCAAGCCTAAATTCAATCTTACGGAGACGCAGCTGGCCGCTATTATTTACCAGGTATGCATCTTAGTAATGCCGGGGACGACAGCTCACGCATCGAACTGAGTAGCTTTTACAAGGAATCGAATTCCTATCCTCGCAAAACCTGCAACTGGGTTTATTAACTTGTTCGCATGTGGTTGTATCTAGATGGGGAGTCGTCAAGATCGGTAAGGATTTCTTGCCACTGATTATTCACATACTAATCCCTCGTTTAGCCAATCCCCAAGATTGCTCCAGTCAAACATCCCTTCAGAAGCATCACGTTGCTGGGGACGCCCTACAGCTTCAGGGAATTCTGCTGACACTTATGGAGAAGTCGGAGCCTGAAGAACTCCCAGCGGAGCCCACCCGGCCCCATAAGTGGTCCCCTTCCCTCGTCGAATTCTCGAACTCGCTACCTTACCGAGGCCCTGCAGAGCTTCTTCAGGTAATAGAAACAAAATGGCTAAGCGAGAACATTTCACTGATCGAATCTAGGACCATTTTCTCTTAGGAGCTCCTGATAGGGCCGAACTAGCATGGATAGTCTCTCTGACGAAAATTGCTGTTCATATCCGATATGATTATAAATAGCGATAGTTGCACAATTAAAACCTAACTAGTTTTGAATCAGCTGCCAAGCAGAGCTCTGTTTTGTATGCCTATGAATAGGAAAAGAAGAAGAAGAAGAAGAAAAAGAAGAAGAACATTCTTAATTAGCGTGTGCCCAATATCAGCGTACGCTTAACATCAGTGCGCGCTTGTCTATTCCCAATAGAGCTGTGCGCTCAACATCAGTGCGCGCTCAACATCGGTGCGCGCTCGGCATTAGAGTGGACTCTTCCGTCAATTTCTATAACTATCATAAGAGTACGCTCATCACTAGAGTACACTCGCTAGGGGTGTGCGCTCAACATTAGTGTGGGCTTATCCATTTCCCGCCAATTAGATTAGAGCACGGGTGTGCGCTCAACATCAGTGTGCGCTCAACATCAGTGTGCGCTCAACGTCAGTGTGCGCTTAATATCAGTGTGCGCTTAATATCAGTACGTACTCGGCATTAGTGTGGACTCATCTATTTCCGTCAATCTAGATCATCAGAGTACGCTCATCACTAGAGTACACTCGCAAGGGGCGTGCGCTTCACATTAGTGTGGGCTTGTCTTTTTCCGCTCATTAGCGTACACCTCTCCTGGGGGTACACCTTAGTATTTTCATAGCGCGTAGATAAGATACTACACAAATTACGAGTGGACATAACGAACCAGCACCGATAGTAAGCGTGCTCTAGCGAGGCGAATACACCCGTCATCATCCAAAGAATGGAGGTTGCCGTTCTAGTGTATATAAGCTTGCTTCTGTCTCCTCAATTCTCGGGCCATCATAAGACTATTGAATTGTGTATTCACGCCTCCTGGACGGAGAAAACGCTCATGTTTGGTGTATTTACGCCTATCGGATTTATTCTATTTACCATTACGACGGTTATTCTAGCCTGTGGATGGATAATCCACCAACGAAGCGTATGGCTTGCGACAACAGAAATTATTTCCTCTGCAACATCCCCGGACGAAGAGAGTGAAACTGAAGATTAAGAACCCTATACGAAGAAAGATTGGCTAATAATCTATCATTCACAGTAAGGGATAGTAAATAGGTTTGTGGTCGTCTTTAATCGTTAACCTACTTCTAAGGTAAATCCAAAAAGCCACGAGAGGATAGAGACACACAGGCGTTTGTGTGCGTTTGCGACGACACCACGAGGGTACGGTAGCGACTGCCTAGCAATATCCCATCTTTGGGATGGTCTACCGTTGTCCGAAGTAGCAGCAAATAATGAAGATCTAGACTTTGCAGATTTTAGTTCGGCCCCGGACGACCTTACACTCACCCGGAAACTAAGTGCCGCGAACCGGCATTTAAAGAAGAAGGACTTGAAAAGATTTAATTATAGTATAAGTAAAAGACTATAAAATTCATCTTATCGGATTTAAGCATTTAGATTTCTCTGATGCCTGTAATAGAGAGTTTGAAAGAGTAATAAGGTTTATATAATGCAAGAAGATGCAGTGGCTGTATGGTGCTATGGTGAACGCAGTGGGGGTGCGCTTATCTGTTCACATATTCAGATAGAGGTTCTAGAACTATTTTGGCTATGGCTAGCAGATTTCTCGAGGCAGCAGACGAAGCAACCTAGTTATCACTTAAGGAAGATAGATGTGCTAGACAGTTCACAATGCTGGCGTTCTAGTCATTCGTTTATAGATTGAATAGAGTGTCTACAGTATTGCCTTAATGTTTAATCTACTACCCTGAACGCCCTCTACCTATCTCTCCCTGCCGTTAGCCGTCGCTACATGGCCTGGCTGTTACGGATTCGGTTAAACATCGGAAGGACGGACGCCTGATATATTAAAGAATAATCAGGCCGCCAGCTAAAATAGATGCGACTCGGGGAGCGCATCCTTATTACTAGCAACTTCCCGCATGAGAGGCGCACCTTCCCTTCTCCTATGCTTTGAGTCGTGTATAGTATCGACCATATAGTACTATAGGGATATCTTATATACACGGTTATCGTTAGATTCTGCCTACTTGCCAAGGAATCCCTAACACTGGCCACCGCCTCTGCGGTGTTGCTGGTGGTGTTCTGGGCTGGGACAGATCCAGCGTTAGGACGGCACACCTAGAGAGTTCACCATCCTAGGCTTTCCTCGGTCACAGGAGCCGTGTCCCACCTCATCAGCAGTATAGGATCATTTTACTACGACACCTACTAGTAGAGCCCGCTGGTCTCCCAACTAATGGGGGAGACATTCGTTATTGGTGACTTAGTATTATTTCATAATCGCCCTCGGAGAAAATCACGAAGACCATAGTTTCTATATTATTGTTAGACATAGCCTTAGGAGAGACCGGCCACGGGTCGCATAAGCACGACTTACTACGCTCATTGCATATGTGGAAGGATCTATAGGAGAACAAGGCTAAGTTACGTGATATGCCCTGCTGGCTCTATTAGCTCGGACGGCTCTGTTACAGAGTGCACAGAGCACGAGCATTATATATACACCTTCGTTACCCCTAGATCGTTATACTCTCTCCGTATCTAGTTCATGTTACCAGCTGAACTATACTGTTCCTAGTAACTCGATTGTTCATACCTTGCGTTACCTAGCCCAGTTCGTACTATTTAAGGATCTATTACTACGGAGCCTAACTTAGTCGGGTGATACAGCGGCAGCTCTAATAATTACTACCTTAATGACCGCACTCTATCACCTTCGATAGGAATTAGCTAATCTTTAAGCCCGCTCGACACTACTACTAATCTAGAATGAAACACTTTTCCAAGGCAATATAAAGTCGGTGTCGCTCCAACTTAACTTCTTAGCATCTGTCTACCAGTATTTAATCATAATGCCATCTAACTATAATGCGGTTAACGTAGAGGATAACATTCTATTAATTAGAAGTTCCTAATAAGTCATCCTCTATACTTTAAGGAAATAACGATCGGTGGGCCTTATAACAAAGATTAAGACTTTAAGGAACAATCTCGAAGTAGTAAATTACTATACTATTAGATAGCATTATCAAACTACTTTTAGTACTACGTCCCGCCTGAGTTTCCCTCAATTCTAGGCCTAATTACTTAAGGTAGCCCGTTGGTTCTAAGCTTAGAATCTCGGTCACGAGGACGGAAAGTACCACGGTTTCCTAAGCGGGAGATCGACTGACTAGTGTGCCGAGGCAAAAGTTGGTCTAAACGCGGTCTGCAAAATCTACCAGGGGAGCTTTAAGACAGTAGGATCCGATAATTTCTTTAGTGACTTTCACATTCTTTTCTAACATTAGCTTAGAAATAATTTTTCTTACCGCCGTCTTCTGCTAAAGATCATGTCACATTCTGGTTTACCGAACCCTAATTCTCGACACAATCCTCATTAATCTAAGGAGTAAACCGTAGCTTAAAGTACACTACTGCGAAGTACAATATTAGTAGACTTACGGTTTCCCTTTCGCAGGGCTAAATAATCCCGTTTAGGGCACGAGATTCTGTGTCTAAAATTAGACCTAATTCTAAAAATGAATGATACCGACACCGAAAATAGTTTTGGGAACGGCAGCGTTAGACTCTGTCGTTGCACGGATGGAGCAGATATATAAACAGTCACTGTACCTCGTTAAGGTCAAGAGTCAATCATTCGTCCCGACATTCCCTCTTCACGAACTACTAGCATAATTTAGTATTAACTATTTAACCCAGAAGCGCACTTACTATTCTAAGACCTACACCTGATAACGATGGCCACACACATTGACAATCCCCAAGGCCCGGTAACTAACCCTGAAGGCGCGGTAGCCAATCCTCAAGAGCCGAATAAGCACTCGCGAGGAAATGATACCGCATATGGAATGCTCACCCCCGAGAGCACTCCTGCGCCAGAAGATGGGAGGATTGCGGCCGACCAGGCACGACGAGCGCGAGAGGCAAGGCAGCAGGACGTTATGCCCCCAATCGCCGAAGAACCCTCTCAGTCTAAACCTCCGTACGATGCATCGCAGGCTGATCAGGAATCTGAGAATGTCGGCGGCGATAGCAATAGCGATAAAGCTGAAGCGGTTCGCTACGTCCTCGGATGTCAGAGAAATGATTACCGCAAGATATTGAAGCTTGAACCGGCGGCAGACGATCCACAAGAGAAAGCTAACATCATGAACGCGTTTACTCGCCTAGGATGTCTAACCCATCCAGACTATAACGAAACTGAAGGTGCTCACGATGCCTTCATGAGTAAGTATTATAGACGGTGATAGTCTCAAGGAGCTCGCTGAATAGTCTATTTAGGGGTTCTCAAAGCAGGTAAGAAGCTAGGGGTTGAGAGAGACGAAATTAACCAGGTGAAATTCTGGGACGGCGAAGAAGTTTTCGAAGAGATATACATAACTTCCAACGGTAACTACGCAGCCAAAGTAGATCAGATGGAGATCGATCCACCCACGCTCAATATATCGCTAACGGAGACCCATAAGCAAATTTGGGGCGAGGCGACTTCCCTCCTGAGTCAGCTAATGGATAATCCTAACGACGGGGAGGTTATTGCAAAACTAAATAACATAAATACTAAGATTATGCAGGTGAATATGGCCAACGGGTTCCCGGTACAATACCTTAATAACTATACTATTAACATCGATACATTCAAACATATTTTTATACGGGCCGCCCCTCTCGTGGACCAACTAAAGAAGAACCACGCAGATAAAGAGGCTTGGGCGAAGTGGAACGCTCTTAACGACGAGCTGGCAAATTTTAGAAAATTATGTGGTTTCCCTGATGAATGGGTATTACGTCCTCCTCCCGAAAATGTATCCGGACCGGTCGTCGGAGAAAACGTACGACCTAATGAAGCCCCTGCTGCATATATACCTAGTCCCCCCGTCGAAGGAAACGTACGACCTAATGAAGCCCCTGCTGCATATGTACCTAGTCCCCCCGTCGAAGGAAACGTACGACCTAATGAAGCCCCTGCTGCATATATACCTAGTCCCCCCGTCGAAGGAAACGTACGACCTAATGAAGCCCCTGCTGCCGAAAATACACCTAGGCCCCCCATCGAAGGAAACGTACGACCCAATGAAGCCCCTGCTGCCGAAAATACACCTAGGCCCCCCATCGAAGGAAACGTGCGAGGTGATGAGCCTCCTTCTACTTCGACGATGCCCGTTGACCAACTAAGCTACCGTCGCTGTACCCGAAGAGAGGGTTATGTACGGGATGGTGGTATTGACAAAAGAATCGAAGGACATCTTAAAGTCGGCATAGGCTATCAGTTAGTGATCAGTCACCCCGGAAAGAATAATCTTACCATATACGAGAAAGTTGCCGCTTCCACCTTTGGTAAACACTTTGGAAAAGAATACAGTAGCCGCCCAGATGCGAAAACTATTACTAGGGGAACGGCCAAAGAACTGGAGAACGTGAGATTCGAGCAAATGGCGATCGCGGGTGTTGCAAGTGACCGGAGGGACCCTAAAAAGGAGCCCGCCGGTGGGTGGGCTCAACAAGCGAGGACTCTCGTCCTCGCTGGTTTTGGTGATAATCCTAAGTTCGTCTGGTATCCACGTTCCACTCTCGGCCAAAGATTCGGGCAAGCACTTGTCGATGAAGAGATCACTGCATTTAGAATCGAAGCCGGTCAAGAAGAACCACTGCAGCCAACCAGACGAGTTTCCAGACCCCTTAAAGTTCCTACCGTTCAACCGCAAACAGCCCCAGAGCCACCACAATCCGATGAGAGTCTCATGCAATCGGTGAAGGCTCTTTTGGCTACTATGATAGCGAAACTTGACCAATTAGAAGGAGAGATTTAAGATTTGTCGATGTACAATTAAGGGAGACGGTCGCTTTACGGAGTTTCGAAGATTATGCCGGAGAAGGAGATCTGGGAGGAAAATGATATTTGAGAACGTTTAGATATAGTCTTTGTGAGATGATCTTTCGATATACGTTTGCTCTTCTGGAGTTTACTTTTCATTGCTGCTGGGTTAGCCAGCTGGACTGATAAATAGCTGGGGGCAGTATAAGAGACGATCCCGCTACTAAACTCTTCGTATTCTAATTGCTGTCGGTTTCAATCACTTCGTGGACGGATTGTCGCATTTAGTTAGAGCGTTCTGATCTGCCATTTACGTCTCATGGACATTAAAGTTCAGCTAATAAGACGGGCCAGATCATCTCAGTACTATATAAGGCTGCTCCTCTATTCACTAGATGTATAAGCCTCCATTAGACACTTCAAATGTATCCTTACGTCTCCTGGGCAGAGAGCCTACCTATATATGGCACAATTACTCTCTTATTTTTTCCTATTCACTCTTACGATTACAATTCTCGCCTGCGGCTGGATAAGCTTCCAACGGAACGCATGGCTTATATCAACCGAACTAATCCATTCTCCCTTATCCTCGAATCAAGGTAGTGATGCTGAAGATTGAGAATGTTCGTTCTCTACTGAAGGATACGCTAGAAATTTTTCCCATACAGTAAGAGATGTCGAAGAGTTTAGCCACACATTTGAACACTAACCTATATCTAGAGTTAACCCAAATAAGAGCACGGTACGAGTGGACTATTACGACGAAGCTAGAAGTATCCGGAATGATTAAATCTTAGAGCATAATATGTTTCATAACACGATTTTTCAAGTATATTAATATCACCATTTCCAAAATAGAATGGGTCTATACTTCTATAGCATATCGAAAACCATGAACCTTAAGATTTTAGTTTATAGAAGTGATTTACTAAAAACTGATGTATTTTAGATAAGTATATAATCGTCTAGAGCCGAAATTATTAGGGATTTCTTAGTAAGTAGGCAGAGTCTAGCGATAAGTGTATAAGACACCCCTATAGTATATGGTTAATACTGTACACGACTCTAAGCATAGAAGAGGAAAGATCTACGCCTCGTATGCTAGGAGTATACTAGTAATAAGAAATCTCCCCCGAGTCCTAAGATCTCTTAATCGGTGGTCTATATCTTCGTCTTGTAGCTTTAATCGGTTAACCGTAAGTTCGATATTTAGCCGACTGTTAGACACAGCCTTAAGAGGGCCGCGGGGGAACATAGGAAAGAGAATTTAGCCGAGGGCCAATAGCCTCGTAGGCGCACTAAGAATAAAGGGAAGTCACATGATTTCTAAGAAGGGAAGGAGTTGGTTTGTTAATATGTTAGAATAGAATAGATCAACAGACCATTTATATTGCCTTATTCGGAAAAGGAGTACGCACTCCTTACCCCTAGATAGTTACACTCTCTTCGTAGCTAATTCATATGTTAGCTATTGAACCTAATAGTTCCAGTAACATAGACTACTCATACCTTGCGCCCAGCTTACACTATTTAAGGGTTATTACTAAGGATAGTCTGCCCGGCTAGTACTTAGCGGTATCTCTAACATAGGATCCGTAATAGAAATTAAATCTGCGCGGTCTGGCCCTTCAATAGGTGCTGCTCTCTTAAATGACGGCAAGCAATAGGATCTCGCAAGGCAGTCGCTTGCCGTGCCTTCGGGAGTATCGTAACGCCAGATAACACTAAAGTTAGGGTATCTTTTGCATCTAGCCGGCGTATACTGGTATTGTGGGGTTAATCTTAGCAAGGCTAAACGAGAAAGGGGGTGACCTCTCCCATCGTTCGCGAACCGAGATTTTGCCGTCCTCGCAGCTCTCTCGCTCTCTCTGCCTAGTATGGTAGCCCTTCCGGAGCATTACGGTGGATATATTTATGTGGTTGGTTGCAAGGGGTCACTGAGTTTTTTCAGGAATATTTTCAAAAGGCTTAAGCTTCTTTTAACGACATGTACTGAAACACGCTTCAAAAATGAATTCGGGGGTATTTTATTAGAAGATACGGCCATATTTTGCCGAATGGCACCTTTTCCTACCACGAGGAGTACATTATGCGGGAGTCGACAAAGCTTCCGTCTACCGAAGATATGTAGGCATCTCGGCGGCCTAGTCGTCCCTATTCTAGACGTTTAATATTATCTTTAATATCTCGTATAGCGAACCCGGCGCAACCTATCTACATAAAAATATATAAGTGTATACCGTCGCCTCACGTAAATTTCCTCGACGATCTAAAGGCCTATTTTTCCGGCACTCTAAGGGCTTTTGTTAGCGATCACGAAGAGTTCGCGGATATATATAACTAATGCCTTCGAACTCTAGCGAAATTCCGTGCCGTCCATAGGGATTTAGTGCTAAAGTACGCTATTTAAGAAGCTTCTCGTTTAAAAAAAGTCCTTTTAGATTAGTTAAACCTATGACAGCTGGTTGCGAGGTGCAGGGCGCTGGAGGCACTCCTATTGAATTGTTTTTGAAATCTACCTAGGAAAAGACCGAAAAAGCTACGGCTAGGAAGAGTTAGTTATAGGTCCCCATTTGTGATTTAGTGGTCGATGTGATAGGTTGGCTTATTAAAGAGGTCGTTCGATTATTAATGAATGCGTGCCAGGAGTTGCGTCGTGTATATAAGAAATATAGGGTTAAGAGCAGCTTACATTTATATCGAGGCTTTGTTAAAGCTTCATTCTGCTTTATCTTCCTTCGCTTTTTCCAAGCTGCTCAGTGGTCTTGTTTTAACCCAGACAAACATATACATGAATGGATAGATTGTCTCAGGCACCAACGTCCAAAACATAATCATTTTACTCCAAAATGAGCCCACGTAAGTCCAGTTTTCTGGTACATTGAGGTACCGCCAGATGAAAACTCCGTACGCAGCTAAACATCCGAGATAACGCGCAATCCTTGAGAGTCAACTTAGATATTTACAATGTCTTTTAGGTTTGACTTACCAAATTTCCAACGAATGGCCCCTAAGATCAAAGTCTCGAAGGAGAAAGTAAAGGCTTCCCCAGCCAACTGGAAGTTGAAGTAGAATTCCCGTCCAATATGCTGTCACCTGGTCTCGATCATCAGGGAATATAATAGTGAGTTTCCAGAGGGCAATATAAATAACGATAAAGCCCAGGACGACCCGTATCGTAACTAATCCTGGTGTTGGAGAGATGGATATAATGAGCGCCGTGAAAAGAACATCCAGACAGAACCAGGCGGAGAATGCAAGCGTTTCGAACCTTGTGGAGGCCGTTGCGAATGCGTAGTAGAGCTCCCATGCTAAGTTCCCCGATCTACTCGTGTTAGTCACTTCCGGTATTCTCCCTTCAGAGGTCTAGATTCGCGTACACATATTCGATATAACCAGCCAGTTTGCGGTCTCTAAGAGATCGTGTAATGTAGAAGATGTAACACAGGGAATAGAGAACACCGCATGCGATAATCAGACCGTCCTGAATGAATAGGTAGCTCTGCGGAGGCTTAAGGAGGAGATCTGATGGATAGACAACTAAATGTGTGTTGCATCTCTTGGCCAGATCGAATGTCGACATCGCGAAAGTAGTTGAATTATTATGCGTAACGAAGACTTCTTAGATCTTATTAGAAAAGATCTCAGGAACAATAAGTGTCCCAATCTCTTTTAAATCATTTAGGGGTGTGCAGTAAAAACTCGAAATCTAGAACCAAAACATAATCTACCTTCATCGAGTCTATGCCTCTTGTCCAGATCCACTGTGTTTCATGCTATGTACTATTTTCAACATTCTATAACGAGGTGTACACTGGCGGAAGTCTCCCCTAGCATTAAGCACACTAAGCCGAAACTAGCGTTGAGCTCTAGTAGCGCTCTCTGCAACGGCCTATAAGGTTGATCAATTATGGCGAGGCCTAAGTTATGCTATGTAGAACTACACGTCAGCCTCAGACGCTAGGGGAGAGTGAAGTGATGTTGAGTATAGATCCCTAGCCTATGCGGGTCGCGAATATCCTCACCGAGAGAAAAGCTTCTATCATTAGTGTCATCATCATAAATAAGATTATTTATTATAGGCTGTTGATCGTCCTGGAAATCACGTAGGACAACTAAAATAATAGATGGATAATAAATGGTAGGGAAATCTCCTAATGAGTATACGCCACTTAGATTTAGACTTATCACGGTCTTCTTAGAGGTGCCTATTTCAAATTAAATATAGAACCTTCTATACAGGCTCGAAAATATAGTATATATAATTATCCTAATACTATCTTAAGATAGAATCAATAGACTGGCATTTCCCCTGAAAAGCTGTTAACGTTCCTATTGGGTCCTGACTATGTTAGGGTTCTCAGTAACAATCCTTGAATAATATGAACTGGATGTGGACCACGCAAGGTATGGGCAGTCGATGTTACTAAGAACTGTATAGTCCAGTAGCTAACTTAAATTGGCTACGAAGAGAGTGTAACCACCTAGGGGAGTGAGGGTGTATATATAATGCTCGTGCCCTGTGCGCTCTATGCGCTCTGTGCGCTCTGTTACAGGGCCAACAGAGCCGACAGAGCCAACAGACCGTTTCACGTAGCTTAGCCTTGTTCTCTTATGGAGCCTCCCATGCGCCAAATGAGTGTAGTGAGTCGCGCTCGTGCAACCCATAGCCGATTGCTCCTAAGGCTGTGTTTAATAAAACCCTTCTTCGAGAGAAGAGGGTGGAGCTTCTTCATCAGACTTCTCCGCGATCCACCTTCTGATATTTAAGTTGGTGATTACATCGAGGTAATTAGGGTAGCGGCTTACGGCTGAATCTTGCGATCACCTTTCAATGGTTTCGATACTTTCGGGAGTATCGTAGTGAATGAGTATATTACGAGATGACCTTTAAGGAGACTAAGATGGCCGAGAAAGGAAGGACGGCCGAGAAGGAACCTAATATGTTGGAGCAAGTAAGGCATGGCAACATGTCAGGAGAATAGGTATGTTGGCATGTTGGGCATGTTGCAACATGTCAACATGCGCAACATGGCATCAATTTCCCTTGTCTATACAGTTATATGCGGGATAGTTTCCATAGTTCTCTTCGTAGTTAACCTCGTACACATAAAATCGAGTTCCTCGGTTTTATACCCTTTACGTAGAGTTCATTCACCATACACATTGTCACGACCCCACTATTATCACTAAGTACCCTATGCCCTCCACCCGAATCGGGTGGGTGGTACAGGAAGAAAAGGACAAGGAAAAGGATGGTTGAAGCACAAGCTAAGGAGAGCTAATGCACAAGGCTATTATTTTAAAAGAGCCATCGGTTAACGTCGTCTTACCCATTTCACGTAATAGAAAGAGGGGAAGCTATAAGAGTTTCCACTCACCCGAATCGGGTGAGAGAGAACTCTTCCATTTTTTTAAGCGTTGAGTCGTTGTTAATAAGATTACGTAATATAGAACAAAGCATTTAGCTACTCCAATTCTCTCTACCTACTGCGTTGCGTAGGTCCCTAATATAAATGGTCTCGGTCTTAGCTGCACAGCCCCTCTCCTATATCACTAAGTAAACCCAGTTTACTATCGCGGTGACACCTAACGTGGCAAAGCGATTCGTAACAGAGTAGTAGATATAACTCGCGTGAATTAACATAACTACTCGATTGAATTGGTTAATTTAAAGAAAGACTAAGACTATACTTTGCTCCCTCTGTGTGAATAAACGCACCTACTACGGTGGCTAGGTGCTATAACTTCGCTTAGGAAGATAGTATAAACTATAATGTTATGAACTAAGTATAAACACTTCATGGCTTTGAGCTCTGTGGCAGTAGTAAGGAATTTTGAAGCGAGCGATCACTCGCTAGAGCACGCTTTCCTAGAAATAGGGTTTAAAGCGGGTTGAAGTAAGAAGCTTCATTGAGAGTATATAGATGTTCTTTCCTGCGTTCTCTACGGTACTGTATAGTAGAAGTAGAAAATGATGATAATAGCCGTTTTTCAACTAGCGTATATAAATAGGCGTCTTCTATTATTAGTATTAATATTTGTCTAGAATGATTTCTATATTTCTCTATGATAGCGGCGCACTGCGGTTGCTATACATACAGTATGTTAGCTACTTATAAAGTTTATTAATAGATGCTGCTTTCTCAGCTCTTAGCCTTGATCTCATTGTATGTTTCGCCCTTATATATTAGCCCGCACGCAATTTAACATCTTATTTTATCAGGGTTTCAGAAGAAAACACGTCACGGAGTGCCAAGATGCATCATGTAGCAACGATACTCGGAGATGCTCAATCACGCGAAAACTGGAATAAGGTCGACCACATCAACAGACTAGCAACAGAGTCAGCTGAAGCTGGTTATTTAGAGCTTGCAGAGAAGTTATTTCGGAGAATTCTCCGCCTTGATAGCTTCGTCGAAGACGGGTTTAGGAGGATTATTATGAATAATCTAGCCACAGTGCTTAGCAAACAAAGAAAGTACACTGAAGCGGAAACACTACACCGAGATGAGCTGCAGTTATGCCTAACGGCATTAGGCATAACACACCCTGATACATGGATCAGCATGACAAACCTTGCTATAGTATTGCTTGATCAAGGCGAGTTCTTTGAAGCTGAGAATTTACTTCGGCACGTCCTGGACTTAAAGGAACAGACATTAGGAAGAGAGGATGTTTCAACGATTAAGAGCGTAGTATGTCTAGCGTGTATACTAGATACACAGAAGAAGGTGGTACAAGCAGCAATTCTATTTGAGAGGGCGCTTACTTCGTATAAACGGATATTCGGGCTGGAACATATAATTACCACCACTTGTCAGCAACGCTATTCCCAAGTAGCACCCAGACGAGCAGAAATCTATTCACCACATTCATCTAGAGAGCTAGAAGTTGATAGTGGCGTAAGACAAAAAGAAATGGAGGGAATCTGAGATATACCGGTAACGAGATTTCAACGACTTATCCATAGCAGAGATACTTCTAGTCTAATGTTCAGTGAGATAGAGCTCTCCTCATAAAAAAAGTTTATTCGAAGCACTGTATCTCAAAGTGTTCTCGCCATTATCCCCGGCTATATGATAAGATATGCCCTGCCTTCTTAATTATGTATCGCCTGTCGACCGCTATGTTCAAGGATAGTCATGCTGTTGGGAGAGAAATAAGGCTTATTCGTCACAGGGTTTCTTCCAGTGACCCTGACAATCGATTCCTTGTCCTCCTGGATCAATGCACAACAAGAGCAGCAGCAAGATGTACATAGATCGGAGGTACAGCTTCCTTCGATACCGTACTTCGCACGTATCTTGCCCCTGTAAATGCACTGGAGTAGACGGTTCCCACCAAAACTCATTAAAATGCCGTATGTAAACCCCTAGTGGTAATATTAGTTAGGCATTGAACTAATGTACTGTGCGTTGAAGAGAATAGAATAGGAGATTCTATACCATCCCAATCCCACTAGAACTTGGGTCGCGGCTCTCACGAGCTTGTATCCTTCCAAATAGTATACATGGGCAACATAATGCCATACAGCCTATTAGCAGAATTAGATACGGGCTGTGGAAGGTTGTGGTGCGTGCTTACAAGTTCCCTTGGGCGAAGAACACTCGAAAAGTCTAAATGACCATTTTCCCTCGCGTATGCCTGCAACGGTAGGGGGATCAATACGATTTGGCGCCATAGTGCGTAGTTGTGATGGTCACCGTAATGTGAGAGCCGGACAGGATTATTCGAAGAGAAGGTAGCTACTTAAGCAAGGGCGAGTGAGACCTCTATAACAAGCTTGGGAGTGACGTTGGGTGATTTTATGGTAGAACGAACTCTTGCTTTAGCACTGAAAACCTGGGAATCAATCTAAGCAATGTCAGATGTGGAGCTGAATAGTATGTCGCAAGTCCGGAAAATGCTACTGTATTCGACGTGATGCATCATCCGGTTCAGATATGTGCCTCGCCTCATATTCCTTTAGAGAGGCCTAACATCTAAATAGGTAAGAAGTTAAACGTAATAAACCGGCAACATCCGTCCGTTTGCGCAAGAGTTGTTACAGTACCGTCTTCCCAATATTGAAACTAAGACCATCTATTTCGAACGAATTACCCTCATGAAATTAAGGTCGACAGCCCCCAACCGTCACATCGCTATTTAATCTAACGATCCTCCGCTTCAAAAAGTCTCTCCTCACTCTCAGCATACCCTGTTAGAGGTCGCGGTGGGGGTCTACCAGGTGAAGACCTTTAGACATTTGCCCCCACCACCACATCACATCCTTTCTCCGTGCGGATGACCCGGCTCGACGTGTTACACCTAAGGCCTGTGCGAGGCCTGCAATCGGGTTTGGTTGGAGTGACAGGAGGAGAGGAGATTGTCGAGGTGTTTCATGCGGCTTGAGGGGCGCTCCGCGCATGTAGTTGCGAACGTCAGCAGGCTCCTATACACGGTTGAGTCCGTCCCGAATCCACGGGACGCCCCGCGGGAAATGGACTTGGGCAGCATTGGCCGCTACAAAAGTGGCTTTGGTTCCTGCCTGGGTACCTAAATTAGCTGGTCTCATGACTGCCATCCGGCGGAAAAGTTGTCCTAATCAATGCGACTCTTACGGGTCCGTCGCTCTTAGGGCAGGGGGCTGAGAGCTCTCGACTATGCCGACAAGATGAACCTCGAATAAGTCATGTAAAAGTGTTCCGCTACTCAGGGAGAGGTAACAGGGAAGGAGCACAACTGTTGGGTCGCGCGTTTCTCCTGTAGGGCGAATTGGTGCATCTTTGGAAGTGGCTGCCACACTAATCCATCCGCTCGGTGTGCTCCCTCAATCCCTGCGGATGTGGAGTGCGGTTGGCCCTAGGTGCTAGTACTGTAACTGCGCTCAGTAATTGGACCTCGCGTCGAAACGATGAGGAGGTCAACGCTTGCGCTCTTGCTGCTCAATTGTCCCGGGTCAGCGCGTTGCATGCAGCTAGAGCCAGCAAATCGGATAGGTGCTTCGTCCAAGCACAATGTCACCGGCCGGCACAGCCCATGCCCTTTTGGGAAACCCTTACCAAAGAAGAGCGTCGAAACTCAGCTTCAACAAATCGACAGGAGAGATACTCAAAAGGAGAGCATTGCCAACTTCTCTCTTTAATCTTGTTCCTCCCTAAGAGTCCCAAAACATTGACAGCCTCTCCCAGCATGGGCCCTATTCCTTGTCGCAAATCTTTCCCTCTTCCTCCGGATATTATATTCCTCATCATCCAGCTTATTTTGCCCCAGAATGCGACCGTATCACCGACGTTCACACGATATGTCAACTCTAATACTCAGATTCCTGACGATATCAAGACCGTTTTAGCTATATCAAGAGTAGACACTACCGACAGGGCCATAGTACTGCCCTATATCTACTCGCGGCTTACGTTTAAATTCGGAGACCTGGACGAAGACTGTGGACTGTTCCTACAGAATTTAACCGAGTCGGGGCGCAAAGCGATACGACACATGCAAGTCAGCTGGACAGGATTCCGAAACAGCCACAGGAGAAGCGATCAAGTCATCCGTCACTGGTGTGCTACAAAATGCTTACAGATGATGGTTGATTGTCCATCCATGTCCTTGCACATTACGACTACCAGTCCACGCCTCCGCAACTCGGAAAGAAAATTACTGCGGTGTCTGCATAAATATAAGCGGTTAGAGTACGATGATGACAGCTTAATAGGCCAGCTACTGGCAAATGCGAAAGGGCCGATGGATTTAACAAAAGTTCAAAAGGTATTTATCTCACCTAGCCTATCTAAAGCTGTTGGCTCATCACATAGATAGAGAAAACTGGACTGGTCATTCGAGAGGCAAATTTTTGGTGAGAGTGGCAATGGGTGAGGGGCAGGGATGTTTTGTACTGTACTTGGCCGTGCCGCAAGGCTTGTAGTGTCTCCAACTAGTTTTGGACAGCCCAATCCTTAAAACGCAACTACGGATGTCGTCCCCTCTCGAGCTACTGCGGGTAGCGGCGCTAGCAATACTGCGAAACCCTTGAGTGACAATGTTTGTCTTGATGTCACCGGCAATCCGGACGATTCTATTTGTTGTTCAGCAGGCACTGCCTGTGAAGTTACCATCGGGTCGTGAGTCTTTTTGTGTAATTGAGGCGAAACGATGACATAAGATGTACATAAACGGAGAGTTATGCATCCCCAACGCGATGTTTGTGTAGACAACGTCAAGAACCTAGTGACCGTCTAAGAAAGGTTTACAAATTTGTATTACTCTCACTTTTAATCGATCTACAGAAGGACCGGGGCGGAGTTAAGAATATTTGTACTGAAGTAGACATAACTACTAGTGAATTACTGAGACGAGAGGATAGATATGCTCGGTAAGCCCGAGTACAGTATCTAGATATTTTTTTTCTAAACACTCATTATATCTTATCTCTTTGACCAGTATCTGGCGGTGCGAGTCGTCCTCGGTATGCTCTAACATAGGTCGGGTCGGCCTAACTCTAACCTAACCCGAACCAAAAACCCGACCCATATCAAAGTCTGAAAGAACCCATCAACGAATTATTCCCCTCAATAGCCAAATCACAAGCGACTCTTCGTAACCATAGCTTTTTCAGTCTTTTCCCATGTTGATCTTAGAAACAACTCAATAGGAGTACCTCCAGCACCTTGTACTCCACCACCAGCTGTCACAGACTTGGCCAATCCAAAAGCGCGCTTTTTCGGACGAGACGCTTCTTGTACTGCGTACTTTTGCACTAAGCCTCTATGGACAGCGCGAAATTTTGCCAGATTTCGAAGACATTGGTTGTACGTATCGCTAAGTTCTTCATGGTCGGTAATAAAAGCCCTGAGAGTGCCGGAAAAATTGGCCTTCAAATCGCCAAGGAATCTTGCATGGGGCGAAGGCATATACTCGTGCATTTTGCGTAGATAGGTTGCTCCAGGCTCACTATGCGAGATGTCGAAAATAATGTCAAACGCCCGGAATAGAGATGACTGAGCCGCAGAGATACCCACATAGCTTCGATAGACGGAAGCTTCGTCGACTCCCGCGTAATGTACTCCCTGTGGCAGAATAAGGTGCCATCCCCCAAAGTTTGGGCGTATATCCCAATAGAATACCTCCGAATTCATTTTTCTAGTTTCGACCAGTGTTGCTAACATTTCGTCAAAAGAAGCTTGAGCCTTTTGAAAATGTCGCTGAATTAAGCCTAGGTCAGGCTTTGATTGACGAATTTCAAGGAGGATGCTAAGAAGACTCCAAAGCGCTTGGGCCCCAGCGACTTCCACACAAACACTAGTAAGTGATGTTCAGTATAATGGGTGCAGGAGGCTGAGGTAGAGATAGAAGCGAACATACCTGACTTTATAGAACCAAGATTCGTCTTCGGTACCCGTAAATGTTAAATCAATCGACACGTTGTCTAACGACCACCCTCTAGCGGGATCTTTCCGCCGCGAATTCCAAAGCACTGTAGACGCATAAGTCCCTAGGGGTGCTATGCCTAGTTCCTTACTCAGATAGCTCAGAGGAAGAGCAATCTGTTTTGGGAGCGTGTCTAGCGGTGGCCCGAGGCCGTTACCCCATATATATCCGTGGGCGACAAAGGTCAGAATTACTAGTAGCCGTTTTTTTTCGGTACTAGATAGAACTGCAAAGTCGTACCAGTAATATAGCGGAAGTCCGTCAACTTTGGTTCGTAGTCTCAGTGACGAAATCGCTTCGTGTAATGGCGGATCGACAATAAGCTCCTCCACTTGCCGGAATTGGGGTGGAAGAGAGGTGGCAGAAGGAAGCTGAGGGACAAAGGCTGTCCATTGCGAAATTTCGTACTGGTCAAGTTGGCTTAGATTCATGGCTGTTTGTCTCAGTGAGCGCCGTGATAGAAGGAAAGTAAGAAAAAGGTGCGGATACTGTTGTGCTAAATAATGATCCGGAGTTTGAGAGCAAAGTTAAATAGGGAAGTGCGAAGTTACCGCCGTACCTATTGTAGTATTCTGAGAGATAATCAGATTTCGAAATCAAGGCAGAGCAATAGTGTAAGCAAGGGAAGGAAGTACATGTGGCGAATCGAAGGCGTAAGCAATATGGTCAGCTCTGATGAGATTCACCTCCTTACAAATTGAAAAAAGGCCGGCTTTAACAGGAAAGGAAGTCGCTCGCTGATAAGTGGGTATCTCTTTCATAGAAATTTACTCTATGCTTCACAAAGTTAACTTTACCAAGGGTGGAGTTTCTACTTCGTTATTAGTATTGTCCCCCCTACTGATTACGATATTCTACGTCCTAGAGATCAAGTTTTCTCATCTCCCTTATTCTCACTAAGAGCAAGATGCCTAGAAATCTATATATTAACTTTATTCGGTGCTTCCGGGGAACTAGTATGCCTAACAACCTCTCGGCTAAGCCAACTTATCTCAGAGTCCGTTCTTCCAAAGCATTTATAGTCAGTTCCTGCACTCTTGCTATATTTACGGATTGTTTTCTATATGGCATAGTAAGAGACTACATACCCGGAACTTAGATTGAACTATCTCACAATCTTCTAGGTTGTACCTGTTCTCCCTTTCGCGTTATCTCAACGCGCTGGCATTGCTCCTGAAAATGGTATTCCTATGTCCCACTCCTCGAATTCCAAAAGCCTATCTAACAGGCACGACTAGTGGGAATTTGGAGTTCAGCGCTCTTAGCTTGCTACGCAGGGACGTGGCTTCTTGCATCGCCTCTTGCGGGATACCTGACAGATTACTTCACATCACGCCGTACAACGTTCGTGATCGCTCTACTTACGTTGAGCGTCGCCACGATTCTCCTCTATATCGGCTCTTCCATTAGCGTCTTGCTGCTGGGCCGTATTTTACAAGGAGTATCCAGCGCCTTGACGTGGACTGCAGGATTTACCTTGGCAGTCGAGACCGTCGAAGAAACCGAGGTGGGAAAGACAATGGGAATTTGCAGCCTCGGGACAAACCTGGCTCTCCTTTTTGCTCCTGTCATCGGTGGATTATTACTCGACAAAAGTGGATATCATTCGGTGTTCGCAGTCGCTTTCGGCCTCCTGTCTCTAGATATGGCGTGGCGGCTGGCGTTAATTGAACGAAGCGCAGCCGCGCCCTGGCTCGAATATCAAAATAATAAGTACTGGACCATCGGATTCGGAAACAACGGAACTCCCAGTATTATGCCGTCGCCTATCCGAGAAGAAATTCCTCATCTAGAGCCTCTCTGGCTTGAAACTGAGATTCAGTTGATAGAAAAATACGGCGCATTCGGAGAGTTTATTGTGAGAGATACGTGGTGGGCAAATTTTACTCGGACTATATCGCCAACATTACGGTTACTTCGAAATCCTCGTCTTCAAGTCGCTCTATGGGCCACTTTTGCGCAAGCGACAATGATTACGTCCTTGGATGCTGTGCTTCCGCTATTCGTGCGAGATACGTTTTCTTGGGGAGCGCAGGGAGCAGGACTTATCTTCATTCCCGTGGTGCTACCAACCTTCCTGGCCCCGTATATTGGACGAATGACAGACAAATACGGTCCTAAATGGATGGCCGCTTCGGCGTTTATTCTGGGATGTCCGATCTGGATCCTTATGAGGCTTATCACCCATGGTGGAGTTGGACAAATCGTTCTCCTATGCATTTTCCTCGCGATGCTTGGTACGACGACAACCCTTGCAACACCACCACTAATGGCAGAGATTACATTCACGGTAGAATCTCAAACACAAGTTCAGCCGGGAGCTTTTGGATCTAGAGGGGCTATCGCTCAGGCATATGCTTTCTATTCTTTATGGCTTGCTGGTGGGCTTTTGGCCGGCCCGCTTTGGGGTGGTTTTGTTTTCAGAATTGGAGGTTGGAAGACAATGACTTGGACATTCGGACTGTTAAGCGGGATCACCATGGTGCCAACGATTCACTTCATGGGCGGAAAGTTAAATTTGGCAAAAATCATCTAATGCGATAGGATGGGAGAGAACGAGCACTTTCTAAGAAAGGGGCTTTGTTTGTAGATAGTTGAGGGGAGCTTTTACTATTAAGATAGGCAATTAAGGCCATTTCAGTGTACGGTTCCTCTTTTAGGGACAATAGCCATCTGCTGCGGTTAATACTAATATCACAGTAAATAGATGGATATGGCCATCAGAGCCTTTGTCAGGATACGTTCTGGCGTTATTAGCGAATCGCGACATTATGTCTTCTTGCAAGCAAAACTGCTATTGTATCTATGTGAAGGCTCTGGAACCGAACATAAAGCAGAGAGCGATATAAGTACTGAATCTCGGTCTGTAAGTGGTGTTGAGGGCCTAGTAGCTTCCTCAAACCCCCATTCTCGCTCGGTCTCGCCAACAATAACCTCTACCATATCACAGCAACATGTACGCTAGTGAGAAGAAGAATAAATTCTAACTTTGGCATTATTGTGCGTTTGCGACGACACCACAAGGGCATGGTAGCGACTGTATGGTTGTTACGAAACGACCATTTGAGGGACCTGCCGAGGGCGAAAGGGGTAAGTTAGGCGAGGAGTGATCTGTGTTGCTCTGGCTAAGACAAGCAGAGCACAACAGATCACCGTGCAGCCCTAGGTCTATATATATGAGATGGTTTTCTATAGTTCTCGCCGTAGTTACCTTCGCTCACAGAAAATCGAGTTCCTCGGTTTTATACCCTTTGCGTATAGTCCATTCATTACACACTTGGTCTCGGTCTCAACTATTTAGTCCCACTCCTATTTCACTAAGTAAATCCTGTTTACTATCGCGGTGATACCTCACGTAGCAAGCGGTTCGTAACAATAGTTCCGTTCTATCTTTAGTCTAGTCTACTCTTATCCAAAGTAGGGGTAAATAATAATGCCTAGGCTGTGAAGATTTTAACTCGACTCTAGACGATACGCAAAGGATATAAAACCGAGGAACTCGATTTTATATGAACGAAGGTGACTATGACGAGAACTATAGAAACTATCTCGTATACAGTACCTATGAGATTTTCGACATAATTCTCGAGGAATGGCCCAACAAATACCTTTGAAGTTTTTTGAGTTCGTCGATCCGATGCCAAAATGTAAGGAAATGCTGAAGAATATCGCCAAATTCGCGCATATGTTATATGATGGATTTTCTTCTCGAATAACGGTCGAAGCGTTAAAACAAGCTTTTGAGAAACAACCAATATTGGAAATCCTTGGCCAACTAAATGGATTTGACCAAATCGAGCCAGTAGACCTACTTCAGGCATATATTGGTGTCTTCGTGTTGACGAAGTTCCTCCGAGATCCGAATCCAAATTACGAGTGGGCAGAGGGAAACTATTCTTCAGAAGAGCTCATGACGAAGGAGAAGGAGCTTAAGGATTTTCTTTGCGCGGTGACTTTCTGTCAGCAGGTGGCCAAGCTCCCCACCGGCTCAGATATACACAAGGCGCTATGGAAGGTGGTGAGGGATGCGATGATCGTTAGTGGTCAAAACCATCCCCATTCTTGGTATCACCTCGGCTTCACTTGGCCTCAGTGCGGTACCAGATTTGACAGAGACTCAATGGTGACATGGATGCCAGGAAACCAAGCCATTACAATCGCTCTCACATTCACTGCAAAAACGCGTGACAAGACGGCCTGTCTCCGCGCTACCGTTATCTTAACCGATTCGAGCAAACAACCGTCAACAAATTTTCTTCGAAATGAGGTGCTTCTTCTACGGCATCTTTTAACAACCACCACACCTACGGATGCACCGATTCAAGCATCGTGTCTCTTGAGAGATACAATCACAATTCAATCCCCATTTCCAAGAGTTTGCGAGGATACTACAGAGGATTGCTCTCTGTTAAGACCTAAACGGCGTCGGAAAGGCTTTTCGAAGGAGCAGGTGGATTGCGAACGGACCACCCAAGCGGACGGAGCATACAACTTACGGAAAAGGAAAAGGACAAAATGATGTGAGACAAAATGCTCCGAAGAGAGGGCTGTGTAACCACATGACTCTACTTATTACCTAAATAATGCCGGAATAACGCAAGAATTGCACTGTTTATATAGGTCTATCCAGACCCTTTTACGCAGTAGGTCCTCAATAAAGACAATCTTAGTGTTGATAGCTACAGTATGACTGTTGTCCTAATACCACTTCCCAGGTCAGGCTTTTCTACCGCAAAAGCCTCCTGAGGCTTGTATAACTGTGCTGTGCCTAGCGCAGCGCAAGCCTTTAAATCAACTGCGAATACCCAGTCCTATGGCTAGTGAGAGGACACATAGAAAGTTCGGAAAAGCTAGGGGAATATAAACCACCTCTTTAGCGACGCTCTTCGGAAGACACTGGGTACGATCCTATAGCAATATTGTAACTATTGAAGTGAGATTAAATAGTCTTAAGGGTTATATTTAATCTATCTCTAACCGACCTGGAAGTGAAGATAATAATAAGTAAGGCATAACAATACTAAAAGACGTCAGACCTTTGGTCCAAATCTCTACCACAGACTGAAGAAGGATCAACAACGCCTTGAGCACTTTCCTGGCGCTGGCGGTTGGAGGAAGATCCATCGCTCGTGTCTTTGATCACGTTAAACCCTGTCCACTCGTCCAAGGCACTTTTCGTCGTCGCGGCGTACGTATTGAGTCCTCCAAGATAGCTCAACTGCTCCCTTGGCTTCCCCGGCACATTAGCACCCATGTACCAGCTATTTGTTTCCGGGTATAGTGTTTTATTACTGAGGTCCTGGATGTGTTCCCTCCATGCTTCAGCTGCGTCCTGCAGTGCGTCTATATATGCGATACCCTCGTCGCGCATCTTCTTGACCGCCGCAGCGACCCAGTCAACCTGTGTTTCGACGACGGGCGGAGCATTGGAGAACGAGATGGGCGACTGGGGTCCGTAGATCATGAACATGTTCGGGAATCCGTTGATAGTAAGGCCAAGATATGTGTACGTGCCCTTCGTCCATTTATCTCTTAAGTGTTTACCGTCAATATCGATAAGGTCGATCTCAGTCAGCGAACCAGTGACGCTGTCGTATCCTGTGGCGAGAATAATGACATCGTACGCTTCGTGTTGATCAGAAAGCGTGATGCCCGTCTCCGTGAACTCCTCGATCGATGTCGCGTTAAGATCGACGATTGTGACGTTGTCCTGGTCGACACATTCGTAGTAGTTGTCCTCAAGTGATGGCCGTTTCGTACCGAAGTAATACATTTGCTTCGAAGGAACTAGGATATCTCGCTTAACGGGGTCGTTGATACGAGGGCGCACTTTCTTAGCCCAAAATTCATACATCGATTGATTGGCACCCTTATCGGTGAGAATTTCCGGAAAGTTAGAAACCAATAAGTGAATCCCGCCCCGTTCCCATAATGCTTCCCAAAGCGATTCGCGATCCTTTGGTGGCACATCCCAAAAGCTATGTTGAGCTGGATCGTAGGGAAAACCGGATTTAGTTCTTTTGGCGTGATCATATAATGAGCGGTAGGAGCAGCGGTCTCGGTCCTGTTCATCTTTGGTCATCCGTCGTTGCTTCATCGGCAGGCCGATACTAGGTGTTCTGATATAAGCATGCACCTCGCAATTTTTCCGAGCCAGAGCTTGGACGACCTGTACTCCAGTCGCCCCCGATCCGATACAAGCGACCTTCTTCCCTGTCACGTCAAGAGGGTCGGGACATCGTGCAGAGTGAAAGAGCTCTCCCTGGTACTTCCCATGTTCTTGAAGTCTGGCACATGCATTTTGTAAGTGGATCCGACCGCCATGATGAGGTACTTGCATCTGGCCACGCCACCAGCGTTAGTTTGCACTGACCATGTCGCATCAACCGTGTCGAACTTTGCTCCTGTCACTATCGTGTTAAAACGTGCGTCTTTGGCGAGGTCGAGGGTCTTATCGACATGGGCAAAGTACTTCTTCAACTCCACATGGTCGGGAAAGCGTTCTGTGTAGGACCAGGTCTGGTAGACTTCTGGGATCGACAACCCATAGTAAGGTGTTTCAGAGTCAACACGGGCGCCAGGGTATTGATTCCAGTACCATGCACCCCCGAAATAAGACCCCGCCTCGAAGAGCTTGACACTCAAACGGAGTTTTCTAAACTTCCACATCGCGTACATGCCACTCATACCGCCGCCGACGATCAAGACGTCAGCTTCAACAGTGTCATTGCTTTGTACATAGTCTTTTCGGCTTAGTCGAGAGGAGTTGTTCGCGCAGTCTGCCATTGAAGGTTCACCTTGCCGTTAGCATAGGACGGGACAGAAATGAGAGAGATACCTAGATCTGTCACTCAATGGTTGTGAGTGTGACTCTATAACGCTCTCGATCATGATTATACTGTAATAGTGAGTCTTTATAGCTTTTCTTACTACTGTACAGTACTGAAACTCAAACTATGTAGGTTACCGTTCGCGTATTAAGTTCATTATTGGGATCAAGTGGATATCCGCTATTTTTTGCCAATCGTAAGAGTTATGGTCTGATAATCGGGCATCAGCGACTCGCCGTTAGTCTTTGCAGCCAGGCTAGGAACCTTGTCCGATTCTATCATGGCCGTATAGAGCGATAGAAAATACAGATAGTTTGTAGTTCGGACAAGGGTCGGGAAGAACAGGTGAGAAGTTGTCTCTACCATGGGGTTCTCTCGACCCACTCCTCTCTATTAGAAAGGGACTAATTGTGAGCTCCCTAGTGCTTGATTAGATGTGGTCATGAAATCCTTCGGCTATATCGGCTTGCATTGGCGGTAATCGTCTAAGGTTGATGCTGAAGATGAGCCGAGTCAACATTCAGCGCACAGGTCACTCTTCGTCGAACCGACGCGGACTACGGGCAATGAAAGACCCAAAGTATAAAATTTATAGACGGCTTATTTCCACAACGACGAAATCGCCTATTCCTTCTTCACATTATCTTCCTTCGTGAATCTAGTCCTTTTGGACTTCGGGAATGTTTTGGAATTCCACGGGCTCCGTCATCGCATAATGGAACCAGCCATTCCAGAGCACCTAACCACAACCCGAATCTTCCCTGCCAAGTTGAAAGCAGGGTACATACCACCATATCCCACTTACACCTCCCGATTTCCACAGGGCCAAAGAGAAATCGTCATAGTCATTCTAGGCTCGCAACATGAAGATCTAGAGAAGACTCCGTCTTTTGGAACGGGGGGTATAACGAGCCGTGACGCGGTTTTGGCACTACAACGAATGATCGCCTTTGCCACCGAGACCTCAGAAACATCTAAGCCAAAATTCTATCAGTTAGCCTCTCAACACGAAGCCATTGGAGGGTACGAGCAGTGCATCATCGCGTATTGGGACACGAAAGCCGCGTACAACGAGTGGAAGACCGTCAGCGGATTCGAGGAATGGTGGAACAGCCTCAATCCCACGTTTGAAAATCACGGATGGTTTCTGGAAGTGTTCCTTCCCCCGGTTGAGAGGTTTGAGAACGCTTTCACGGACCGCATGGTGCCAGAAGGAGCAGCACACCTTCAGGGAGACGCAAGCGGTCCCATTCAAGAGCATGGCTATTGGAAGAGCATGCGGGATCGTCTACCCATCTCGCAAACAGATCTGTTGCACGGCGACAAAGTCACCAGCACCACTATAAACGTGTCTGACTGCAGAACCCGCCGTATTCGAGTCCAGGGCAGGAAAAACCTGGCGGTCATTCGTTCAGGCCAAGATTGGTCTTCTGCCTCCGATAACGAGCGAAAGCTCTATCTCGACAAGATGTCTCCGGCCCTGGTGGCAGGTATGAAATTCCTTCACGACGAGGGTTTGAAGGAGGGCTGTATTAGTCTCCGCTTCATGAATGTGTTGGACAGAGAGACTTTAGGAAGAGACCCGCAAAAGACCTTTGGTCTAGCGATTTTCGACGAGCTCAGCTCACTGGAAGCATGGAGCATGAGCCACAACACACACAAACGTATCTATACAGAATTCTCCCGCTGCGCGAAAGAACTACAGAATACTTCCCTGCGATTTTTCCACGAAGTCTTTGTCGTGCGACCCGAAGATCAATTCTTCGAGTATGTTGGTTGTCATTCTAAGACTGGAATGCTTGCGTCGCTATAACCAAAGATAAGAAGCACATGAATTAAGGGGAAATATTGGGCACATAGGCAAAATTACCATACTTCTTATCCGGTCTATTTCCATATGAGTTGGGCCTAAAACTACGTAATCCTAGCTCGGAGTAAAATTAAATGGTGGTAAATTTTTTGTTGATACAGTATCTTACTATACCTACAGCCAGCGAACAGCGGCAATAAATCTCTTCCAATGACCACATCCTTTCCCATGAGATCGCCGGCCTTGCTTGGAATTTACTTCCCCGCCCACACCGACACAGGTAGAACCTCGATGTTAGAGCTGCCGCTAAGTACTAGCCAGGCAGGCTGTCCTCGGTAACAACCATTTAATAGCGTGAGCTGGTTGTGGATAGCGCATGTGTTGTACGAGAGGTCGAGTTGTGAACCTGTCTGGTTGATTGTGTGCAGTTTTTCCCTGGCTAGTCAGGGAGACTCTGCCTGTTTATATATACATTGGCCTGTAACCACAAGAGCATTCCTGAAACCTCCCTATTCCATCGCCATGCTGTTACAGGTCGGTGAGAACAACGGTGTTGAGGTAAGTACCGCAATTGGTGTGACAGCTAGCGTCTCAGGTGGTTTGCCACAGTGGCTATCTTGCAACCCGTCAACAGGCTTCCTCACGTTAGACACTCTTTCTGTTCTTCACGCCCCATAGTGGAGCCTTCTGACCTGGCGTCTAACCGTATCCAGCCTAGTGAGATGTAATATATCTACCAATCGGCCTTCATTACTCGTTATAAATTACAATCAATTTACTGATCCTTAGTATTTGGCAGTTTCGTCTGACGGAGATCTTCTGTCCATTCCTACAGTTTGAATCAGCCTTACCCGGTGCGGGGAAAGTCGGTCTCCGCTTCTAGTCGGTCATCCGCAGTTCTCTATCCAGAACTTGATCCTACACACTTCGTATTTTGAAAATCAGCCTCAAGCGTGACCTAACCTTGAATTGTACTCTGTTCATGTTACTGGACTACGTTCCGGACGTTGGAAGTATTCTTGCTCTCTCCAGAGCCCTTCCGCGGACTAAAAGCTCTCCCCTTGGCCTGCCCGCCTGCTGCCAGTGCTGCCTAGAATATTTACTTTCCGCAAATATTAGACTGTCGAAACAGTTAGGACATATCAGAACAGAAGGATACAAACACGAGATTGAGCAGACTCCATTTTGCACTCTCGTACGAGTCCTACAAAAATGCGCCTCATAAATACTCGTACAACTTCCTTGGAGGATTTACCGACTCGAAAGGAGCCCCGATACGCTGTGCTATCTCACTGTTGGACAAACGACGAAGTGGGATTCCTGGATATTCAATCCAGAAATTTGACACGAATGTCAAATCATATCAAATTCTGGGGAACCCTTCAGCAAGCTAAGTGTGATCGCCTCAAGTATGCATGGATTGATACGTGTTGCATAGACAAACAGAGCACCGCCGAAGTCAGCGAAGCGATCAATTCTATGTACCGGTGGTATCAAGGTGCTGAAAAATGTTATGTTTATCTCCACGACGTTGATAAAAATACTTGGAACGAATCCTTGCCCAGGAGCAAGTGGTTCAAGCGAGGCTGGACTCTGCAGGAATTACTTGCTCTACCAGCGGTCTTATTCTACGATCGGCGATGGCAGCTTTTAGGCGACAAAAGGTCTTTAGCAAGCGTCATATCAAGCACGACTGGTATTGAATTAGCAGCCCTAGAGTCAGGGGATCTCCGTCGATATTCCGTTGCTCAAAAGATGTCATGGGCGGCGGGACGAATGACAACTCATATAGAGGATGTCGCATATTGTCTGATGGGCTTGTTTGGGGTCAATATGCCACTTCTCTATGGCGAAGTGTTAAGGATCCCTACTGATCCTAACTGGGTTAGGGTTCTCAGCAACAATCCTGGTATAGCATGAGCTGGTTGTGGATCACACGCGATATGAGCAAGGTTTCTCTGTTACTAAGAACTGTATAGTCCAGTAGATAACATGAGTTGGCTACGGAGAGAGTGTAACTATGTAGGGGTAACGAGGGTGTATATATAATGCCTGTGCTCTGTGCGCTCTGTGCGCTCTGTGCGCTCTGTCAACAGGGCCAACAGGGCCAACAGAGCCAACAGGGCATATCACGTGACTCAGCCTTGTTCTCCTGTGGATCCTTCCATCTGTCCAATGAGTGTGGTGAGTCGCGCCAATGCAACTCGTAACCGGGTTTCCTCAAGGCTGTGTCTAACATATACGTGGGTCCTTTTTTCGCCCAGGGGGCCAACCCCTACAAAAAGTTAGTGGTGCGTACCCTTGGGCGATTTGTCGAACCTCGTCACGCCCTTTTTTGCCTTCTTTTTTTTAATTTTAGATAGTGCATGGTGTTGTAAACTTTTCACAGTTCAGAATTACGTTGCTCTTACCACTGCTATAAATTTCTTCGCCTTGCAGTTCGCCGCAAGCGTTGCTAATCGCCTTATAGTCCCCAATATGGGCCGGGCCGCTACTACCGTAAACCGGTCTAAGTGTGGGGGATATTGTCTTGGATGCTGTTCTGTGGGGAATCAAACAGCTTCATTTCAATATTTAATACTTTAAATCTCTGCCCATTCGGTTAGTCCTCCAACCTTCCTTCGTTGGTAACAAATGTAATTCTTCTCCCAGATCCACGTATTTTATCTCCGTCTTGTTAGTTTGCTGGCACGGAGCAAGATAGGAGCCAAAATGGCAAGCAGCGGTAAAAGATATGGGGGAGAAAAGAAGTTAGCAAGGAATTTCTTCCTTACCCGCTGGCGCTTTTCGGGTCCACAGGGCACAGTTGTTTCGGCTGAGCAGGAGGTGAGGCGCTTACTTAGCCACTCGCAGAACTGAAACACAAGGGGCCAGACGGGCCGGTTACACCATACGGGGTACGAAGTACATGAGCAGCCCGGGCCTGCAATTCCAGACCGCCGCCCCCCTATATTGGCAGCCCGAGCGAATCATGCGATGATCGTCTTGCCGAATACACCTCTGGAACCCTAGGACGCGTACCTTGTATAGTAACAGGCAAGACGTAGGTAGCGTAGGGTGAGGGCCTGTGAATGAGTTGATTGCTGTGCAAGCGCGGTAAATCAGGCTCTTGGCATCAGGATTGACTTGTGAGTGCTGTCGCCAGCTACCGCTCCAAACGGCTGTCGTCTCAGTCTTTCAGAGCCGTCGTCAACTCGGCATTTAGTTCGATCCGTACGGGAAGATGATGCAGCTTTGTCAGACGCCAGGCCTCAATTCAGAGTAAAGCGCCCATGCCTCAACCTAGTGATGTTTTGCGATCTCACCCCGGGCCTCCCCAACAAGACCAGCGCTGACAACAAAGCTGCCCTTTTGTCCACACGAAAATGTTGGTCAATGTACGGCTCCAGCCTTACCGGCTTGTTGTGTTCCTGGGCGTCTTCATCTTAGTTACAATTGCTCTCTACGGTCTCTCAGGTCGCTCGTGGTTGATCTCACCCGCCGGTGCTGAATATGACAGGACGGCTGGATTATCTGGAGCTGTGAGCCACGATGGCTCGAACACAGAACTGCTCGAAGCTGACCAATTTGCCTGGCCGTTCGAGTATAGCACGGTATCGAATCAGTCATTGTTCTGCGAGGAACGCTTTGGACTCGGCTATCTCGACAACTTCAGCCAACGGTCTGCTGAATACTGTACCGCTGAATCGGCCTCGCGCATGACTTGTTTCAGTAGCATCACCGAGACCAAGACCCGACGCAAAGATGCCTTCTGCATCGCCGGTCCCGCCACCTTCGACCTCGACCAACACAAGTTCGTGCTGGACTGCAGCCTCCGTGACCTCATACCCGACGAACTGAACAGCGGCTTGCCGCGGTTCATCAACCTCCCAGGTTACTGGTACTCCACGGGTCCAAAGTACATTTTCAGCACCGCCGTGAGCTTTGCCACTATGCAGGGCGCGACCCCTTCGAGTACCATCCAGGCTTCTCCAGTGACCATCGTCCTCAAGCGGGAAGACGAGTACAAAAACATCTGGCACGCCCTGCTGGAGATCTTCGCTACCTTCATGACCTTGGACATCCTCCGCATGGCACACAATCCAGCCACGAAGGCTCCCTTTATTCAACCTTCCGACTTCTCTAACACCCAGGTGCTCCTTCTAGATCATCTCCCCGACGGCCCATACTCTGAGCTATGGCATCTCTTTGCCCAGAAGCCGATCCTCAGGCTGAGCGACATCACAAGCTCTTTCCCACTTGAGCCAGGAAACATTATAGTGCCTTTGGCGGGTGGAGGAAACCCCTTTTGGCAGGGGGACTGGAACCTGCTCGACTGTACCGACTCCCCTCTGCTGCGCGCATTCTCGCGGCGGGTGTTGAGTTATTACCAAATCCATGACCCCCCCAAACAGCCTGACGACCCGCTTGTCATCACCTACATCGATCGCACGACTAAACGGCGGCTGGTCGACCAAGCCCGCCTGCTCGATGCCTTGCGTCTCCGCCACCCCACCATTCAGCTCAACGTGGTGGACTTCGCGCAACTGCCCTTCGCCCAGCAGCTCGCCGTCGACCGGTCGACTGATATCCTTGTCGGCGTGCACGGCGCGGGGTTGACACATGGCATGTTCCTCCCGCGGGGCTCGGCCCTCGTCGAGATCCTGCCCTTCGGGCTCAAGCATAAAGGCTTCCTCAACATGGCGGCCATGCTGGGCCACGCACATTTCAGCGCCGAATCAGTCGATGACCGTACCCAAACCAGCGCCCGCGGTGACTGGCAAGCTGACGACGTATATATCCCACAGGGGGCATTTCTGGAGCTGGTTGAGCAAGCCATAAGGAAGAAGATGGAGTCGTGAAGAAATAGAGAGGAAGAAATATCGCTGACTGGAGAAACGATCCCGTTGGTTTGCGATACGGCGCGAGGCTGTCTGGCGCAAGCCAATAGGATGATCAATGTCCTTAATTTGGACTTCAATCTCGGACAGACCAAAGAGACATACTTGCCAGTCTCTAAAAAG